TGTGTTAAAGCTTTAATTTAAACCTTTGCCCCCCCAAAAAAATTTATTCTTTATTCTTTTTTTTTAAAAACTGGATAATATTCAATTGTGGCCAGTTTGCCGTGGAGAGTGGAAGTAATCATCGATTGCAATGTCAATTTACTTTATTTTTACTTTTAAAGCAATTAAGCAATTTTTGTACTTATAAAGCAATACGTTTGTAGCTGATAATTGTTTAGTATGATATAGAAAAGATAAGACATAATTGTAAAAAAAAATACAAAAAAAATAATACATTTATGTGCGATATACATTATGTAATAAATTGCGTTCAGACGTCTCTATTCTTAACCCTAAAAAGGCTGCGGTAGAGGCGTTCGACGCCCCCCTCTAGTTTTTTATCATTGTCATTGCATAGTGAGGGGTACAGGGCGGTAAAAAGTCCGGTCTGCGTAAAAAAATCAAAAATAGCCTATAACTTTTTTGTGACTAAAGCTACAAATCTAAATACTATATTTTGAAAAAACCTTGAAAATTCGATGTAGAAGCATCCTTACCTATTCGCTAAGGCCTTTTTCTAGGGGTGGGGCGAAGGCCGCGCCCCCCCAGGTTTTATAGGGTTAAGTATTATACTGTGTGTACTACTTTATATCCATAAATTTGAAGTTTTAAAGGTTGTTTGTAGTGAAGATGAACATAGACTATAGAATATAGTATAATAAAGTAGACCCATTCTACCATATTAAATTCTCCCTACTCCGATATATCAAATACATAGGGGAGGAAATTTATAATATAATTCATAATATACTTCACACTTTTAAACACTTAAACAGTTTGTCACTATGACGGTAAAGGAATTGTACAAAGGAAAATTGAAAAAAAAGAAAAAGAACAAAAAAGTTTGAAAAGAAATGAAAATATCTAGAATTGAACAATAAAAGGCCTTTGGTTGAGAAAGACAAAGTTTCCTTTTCCTATTCTCGTCCAGGGTCTTTTAAAGGGGCTGTCGTCCTAATTTCAAATGACCCTTTATTCAAAGAGCAGCATGTCTGTCGGACCGATTCACAAGGGTACCCTTGAAACCTTTATCTGATCAATAATGTGGAAGATATTGTCGTTTGTCTCTCTATTAATGTTTAAAAGCAATTTTAAAATAAATATCTTAAAAAAGTAAATAGTCTGATATTTATTAATTATATTTTAAAAAAAGATCTAAAAAGTAAATAATCTGATATCTGTTAATTATATTTTAAAGAAGTAAATAATCTGATATCTGTTTACTATATTTTAAAGAAGTAAATAATCTGATATCTGTTAATTATATTTTAAAAAAAGATCTTAAAAAAGTAAATAGTCTGATATTTATTAATTATATTTTAAAAAAAGATCATAAAAAAGTAAATAGTCTGATATTTATTAATTATATTTTTGAATTTCCTCCACAAACTTATCTTTCCCCGTATTTTCTCTTTTTCCTTCCAGAGGATTCCTAGTTTGGATTTTTGTACAATCTACTTAGATTTCTTAATTGGATTTCCTTAGTATATCTTTATAATAAAGCTCTTATTTATATGAATTGGATTTCCCTAGTTTATCTTTATAATAAAGCTCTTATTTATATGAATTGAATTTCCGTAGTATATCTTTATAATAAAGCTCTTATTTATATGAATTGGATTTCCCTAGTATATCTTTATAATAAAGCTCTTATTTACATGAATTGGATCTCCCTAGTTTATCTTTATAATAAAGCCATTTTTTATATGTTAGATATCGGCATAGCTGGCCAAAAAGCTGGAACATATAGGCTAACTTTGATTTTAAAAACCCATAGATTACAAAGTACCATTAAAATTTTAGTTTTCAAAGTGTTTTTCAAATACCACGGGCAACGTCGGGCACTTCAGCTAGTACAGGGTGTCCCAAGAAAACTTGACAGTTGGTGAATAGTTGAAAATGTCTTCTTCCATAATTTTTTTATATTCTTTAATACCTAAAAGAATAACAAATATTTGTTTGACGAAATAAACTGCAAAAAGTCTTTAATATCTTATACAGTATATGGAAGAAGTATTTACCAACTGTCATGTTTCGTGGGACACCCTGTATGTTATATAATCCTAAAATTACACTTGCTAGCCTAGTTTTAGCTTCTATCAGTCATATATAATGTCAACCTGGATTGATATCCCTGGAGGAAGAATAAACTCTAGGTTAGCAGGTTCGGATATAAAACTGCTGAAGAGCCTATACAGGGTGTCCCAAAAACATGGAAGTTTAAAGTTAACATTAAACAGTGATTGTAAACGTTTTTTCAAGGGACCTTACATTTTAAGTTCGATATATGTCCGAGTCAAAATAACATTGTATCCTTGCAACGTTTTGAATTTCATTTCAAAATCGTCACTGCATCTTAGATTTGAAAATCACTTTTATTATAAAGAAACCACAAATGAAAATGGTAACTTTTTAGCTTGAAAAATTAAGATATTTCCGTCTACCTTAATAAGTAAGATTTAAAGTGTACAATTGTGAATCAATGAGGCCACTTTATAAATAGAGAATCTCTAAGAAAAGCGTTTACAGTCCCTTTAAGATTGTCTTTGCTAATGAATACAAAATGGCAAGGGAAGTATTAAAAAATAATGTACAGTGTTACCAACAAAGAATGAGACATCAGAGACGACTGTACGGTTTGGAGCTTGTACAATTTGTTTATTTTTTTCTGTAACTATGACCTTGTTTTTTTCTTAATTAGCTATGCATTTGTTAAATCGTTTAATCATATTCAGGCTGTCGTCTGCTTTACCCAAAATAGTCTGAGGTGGGTGGGTCCTGGGGACTCAACCTTTTTTTTCTTATTGTGATGTGTGATACAAATCTATAACACTTGAAGTAATTTTGGAAAGCCTTTGGGCTTAAATTTAATAATCTGCAAAAAAATTTACAAACCAAATATTTATTGCAATATCAAGTTATTAAACAAAAAAATGTGCAAAACAAAAAGTGCGATAAATATGATAAATTATAATTTTTTTGTAAATTCAAATGTAAAAAAAAATATTTGTAAAATTTTCAAAAACTGAATGTGTATTCATGGAAAACTGAAAATGTGCGAATTCTCTTTAAAGACATATGTGCAAAAATCTACGAAAAATTTCTTCACAAAATTGTTTAATCTGCTTCCTTTTGTTCACGGCTTTCCAAAGAGTTATAAAAAGTCTAAATCCATTGACTGGAAGTAGGTCTAAATATAGATTGAGTCAGGTGAAGGTAAAAATAAGGCATTTAGGCAGTATGTCTGAGGCCTCAGGCGGTAGAAATAAAAGCCTCGTGTTTAGCTTTAAGTAAGGGGTATGTGTCAGTTAGCTTCCTAGCTCAAATACTTTATGAGTTATCGCAAAAAAGTATTTGAGCCGGAATAAGGTTAAAGATCTCTTAAGTCAGATGATCAACTTCAAAATTTAAATTTTATACAGAGTTCTAACATTCAGGTCGTCCTTCAAGTTTCATTTTTTATACATAACCCTGTACGTTTCATGAGCTTTCCGAAATCTAGCTACTATCCGCAGGGGATGGTTTTATAATATACTAGCTGAAGGGCCCGGCGTTGCCCGTGGAAAAAAAGAAAGAACAAAATGTTTAAAAGAAGAAAGATTTTTTGTCACCCCCATGAGGCCACCCATGAATGTCCGCTCAAAATGTCAGTCCATTCGGTCCAGCCGTTTGGCCGGCTATATGGAACATATATACGAATGTCTTGTTTTATTGTTTAGATTTATACAATTTTTATTTCATTAGTTAAATTTAAATTTTAAAATCAATAGTAAAAGTCAATAAATTGATTTTACTTTATTCATGTGTTTTTTTGAGACACCCTGTACAGAAATAGAGGCTGCATGTAGTAAACCCAGTGTATGGTTGAGAGTACCCTCTAGACCAGTTTTAAATATTTATAAAAGTAAACACTGAGACACTCTCAAGAAAAAGGAGGATATCAGAGAAAATAGTATATTGCATAAACATATTCAGGGTTGCTCACAAAGACGACTGTACAGAATTTATTCGAATTCATAGTTCAGCGCATGCAGCTGTATTTACGAAAGTTTGAAAAGTTTTACATTTTTCAAAATTGTTCATTTTATTATTTAAGAATTTTTTTATAAAAACATTTGTTTTGAGATTTTTCGTCATGCAATATTTATGCTATCTCACTTATCTCTAATCGTACATGCAATATTGATGTTATCTCACTTATCTCTAATCGTACATGAAATTGATAAGTGTGTGCAGTGTACAGTGTACATGCGTATAGCGTCATGTACAATGTACATTGTACATTATACAAGGAGACCCACAAAACTGTTAAATAGGAGAACGGCTGTTAGACTAAAGTTATGGCTTTAAGAGGTCCAATAAGCATTAAACATGTACATAGCAATTGTTCAGTGTATACAGACTCATTTAACTTGAGAAGTTGTTTTGTAGCTATAACTCGTAAAACAAAGATAACAACAACGATAACAGCATTAGATATGATTAAATACACATAATATTATTTAAATGTAAGACTAAGAGGTGAAGCTTATCTCAGATGTACACAACCGACCTCCCTATTGATTAATTAATAGAGTGGTCTGTTGTATACATCATATATGTTTACGTATCTAATACTGTACACTTGTTTAAAAAGTGATCGTATTTCTAAGGGGGATTTTATGGAATTGACCAATTTTTAGATTTTCTTTCTTTATTTAAATCCATATTAAGTGCCTAATTATCAATACTAATATTCAAATATCTACATAAAACCACCCCTTAGAAATACGATCACTCTATATAAAAGTGTACAGTGTTAGATACGTAAACATATTGTGATGTACACAACCGACCACTCTATTAATAAATTAATAGAAAAGTCGGTTGTGTACATCTCGAGCTAAGCTTCACCTCTTCGTTTTGTTACTCTATGCTTCTTACCATTAAAAGCTTTATGGATCTCTCTGTACAATTTTAAATACGTTTTATAATATCATTTATTTGTTGTTAAAATTGTGAGGATTTTGATGAATTGATGTCGCAAATTTATTTTAATTATCTTAATATTGAACATTAGAACGGTTTCTTGCAATAATTCAGTGCACTTGAAGGAGGTTAGAGTAGACAAATCATCACTTTGAGAGTGGTTTTAAAATCTTTCGTCATTATTTTCGCACCAATTGTGATAAAAATATCTAAAGTCTTAACCCTATTCCCGCTGGGGGGGGAAATTCAATTTTCGCAAATTTGCAAATTTTTTTGCAGATTCTAAAAGTAGAGCACAAGAGCTTTCTAATGATGTATCATTTGTCATATTTGGACATAAAACATGGGATTTAGAGGGGGGGGGTCAAATTGACCCCCCCCCAGCGTATCCTGGTTTTCAAGTACCCCAGCGGGGATAGGGTTAAATAACAATAACATGAAAAATGTTACATCTTAGAAATTTTGAAAAATAGCGTCTCCTGTTGATATTTGGGTTTCTTCTTGTTGAAGGTTTGATTTCTCCATTCTTCTAAAGAAAAGGAGAATCATCAAATTCACAGGGATTGTCAGCCCAAGAAGTCCTTCATGGAGAACACATTTTAGAATTTAAAATTTAGAAAGTTTAGAAGTTAAAATTTAGACAGTTCCGAATTTAAAAGTTAAAATTTAGAAATTAGGATTTAGAATTTAAAAATTAGAATTTAGAAAGTTTAGAAGTAAAAGTTAGAATTTAAAATTTTAGAATTTAGAAATTAGAATTAAGGAAGGTTAGAATTTAGAATTTAGAATTTATAATTTAGAATTTAGAATTTAGAATTTATAATTTTGAATTTAGAGTTTTGAATTTAGAAAGTTTAGAACTTGAAAATTAGAAAGTTTATTTAAAACTTAAAAAGTTTAGAAGAAAAAATTTAGACAGTTTCGAATCTAAAAATTAAATAGTTACTTAGAAAGTTTAGAAGTTAAAATTTAGATTTTAGAAAGTTAGGAATTTAGATTATATAATTAATGAAGTTTAGAATTTAGATTATAGAACTAAGGAAGTTTAGAATTTAGATTATAGAATTTAGAAATTAGAATTTATAAAGTTTTGTCTTGAGTTGTTGTGGATGTTTTTAATAAAAAAGAGTTTAGCATAATTGTGAACCTTTAATAAAAGAGTTGCACGGTTCGATTCAGAACAGTAACTATTTAACCAACTTTGAGCCTCTAAAACATTTAAAAACACCTCGATCTGAGACCTAAGTAGAGCTGGGAACTTTTGAATGGTGGATATCGGGATGCTTAATCTCCTTTTTTCTTAATCTCCAGATTAAATAATGCTTGTTCTCCCCTTGTTATTAATCTACAGATCAATTAACCGATCGGGATTCTAAAGTTCCCAGCTCTGGGAACTTTAGAATTGGATACATTTAATCCCGACTGCTTAATATGAATATCCAATGTAGACACTTATAATTTCTTGCTTAATCCACTCTTTTTGTATAAAGTACAGAAAAATCAAAAACTGGTTTTTCAAAATTAGAGAGTCCCTCCCGTTTCTGTATTTAAATCTTAAATGGCGTGAAAAATTTCAAATTTCACGGATTCTGATTGGTCGAATCAAATTTTTAAATTATTTAAAACAGCAGTAAAGCTTGCTTGTCGACTTAACACTGCAGTGGGTAGTCTAGACTGGTCGGTACGGTAAAACTACACTATACAGGAAAAATCATAATACCGGTTCAGATTAGGAAACGATTGGAGCCATGTTATAAGAATAGAGTTTGAGGCAAGTAATATGTTCCTTAGAATCTCTCTGTTCTAAATCAAATCTCATTTCTTAATCAAGAGAATAAGATGAAAGATTAATGAATTAAGTTTCTCCATTGTAGATTCTCAGCTCAATTTCAGTTTAATTTATTAACAGGTTTATATTTGAGGCTCAATAATATATTGTGCTAAAACCAGGGGGGCGGATAGAGGGGGGGGGGTTGTGAGCTTGGCGTCCCCCTTTTATATCATAAATATGTGTTTCCTGCAAGTAATAAAAGATAAGCTCCAGGAAATGTATCAGCAGTGGCTCCAAAAACACTCTAAAAAATAAATTTAATTTAACCTTAGCTATCCATTAATCATCATGATGCCATACAATCATAATCAGAAAGACCCGGAATTATTTTATAATTAATCAGATGACTTTACAATCTAATTTTAAAAAGCGATATTACCAAAATAGCCCTAGTCCTGCCAATTCTAAAATGTGGTCTGTTTTTTTTGTTCGTTTAAAATTCCCAAGAGATGTATATGTAAAGTCGTCTGATTAATTGTCAATTAAATTCGGGTCTTTCCGACGACCCCCAACTTTTTTTACTTCCTTGCAACGTAGGTGAATCATTCGAAGGGGAGAATAGGTTTAGAACTGAGAATATCAATGTATAAGTAAACACAAAAAAATATACTTTCGATAATTTATTGATTAAATTGATTAAAAATTAAACATGTATAATTATGAAGAAGTGTGAGCCCTACGAGTTGTTTGGTATAAAACACTTCATAAATACTGCTTCAAACAATCTTCCAGGTTTACAGTTCATAATAGAGAATACTCGTCCTACCTGGAATACAGGTTCTACCAGTGATCCACTGATAATAGAGAATACTCGTCCTACCTGGAATACAGGTTCTACCAGTGATCCACTGATAATAGAGAATACTCATCCTACCTGGAATACAGGTTCTACCAGTGATCCACTGATAATAGAGAATACTCGTCCTACCTGGAATACAGGTTCTACCAGTGATCCACTGAAAAAAGAGAATACTCGTCCTACCTGGAATACAGGTTCTACCAGTGATCCACTGATAATAGAGAATACTCATCCTACCTGGAATACAGGTTCTGCCAGTGATCCACTGATAAAAGAGAATACTCATCCTACCTGGAATGTTCTACCAGTGATCCACTGATAATAGAGAATACTCGTCCTACCTGGAATACAGATTCTACCAGCAATCCACTGATAAAAGAGAATACTCGTCCTACCTGGAATACAGATTCTACCAGTGATCCACTGATAATAGAGAATACTCGTCCTACCTGGAATACAGGTTCTACCAGTGATCCACTGATAATAGAGAATACTCATCCTACCTGGAATACAGATTCTACCAGTGATCCACTGATAATAGAGAATACTCGTCCTACCTGGAATACAGGCAGTGATCCACTGATAATAGAGAATACTCATCCTACCTGGAATAAAGATTCTACCAGTGATCCACTGATAATAGAGAATACTCGTCCTACCTGGATACAGATTCTACCAGCGATCCACTGATAGCGGAGAATAGAGAATATCCGTTCTACCTGGAAAACAGATTCTACCAGTGATCCACTAATGGCGGAGAAAAGAGAGAGAACTGAAAATATCCGTCCTATCTCATCTCCTGGCACTGTTTTGCTCAGAACTGCTCTAAAAATAATAAATAAAACAATCAAGCAAGACAGACCGGTAAGAGTACATGCATATGTTGTACTCAAAACATTAGATGGTCTGTAGTTCTGTATCAGCAATGAATATACTTCATGATTACACCAGACGAGCCGGTACCAGTTAATGCATGTATTGTGTGATATCGTTATATGTGCCGGTACTAGTTAATGCATGTATTGTGTGATATCCCTTATATGAGCCGGTACTATAAGTTAATGTGTGTATTGTGTGATATCCATATATGTGCTGGTACTAGTTAATGCATGTATTGTGTGATATCCCTTATATGAGCTGGTACTATAAGTTAATGCGTGTATTGTGTGATATCCCTATATGTGCTGTACCAGTTAATGCATGTATTGTGTTATATCCCTATATGAGCCGGTACTATAAGTTAATGCGTGTATTGTGTGATATCCCTAGATGTGCCGGTACTAGTTAATGCATGTATTGTGTGATATCCCTTATATGTGCTGGTACTATAAGTTAATGTGTGTATTGTGTGATATCCCTAGATGTGTCGGTACTAGTTAATGCGTGTATTGTGTGAAATCCCTAGATGTGTCGGTACTAGTTAATGCGTGTATTGTGTGAAATCCCTAGATGTGCCGGTACTAGTTAATGCATGTATTGTGTAATATCCCTTATATGTGCCGGTACTAGTTAATGCATGTATTGTGTGATATCCCTAGATGTGCCGGTACTAGGTAATGCGTGTATTGTGTGATATCCCTAGATGTGCCGGTACTAGTTAATGCGTGTATTGTGTGATATCACTAGATGTGCCGGTACTAGGTAATGCATCTATTTTGTGATATCCCTAGATGTGCTGGTACCAGTTAATGCATCTATTGTGTAATAAAACTAGATTGGCCGGAATAAACCAGACAGGCCTGTGCCATCAAATGCTTATATTGTTGTAATAGCACTAGACTGGCCGGTACGAATAAATGCACACATGTTGTACTATAGACAAGCTAGTACCAGCAATGCATATACAGGCTTGGATCCTGTACAGTTTGAACATCTATGGTATACCTGGTCATGATGGTGGTAAGAGGAGAGAACATACAGATGAAGGAGCCCACCGTGAACCAGGTTGAGCTCTGCGTTACAGCAGGTAGGATAAATCCTGAAAGAGAGTGACCGGTATATATTAATAGATGTGGTGGTTGAGAAAAAGAGAGTGACCGGTATATATTAATAGATGTGGTGGTTGAGAAAAAGAGAGTGACCGGTATATATTAATAGATGTGGTGGTTGAGAAAAAGAGAGTGACCGGTATATATTAATAGATGTGGTGGTTGAGAAAAAGAGAGTGACCGGTATATATTAATAGATGTGGTGGTTGAGAAAAAGAGAGTGACATGTATATATTAATAGATGTGGTGGTTGAGAAAAAAATTGTACTTTTATTATTAATAATAATCATAATAATTCATAATGAATTATTGATGTTAACCCTATCCCGATTGGGCTATTTTTGTCCAATATAGATTGGGAGGGGAGGGGGGTGTTTTCCACCCCCCCATGATTTTGCACTTAGAGTTGAGATAGGGGAGTGTGATTTGAAGCCTGCGCCTTAAAAATATAAATAGTCTTCTAACTTTGGTTAGGGTGTAAGGTATGAGTTTTAAAAAGTTCAAAAATTTTCAAAAATAGTTATTATTACTTTTAACAAATATTTGCATATGTTATTATATCCATTTTTCAAGGCCTTTTCAAATATATAAGTCTAAGCCCTGTAGCTTAATTGATAAAAAAGTGATAAACCATTTCTGATTTTTTAAACACCGACCTGCAGATTGTCCATTCTCCGCCCTACAATATGCATCAAAAAAAGAATTTCTGGCAAAATCGTTTACCTACGATGTTGAAAACGTGAAGAAGTTTTAGCGTTCTAATGTAAATCGTTTTTAAGTTATTCAGAATAGAAACCAAAGGGGGGGTGGACCCCCCTCCCCCAATCGCGATAGGGTTAATTTGAACATTTTTTTCCGGTTGGGGCGCTATCATACTTGAAGGTTTAAGCTGCAAAGACATAATTTGAAGAAATCTGCTAATAAATTTAGAGAATAGATGATAAATTAACTAATAAATTCTACAATGTGTTCCTGTTAGAGTTTGCAGTTAACGAAACGTTTCGCGAAAAAATGGGAATATTTTCGTTCGTATTTCGCAAACTTTTTCGCGAAATTTCGCATTTTTTCAACTAAAATGAATGAAGTGAAAAATGCGAAAACGAAGCGAATTTTCGTGAAAACTGTAGGTATTGACGCTGTATTTTGTCTTTTTTGATGAATATATACATTTATGAATAGTTTCAGTTACCTATGATGGATGAACAGCAGGCCATGATTGAAATTACAGGATCAGGGATATTCAATATTCTAGTTTTTTAAATGAACATTTACAAAGGTAGGTGATTATATCAATACAATGAAGACGACTTTTTTACTTAAGTTTTTATTGTTAACAAGTAATCAAAGAGAAGATTTTTAAATCGACAGCTCCTCTTTGTTTCCATGTTTATCTGTATCTATGCTGTATCCCTGTATCTGTATCTGTATCCCTGTATCTGTATCTGCATCTCTGTATCTGTATCTGTATCTGTATCCCTGTATCTGTATCTGTATCCCTGTATCCCTGATGCTTAAAAGCTTGATATAAATTAAAATTGAAACCAAGATTCGTCGTCCTTGTATTGATATATTTGCAGACAACTGCACAAAGCATTAACATTCCATATATGTATGTTGAGAGTTATATTTAATTATTGAATATTGTAAAATATTTACTTCAAGGCAACATTCACCTAAAACTTAATTTATTTTATGTCTAAAGTAAGTCAATTTTATTGTTATAATTTTCATTTTTATAGGGAGGGTTTGACCCAAGAAGTATGAAATAGAAGGGAGATACAACTGACGCGGCCCGCCCTACCATATGATTATACATGCTATGCAGACGGTACTCCATTTGTATAAGAAATATGTGTCTGATGTACAATTACCGCGTATACAATAACCTATTAATAATATTTATCATACAAATGGAATACCGTCTGCAAAGCATGTATAATGATATGGTAGGGCGGGCCACGTCAGTTATACCTCCCTTGTATTTTATATTGGTTTGACCTTAGTCAATATCATACTTGACATTTTTATTATACTCACCACGAACTCAAAACCTTAAATTCTACAAAAATTCTTTTAGATTGAATTAATTTCTAAGTTTGAGACATCAATGATTTACAGTTTACACCATGTTGAAAAGTTGGGATGAGAAGATTTTTAGCTTAAATTGAGTTTTCAGAATTCTTTTATGGAAAAAAGAACATTTTGAGAAAAACAATGTTATTTAAAAATGTTTTCACTTTTCCTGGAGAGTATAGGAGAGACTACCCATAACGCCACCATGTAACCTATTGTCAAAGTTTAAAGTGGAATTGTATTGCCCAATTCACAACGGTACCCTTTGATCTTTATCTGAGCAACGATAAAGAAGATATTTTTTAATTCTGGAAAATACTTTTTTCTCTTCTGGGTTAATTCCGCGAGGCAGTTTACAAAGAACCACAATAAAAATCTATAATAATATAGGAAATGAGTGATAACGTAACTCCTCTCTTTTGCCCAGACAAAAGGTTAAGGTACTGTTGTGAATAGAACATGCATGATTCGTGCCTAGCTATAAACTGGGATATTTAATACAGTAATAACCAGAAAAATCTGGAATAGAAAGACGACTTTTAGACTCAAGTTATGACTTTAAAAAGGTCAAATGAACAGTAAACACATCAATTTTGCAGTGTAAACACTAAACAAGTCCTACACTTAAGTATTGTTTCAATGTATATATCACTGGAAAACTGAGAATTATGCATGGTAAAGATTAATGATCAATACTTTGTTTTTTGTTTTGTTTATTTGGTTACCTATTCTATAGTTGAATAGGTATCTTGTAAACTCCTAAATCAAGAAAATATCAGAAATTTTTTTTTTTTAATTTAAAAAATTTAAGTAGGTAAAAAAAATAAAATTTTCCCCATTTAATTTTTTGTTTAATGATATCGATATCAATGTATTTTTATTCATTTTCCTTCCTTATATATCCATTCACTTACTTTCCACTCTTTACCTTTATTTCTCCTACATGTACTTTCCTTTTTTTCCCTTATCTTCCCTTTCATTCTCCTTCTTTCCCTCATCTTAATCCTTTCATTTTCCTTCTTTTCCTTCTCTTTCCTTTCATTCTCCTTCTTTACCTTATCTGTCCTTTCATTCTCCTTCTTTTCCTTCTCTTTCCTTTCCTTCTCTTTCTTTTCCTTCTCTTTCCTTTCATTCTCATTCTTCCCTTATCTTTCCTTTCATTCTCCTTCTTTACCTTATCTTTCCTTTCATTCTCGTTCTTTTCCTTCTCTTTCCTTTCATTTTCCTTCTTTTCCTTATCTTTCCTTTCATTCTCCTTCTTTTCCTTCTCTTTCCTTTCATTCTCGTTCTTTTCCTTCTATTTTCTTTCGTTTTCCTTCTTTTCCTTATCTTTCCTTTCATTCTCCTTCTTTTCCTTATCTTTCTTTTCATTCTCCTTCTTTACCTTATCTTTCCTTTCATTCTCCTCCTTTTCCTTCTCTTTCCTTTCATTCTCCTTCTTTTCCTTATCTTTCCTTTCATTCTCGTTCTTTTCCTTCTCTTTCCTTTCATTCTCATTCTTCCCTTATCTTTCCTTTCATTCTCCTTCTTTTCCTTCTCTTTCCTTTCATTCTCGTTCTTTTCCTTCTCTTTTCTTTCATTTTCCTTCTTTTCCTTATCTTTCCTTTCATTCTCCTTCTTTTCCTTATCTTTCTTTTCATTCTCCTTCTTTTCCTTCTCTTTCCTTTCATTCTCCTTCTTTCCTTTCCGACTCTTACCTTTCATTCTTTTTTACATCCTTCCTTATTATTTCCATTCACTCCATTTCCAATCTTTCCATTTACATACTTTCTCCTTCATTGCTTTCTTTAACTTTACCTTATTTATTTCCATTAGTTTATTTTCCCCCATGTTTTCCTTTCTCCCACCTCCCTATTCATATTTAGGTTATGTTGGAAGAGGGAAGGGCACTGATTTTTAACTGTTATATCCAATCCTACTTTTCATTCAAATTTCTCAGCCCTTCTTCTACTTTATGAATAGCATCAAGTCAGGGGGGGGGGGTACATGGACTGTGTTCCCCATCCTGGGAACTTATAAAGTTATAATTCAAGTAGAGTTCTGTAGCATTTTATATTAAACTCTGCTAAAGGGAGTAATCGCGAAAAATGAAAGGGGGTATAGGCTTAATGCGATAAAAAAGCGCTTTTTATCGCTACTTTTCTTACTTCTATCTGTTGCGTCTATAAGGAGAAAATTGTTAGAAACGACTAATAGTAATACCGAAGAACGAAGTGTCTATACAAATTCAGAAAGATGCAGCATTCAACTCGGATCGTAAACAAATCATTTTAATTCCAAACAAATCATTCAGATATTGCAATAATCATCATTCAGATATTGCAATAGTCATCGATTATTTTTCGACGCATTCGCATTTCATAATATTTTGTATTTTTCATGATCTGAGAGTTATTTTTGAAAACATTTATTCCTGTTTCGATGATTTTTGATAATGAAGACGACATGTTCATATTTTCCAGGAATGTTCGATAATAGTTTTTTAAAAAAATCAAAAATGTTATGAAATATTAACTATATACGAATGCTTATACCCCCTTTCATTTTTCGCGCACACTCCCTTTAAAGGCTTAAATATATTAACAAATCTGCACCATTCTTTCCAAAAAAACGGTGGAAAGAGAAAAATAATTTAACTGATTATTTCCTGCTCCGACCATCCATATTTCATACGGGCGTATGCATACCTGAAAAATTAAGAATTAATGAAGAATCAAGTTCAGGACCGGGCGTATACGGGATTCGATCTAATGCAACATATATTTTGTAGTGTTCTTTTTATTACATAATTTTGTTCAAATGTAAACTAAATCTTGAGAATACCTTGAATATGATTTCATACATGGAGATTTAAATATTATTAGCTCAGTATACATAGTTTGTAAAGGGTCTTACAGGGCTAAACTAAACAAAACCATATATAATGCCTCCAGATAGAAAATGAAACATCTTTTTTCTCCTTCCAATGGTTTCAAATGTTTTTATTCGCTAGTATTCGGTTTCGCTATATGATAGTTCTTTCCATGCTGAGTTTTCAGCACTCGTAAAGTTCTTCCCTTTTTCGGTTCCTTCCCTTGTTCCTTTTTTCCATGTTCGGTTCCGCCCCTTGTTTAGTTCTGCCATTGTTCGGTTCCGCCTTTTTTTGCAGTTCTTTCCATATTTGGTTCCATCCCTAATTCAGTTTTTTTTCGGTTCCTTGTTAAGCTCTGTCCTTGTTCCGTTCTGTCTCTTGTGCTGTTCTCCCCATGTTCGGTTCCACCCCTTGTTCAGTTATTCCCCACTTCGGTTCATCCCCTTGTTCAGTTCTGCCCTTGTTTAGATCTTCTCTTGTTCAGATCTTCTCTTGCTCGGATCTTTTCTTGGTCAATTCTGCCCTTGTTCAGTTCTGCCCTTGTTAAGTTCTGCACTTGTTCAGTTCTGCACTTGTTCAGTTCTGCCCTTGTTCCCTTCTGCAGTTGTTCAATTCTGCCCTTGTTCAATTCTGCCCTTGTTAATTCTGCCCTTGTTCAATTCTGCCCTTGTTCAATTCTGCCCTTGTTCAATTCTGCCCTTGTTCAATTCTGCCCTTGTTCAGTTCTGCCCTTGTTCAGTTCTGCCCTTGTTCAATTCTGCCCTTGTTCAATTCTGCCCTTGTTAATTCTGCCCTTGTTCAATTCTGCCCTTGTTCGGTTCCGCTTAGTGCTCCCTCCTGCCTCATAGTCAGTTCGGTTCCACCTCAAGTCGGATTCCAACTTATGCTCTGTTTCGCCCCTTGTGACAGATTCAAACCTATGTTCTGTTTTGCCCCTGATTATCATATATTTTTCATGTTGCTGGGCCAACTTTGATATAATTGAAATGTTGTGCGTGAAGGGAGCCAACATTCCCCCCCCCCTGGCAAAACACCCCCCCCACATTTGAACTTTTGCATGTATTTTATTAATTTTTATATCAAAATCGTATCACGAATCACAATCAGGGTTGAAAGGAGGAAATGTGGTACACCCTTTTCAAATGTACCAGGAAGAAAATATGCTTTGTACATATATATAAACATATATGAACACTTTTTTGTGATAACTCACATGACCCCAGCGTCAAAGAGAAGGAATTTATGACCAGTGAAAGTTTCGATTTTAACATTTTTTTACAAATCCAACAATAAATCCGCCAATTTAATTTTGAGTGCAAATACTTAGCATCAAGCTTTTTAAACAAAAAATAATGGTTTAAGGCCCTTTGTCATAGAAACTTAAATGTGAATTAGACTTATTACGTTTAACAAACCAACCTGTGGGTTCCTTCTGTTCCATTATAAGTGAAAATGTAGCAGGCAAAGTTAAAGATACCAAGAAATAGAATAGTTTTTCTTGGATACTTTCTACTCTTTAGAACAGTTTTCAAACTAAACATTGTTTATACAGTAGAATAGATTATAGATGATACTTTCTACTCTTTAGAACAGTTTCGAACTAACATAGTAGAATAGATAATAGATTAACCGGTTAGACCTTAATAAGCCATATATCGAAAAAAATCATCAAATGTCGTATTTTTCATTTTCTGATAATGGAATGTTGTAGATATTTAGTTTTTAATTAAATGATTATATTGAGCTCTTTTAATCTGTTCCCGCATATTAATGGCTATTATTCATTTTTGCAAATACTGATATTTACGTAAAATAGTATAAAACCCATTGAAAAATTGTAAGTTTTTGACTATATAATTAATAAAAATACTTGTAAAGTTTAGACAAGATACTTTTTACCAAAAAAAAAATCTTTAAAATTTACCTTTCAAAAATGTAAAGAATGCTTGTTATATAAACTGGTCTGTCTAGTGGTTTCATGTTTTCCTCTAATAACAAAATAAATTGTAGATACGCGCAGCTGGGCTAATTATCATAAATATAAATGCTTGATAATATCAATATTGCAATTTTTATGTTTATTTATTTATTAAAAAAAGTATTAATAATAACGAAGTTGTGGTGAACTTTCAATGCTGAGAAAGCAAAATATGATTTATGTTTCAGTTACTTTAAAGGAACGTCAAGTAACTTTCATTTAAAACGGGTGGTGCCCAAAACTCAATGAAAGTTGAAACACTTTAAATCTTTATCTGAAAAATATGATAAACTCTTAAAAAGTGACTTTAAAAAAAAGAAATTTTTAAAAATTTACGTTTTTCCAGAAATGAAACGCTATTAATTTGTTCCTTATTATTACTCAGATGAAGGGTTTAAAGGTATTGACATAAATCTTGAAATGGGGGATCACATAAAATATGCCTAAAAAGCCACACAGCCCTTTTAAAAAGAATGATTCGAAGAAAGTGACGACGCAACGGTTGTATCTCGTGTTTCCATTCAATAATTTAGTCATGAACAGATTTGAAATATGATTTTCATTTTTGTTATTTTTTTGCAAATTATCTTCTTTATTATATTTACCCTGAATTGGTGAAATAGTTTGACTTCCATAGTTTCTGTGAACCTCTGAACCTGACCCAAATAATACTCATCAATGTCTCAAAATGGAAATTAAATAACAAAATTTGTATTGACTATAGATCTTTGTTGAAAATCACATCTTGTACAAAAAGTGAGCTTTGTAAAGTGTATTTTACTTTTTATTATACTCTTGTAATTGACTTATAAAAAAGCAAATCACATTTTGGTAAAAGGCAAACTACTTTTCGAAAATCCTGTTGAATTTTGAAAATAAAATGATTTTATTTTTAATTCGTTAGAATCTTTATTATTATCAAATTCATGAATTACTGGCGCAAAGATTCAATCCAAAAAGGTATTTATGTTGGCAATCAATTCCATGTTTAATCAGTAAGAATTTAATTTTTAACAATTCTAGAGTGACATTCATGAATATAAACCTTGCAGCTCTGTCTCGACATTAACACCATGTCCTGAAAGATCAAAACATTGAACATTCCATTAATTTGAGAAAAATAAATATGTAAAATTCCATTTAATTGTATGGAAATAGCTGGCATTTTGCAGTTTGCCACTGAAAATATTCGATACAATACGAATGAAAAAATTGAACTCTAAAGTTTTGACATTTGATAATAATTGATTCTTGTTTTAATATCTTTCTTGCTGTCACCACGTAAACAACTGAAGGTCAAATTTATGCTAAATACTGGTAAGACTTTGTGACCTCTAGTTTGACTTTGAGCTCAGGTATGAGAAAAGAAAATTCGTTTTTTGTATATTAGATATTCAGAACTTTTTGATTCATCTCAAAAACCCTTCAGATTTAGGAGTTATGATTTTAAAAATGTAAGATTCCATCAAACATAAAATTTCCTTCAATTTGATGAGGATGTAAGTTACATTATGTAATTAGCACATAGTTATTGTTATTTCTTCCTGTTAACATCTTATTTAAAGTGTTAAACACTTGCTTGAAAATCTGCATGCCAAATTCTATCGGATTGTTCAATGGTTCAAATAAAATTCGGCCAATTTCAAGATTTCGAACACAACTATCAGATATGTATACCGATGTTCAGAGACTCCTTTACACCGAAGGTGAGATAAATAATTCCGAGTACACAACTTAACATTCCAGACCCAAACACTGCATAGTAACCTCCGTACAAGAAGATAGGACCACTGAAACAAATTTAACTTTAAATGTCGTCTTGCTTGCCTCGTCTGAAGATGAAAGCTAATGTCGCCTTCGTCCCGATATCTTTGTATTAATTGATACGGTACGAGGGACAAGTAACCCAGAGCTAGTTCTTTTCCCAATAATGTATCAACAGAGCCCATCTTAAAGACGTAATTTGGGGGTTGATAGTTTTTCTGCTTGATATCTCACGCTAAATTCGCTAAAGTCATCTGATCGACCATTGTAAGTTGGATGATAACAGACTCTGCCTGCCGTCTGTTCTGTTTTTTTTTTCTATTCAAGCCAAGAAAGAATGTCTTCTTTGTCAAAGACAAGAAAGAATGTCGTCTTTGTTCCAAGACAGGATAAATGTACACCTTATAAGTGTGCCAACAGCTGTACTTGTATAATCAGCACCATCTAGTATTCCCAGACGAAAAGACATGGCATCTTCCTCTGTTATATCTAAATATATATAAAATACATTTTTTTCCGGCCAATAGCCAGGGGGGGGGTGCCCCCTTTCTTCTGAAAGAGGGGTGAAATGACGAATTTGCACCCCCCCCCCTAGTCCCATATAAAAGAAATTGTTTTCATAAGTTTCTAATATCTAGTTATAAATTATATAGCCCGAGTAAGAATTTATTTCCAAACCAAATTATAATCTATTTAAGTGCGTTTCTCATTAAAAGTGTGACGGAGTTTTTGTGTACTCTCTTTTTCATATTGCAAAGTCAAAGTAATAGAGGATTACTTGACCCAGTTAGTTAAGCAGTACTCCCTTAAAAGCTCAAATACACTTGTTAAAAAGGTTAGCCTTTATAGTGTGCATTGACAATGTAATAAAAACAACCATATACCACTGTAAAACCAAACCAAACATTGTTTAAGAAATCATCAAAAAAACCCAAAAAAGTGTTTCGCCTGCGGCGTGTCATATTGCACCAATCCTGGTCAAATCCTGGCTACGGGCCTGATTTTTTATATAAGTTATGTCAATTTGCTGCTTTAAATTGTATATTTTTTACTGAAGATAAATTTAAACTGAAGCTTACACCAGTGTATTAAGAGGGAGTGTCTGATGAGTCCAATTAAGAAAACTACATAAATAATTGATTAACAATTGGGATGGAACCGTTCTCAACTAAGAAGACAAAGAACAGAGCGGAACGGGATGGATCGTTCTCGACTAAGAATACAAAGAACAGAGCGGAACGGGATGGACAGTTCTCGACTAAGAACACCAAGAACGGAACGAAACAAAACGTGGTTGGAACGGAACGTGGAACGATTAGAAAAAGAACGAAGAAGGATGGAACAATCTAGCTGAAGGCCCTCTTTCTAGAACAGAACGGAACGATTTTAAAAAAGTCGGATTGTGCCCAGCCCTGGTGGGTAGAGTAGGGAAGGTAAACTGAAGTGGTTGACAGACACACAATCGAAGTAATTTACATAAAGAAATCATAGAGACATAAACAATCATTTATAATTTTTTTTAGGCTCCATTGAACAACAACAATAACAAATGGCTAGTAGCTTAAACATACATGGTAGAACAACTACAAGTTTCTGCCATGCATAAATCATGCATTATTTTACTAGTGATATAACTATATAAACCAATATATACTGCCACATAAGTTCCACAAGAATATTTTACCTGTTATATAACTATATATTATAAACCAATTTATACTGCCACATAAGTTCCACAAGAATATTTTACCTGTGATATTACTATATAAACCGATATATACTGCCACATAAGTTCCACAAGAATATTTTACCTGTGATATAACTATATAAACCAATATATACTGCCACATAAGTTCCACAAGAATATTTTACCTGTGATATAACTATATAAACCAATATATATTGCCACATAAGTTCCACAAGAATCATTTAAAAGTTCAAGATACAATGTCTGAAACATGAACAATAATAAGCATACAGTGAGAACCAGAAAAGTTTGGAATAGTAAACATGAGTCATATCAATTTTGAAGTGTTAACCCTATTCAGGCTGGCTTCCTGTTTACCCAAAATAGTTGGAGGGGATTATCACGATTGTGATACAAATCTATAACATTTGATACATTTTTGAAAAGCCCTTGGGCTCTACTTCAATAATAATAAATGCAATGATAAAGATAAAAAATAATGATGATGATAATAATGACAAAGATAACAATAAAAACTAACGGGTCAAAATAAACAATATTGTTTGTTTACCCCCACCCCCCCACCCCCAAAAAAAGTATTTTTAGACAGTAACTGTACCGAGGTTAGTAGATGGAAAATGAACAAACCGGCCAGAGTTGTTAAGAAAGAATCAAAATGGTCAAATGGGAAGGGGTACTTTTTGGCTTCCTTCCCCCCCCCCACTCCCCCTCCTTCTATTTTTTTGCTCTTTCACTCTTATTTTTGACAAAACAATCTTGAAACTTCTTGTCTTTTAGGAAATAGTAATTTTTTGTAAAAAATATTTTAATGCATTTTGTAGCCAGGTACAAAAATGTGATTTTACAGTTTTTAAAAGCTCTTTTAAAAAGGATTAAAAACATACGTCACATCTTATTATTTGTCAAACAATTTTCCGACATTTTTAAAACCTACATAAAGCATCCTAAGCATTTAAGTCTGCGATCTAATTTATCTAATGAGCTGGTTTTGAACAATTGATTTTGTTGCACCTCCATTTCCATTACACCTGAGGGGGGGGGGGTGCGTCCTTTCTAGAGTTAATCCTAACCTGCCATGGGAGTTGCGAGATAAAAAAGTAGTTTAGAAGATAGGTTAGAGTGGCGAGAAGCTGACCCAACAGTGGTAAACCTGAAATTAAGATTTAAAAATGATTTTTTGAGAAAATTTTATTCAAATGGACTATAAGTATAATTTCTTGGTATCCTTCATGGAAAGATTGCAAGATGGAAGTCCAGGGAGGAAAGGGTGGTGGAGGTTCAAAATCGATGAGCCGATTAGAAGTTTCATTTTAGATAATTACAAAATTACATATTTACCATAGTACTTTTCTTGAATAATTTAAAATTTTGAATTTCTAAAAAATTAATTCTTGCGATTCCTGCATGGCAAGGAATTTCCAAAAGCAAAGTAAAAGACTTTTCAAAAAAAAATAATTCTAATAAAAAATTAATAATTTTTTAAAACCTGACCAATCAGTTTTTTCCTTCCGTTTCTATCTGACCAGGTTCCGGCCATTAATCCATACAGAATTCTGAAAAAGTACAGTTAAACTCTAAATATTAAATACATCGAAAGAATTCATCAGATGTTGTATTCTTCACTTTCTGATAATGAAATGTTGGAGATATTTAGTATTTTTAATTAAATGATTATATGGAGCTCTTTAAAACTGTTCCCGCATATTCATGGCTATTTCTTTATTCTCGCAATTACTGAGATTTAAGTAAAATACATAGTATAAAACCCATTGAAAAATTGTCAAGACGACATTTGATAAATTCTGTCGATGTATGGCTCATTGAGGGTTTACCTGTAAAATATCAGAGTAATTTGAATACTTAATTTAAGAATATCTTTAATGAGCAGACTATTCAACAATTCTTAGTTATCACTGAGATTTACGTAAAATAGTACAAAAAAACCATTAAAAAATGGTCAAGACGACATTTGATAAAGTCTTTGATGCAACAAACCCCAAAATAATTCGAAAACTTATTAAGGATATCTTTAATGAGTAGACTATTTGACAATTCTTAGTTATCACTTTAAAGAATGTATAGTTTAAAACTCTTAATTGGGACTCAAAAATGTTCTCAGAGATAAAATATTTATGCCATAAAAAAAATACTCATAACATCTGCAAAATTTGCCTAATTTGTGTTTCTCAGTCACAAAAATTTGTATTTTAAAAAAAGTAAACAATCCGTTTTAAGTAAATGTAAAATAAATCTGAAAGTTTTTATAAATAAAACCTTTTTTTAGATTGTTACAAATGCATTTTGAAAAAAATTTACCTTGGGAGGAAGGCGAGTCCTCCATAAAGAGTTTCGTACTCTGTAACATTTAACTAGAAAAACAATCATAAAAAGGAACTGTTGATGTAATTTTAAGAGAATGCTCCTTTTAAAGATCAACATTCCTGATTCTCAATTTTTTTGAATTTTTATTTGAGCAAAGTTGGTATTCACTTTTATTTAAAAATTAAAACTCCAAATATGTGGTTTTTCTTTAAACAAAGAGAATAGAATATATATTAGAGTGGAATTTAAACAATCCCTCGGTATGAATTTTGTAAGTCCCTTTCAGCCTAAAAGGGAGTTTAATGTGTACAAATCATGTAAATATTTAGAAATTATATGCAGTAGAGTACATTAATACAGTATGTTCCCTAGACTATATATTTCAATTTAGAATTTTTTAAAGCTGTTAAATAAACTTTATAAAATGAATTAGGTGAATAAAAGCATCATTTGATTTATAGTTATAACGGAAAATCATCGTTTGTAAAGTGAAAGGCATATATAGAGTCTATGTGAAATGATCATTGGTGAATTATGAAACCAGCCTATTTCATAATTTGGTTTTCTTTTAATATTAATTTTAGATTTTCAATAAAATGATGTTCCGGGGCCCAAAAGGTTATATAGCGCAAATATGTGGAGTACACCTGCACTATGGAAACAGTACAACAAAATGGCCGTTTTACACTTTTTTCTATTAGATTCCACTTTTAATATATATTCTATTTTCTTTGTCTTTAAATCACTTCCGGATTTTGGAAACATTCTGTTAACTCTGCCCACAACTTGTTGCTTAATTGCTCCTTGAAGTTTGTAGTATTTACTCAGGGTTCCTTGATCTTATTCACGCCACTGCCACCAGTTTTGCAGTTAACACCTACTCCATATCAAGTTCTCAAACGTATCTTTCCAGGTACAATCCGTCCGCTATCAAACTCAACCAGGACTGAATCCCAGGCTCTAAATGCCGCACAGGGACACAAGCATAGGTATCAATATGCAGCTACTAATACAATGCTCTAAATGCCACATAGGGACACAAGCCTAGCTATCAAATTATCTATATTGATCCCAAATGATGGGGACGATCCAATGCTCCACTCCGGGACACAATCCTAGCTATACAACAAGCTCTTTATCGATCCCAAATAATGGGGAGGAATAAATGCTCTATATGCCACACAGGGACACAAGCCTAGCTATACAACAAGCTATATATCGTTCTCAAATGATGGGGAGGATCTGGTGCTCTAAATGCCACACAGGGACACAAGTCTAGCTATACAAGAAGCTATATATCGATCCCAAATGATGGGGAGGATCCGGTGCTCTAAATGCCACACAGGGACACAAGCCTAGCTATACAATAAGCTATATATTGATCCCAAATGATGGGACGATCCAATGCTCTGGTGCCACACAAGGACAAAAGATTAGCTATACAACAAGCTATATATCGATCCACCTGATGTAATTCTACCAACGAATTACGTATTTGTTGCACAGTTAAAGTTTAATGTTTTGCAAGAGTTTAGCTTGAGTTTTACACAAAGGAATTGAGTCTTTGCCACAAACTCTGATTTTCTATTCACTATATCTTTGGAACCAAATGTTGCAGACCTTAGATATTTCAAACTATGAATTCTGTTAGATCAAGTAATCTGAGTTTGAAATATCAAAGGTTTACAACATCGAGTTCTAAAGATATTGCGGTTTAAATATTTGATATTGTTTCAAAGACTCAATTCCTTTAACTCAAGTTTTGTAAGATTTTAGCTTTAGGTTTGCAGGAGTTTAACTCGAGTTTGCACGAGTTAAGATCGAGTTTTGCACGAGTTTTGCAATATTTCAACTTGAGTTTTGCACTATTTTAACTCGAGTTTTGCAAAAGTTTAACTCGAATTTTTCTTGTGTTTATCTCAAGTATTGCATGAGCTTAACTCGAGTTTTGGATGAGTTTAACTTATTGCTGGGTGCTTACCCGAACTTCCTCTGCAATTTGTGTATTATTCTGAGAACCCAAATCATCACATATTTCTTCAGTATAGTTCAGTTTACTAAACAATACGGAATATTAGAAGAAATTCTAAACTGTAATTAATATGTATCAAACTCCAGTTTAAGTTTTACCCTTGAAGGAAGTGCCTGGTAAGGTATGGTTTTATAGCTAATCTCAGTTATAAGAATAGTTTTAAAAATGAGTTTTTTAAGCATAGGTAATAGGTATAGAAATAGATTCCAAACACAAAATAATCCAGAAAGATCCAATTCTGCAAATTGATTCACTTTGAAATGAATCTTTTCTGTAATTTAAGCCTCTAGGGATCATATTTAACTTTGGCAAAAATAGAATCCAATTTAAGATGAAAATTTAGTCAAATATGGAAAATAATTTTATCGGAAAATATTTTACTGTTAAGTAGTTGAATTCAAAATTCTCAAAATGCAGTGAACACCAAATTAAAGTGAAATAACATTTGCAATTTTTTTTTCTTTTTGTCAAGCTTGAAACAAATGGTTCAATAAAATTAAAAACGTTTCCGTTGCAAAATTTTAGATTAATACAACATATCGGCGTTTTGTTTTTTATAAATTTTTGAAAAAAGTCCTTTAAATAAAAATTTCTTATAAGTCAAGAAATTTTAAGGTGATATATTGCAAAGGATTGAGCGAATAAACATTATTATTCAGATAAAAAAATTCGTAATTATCGAAAAAAAAACTATTTTGTTGGAATAAAAAATTCACAATTGCCAAAATTTCAAATGAAAAGGCTGTTAGAATTATCGTGACAAAATTTCTAAAAAATTGAAATAAAAATCCTGTAAAATTTTTTCAACCCTCTGACTTTATTTTTTCATCTTTTGATGATGACTAAATAAGTTTGAGAGCGAGGGGGGGGGGTAGTTGAACTAAAAGTTTGAGAGGGGGGGCAGTAGTTCAACTTTATTATTCTTGAACTTTCTATTTACCGTATATATATCTAACTCTACAAATAAATATGAAAAAAAACTGAAAAACCCCTTTTTAGAAATTTCAAAGGGACCGGGGACGCCCTCCCCCCAAAAAAAATCCTTTATCAAAAATGTTTTACCTTTGGCAAAGTTTCTGTATAATAAGATTTGATCTAATAACCTCATTCAACCCAAGAGAAACTAAATTATATTTTTATCAACAAGAGACAAAAAATGGCATCTGCGGCTGAAAACAAGGTTTGTTTATTAAGGTTGGAAACTCTGGATGCACTCCAATGTACGGAAAATGTCGTCTTTATAGCACTTACACTCAAAATCTTCAAATGGCGTAACTGATAATGGCGGAAGCTGAAGTGACATAAGGATTTTGAGTGTCCATTGCTATCAAGACGACATTAATTGGAGCGTATATGAGATAGGATGAGTTAGCGCAATTGTTAGGGAGGAACCCTGCAATGTAGGACTGGGCAATGTTAAACGAAAATAACCGTTCATAAAACGAAACAAAAAATAAAATAACAAAAAAACGGCCACTTTTGTTTGTTTTTCTGCTAAAATTTCATTACATTTACTGAAACTTTTAATGTTTTTTTTTCTGTTTTCTGGGCTTTATTATTGTTTTCTTCTTTTCCCCGCTAATTTTACACATGAAGAAAACATTAACGGCTCATTTACGGCGGTTTCTAAAATATCTTAGATTTACGTCGTTTATTAGATTCAGGTCGTTAAAAAAGAACGAAGGGGTATTTAAATAGTTGTTCTTTTAACGATTTGTAGAAAACATCTTCATTTAATTACTTATGGTGCGTGATTAGTGAGGTTGTACAATTGGAATATTTGCAGGAGAAACTGTGGGGGTGGGGTGTAGTGGTTCAAACGTCTGTTTCTTCTAGAGCTTTTTTGATCAAAGACGACATATCATCTGTTTATTTTACCTGCATAAAGAAAAATAACGGGTTCCACCGTTACCGGAAACCATAATCTGAATATTTCAAAAATACATATACCATTTTTGCTTCTTGAAGATTAGTCAAATTTAATCCCTTTTTTCAAGATTTGATGAAAGTTTCCAGTTTCAGGAATAATAAATATTATGATCGTATTTTCTAAATTTAAAACTACCAAAAAAAATATACGTGGGTTACCCACAAGAGATGAGACTTAAAAGATCGACTACTTACGAAAGTTATACGATCTTAGCTGTGAACTTTAGAATAGGATACCATTAATCCAAATATCCAATGTGGACACTTTTGATTTCTTTTTTGGATATGGTAGAGAAAAATCAAAAACCGGTTTTTTTAAATTGAGAGTCCTTCCCGTTTCTGTATATTAATTATATTAATCTTAAATGGCGGCGCGCAAAATTTCTAATTATACGCGACTCTGAATTTATACACTTTTTTAAGAATACAAATACAAGATTATGTAAGTGATTTAGAAAAAAAGAGAGGATTAAGCATTCATCTCGATATCCACCATTCTAAAGTTCCCAGCTCTGTTTTCTTATATTCATGTTTCCCTGCAACTTTAAACTTGTTTCTTTCTTTGCCTAATCATTTAATAAGTCATTAAAATAGCACATTTAAGGCAGATTAGAGCGTTTCAATTCGTCTTTACAGTCTGGTCTTTTTTGAGTATCCTTTTCATAACGTTTAATTCAAGGTTTAGAATAAAGCTAGTTTTAAAGATGGATTGCTTTAATCTTAGATATAGAAAGAATGTATTGCTTTAAACCTAGTCATAGAGGTCGTGCAAAAAGTTTAATCTTTTGATGAATGCCGCGCAGTTTAAAGACGACTCAAAGGGTATCAACTTTAAAGTAAGAAAATGGTGGAAAACTTGTTGAAATCCAAAATTCAAAGAATAAAAGTTTAGCTATTAGTATTTGTGGTTATAGCTAGAATTCTATTGAAAAAATGACACTTGACACTCTAGTATGCCGAGTTCATTAGCGCCTGATCCAATCAGGGTTCAGTCATATGTTTGATGTCTATTCTGAACCAATAGAAATTGCATAGCGGTAACATCTATCTTTCTATTTAGCGCATTATCCAATTAGAGATAAATCCTTATATCGGCGCCATTATAGCAGTAAAGGAAATATTTACTTCTACCGCGAAACTATAGTGTTAAAAAAACTCCTATGCTATTTGCATAGAGAATAGAATATATATTAGAGTGGAATTTAGAATTCCCCTCTAATATATATTCTATTCTCTTTGGTTATTTGTGACACCCTGCATGTCATTTCGTCAATATTTTACCTCTGAATTCTTTGCCAAATTGTTTGTGTAGATTTCACCATTTCACAAAAGAGATAATTCTGAAAAGTTGAATTCGAGAAATGAAAATTCATAAATCACATCACTTATGATACAGAGCGAATAAAGGTTCATTAATAAGAATTTTTAACATACAAGAGATTCTTAATAAATATATTCTTTTTTGCTTCTCCTCTGCAGGTTTAGATTCTTGATAAATATATTCATTTTTGTTACTCCTCTGCAGGTTTATTAGAGTTAACTGTGTGTCAATAGAAATCCATTGTTCAACTGTAATCGTATTTTCACAGGTTTGAAATTATTAAAATTATTTAGATAACAATTATCTTTTATTCAAAACAGCTAAAGCCTAACTAAACTCAGGTTATTATAATGACAAGGTCTAAACAGGGGTCAATATGATTTTTTATTACATAATTTTGCCAAAAAATATTGAAAAATGGAATAGGGCTAAACATTTATTAGAAATTCTATATTTACATTTTGTCTGGGTGACAATGAAAACATTGCAGTACACTTGAAGTACCCTTCAAGATTGGCGTACTGTAGTCTATTTAAGATGTACAGGGTTATCCAAAAAGGATGAGACTGTAAAGACGACTTGAACCTGTTAAAATATGACGATTCCAACTTAAAATTAGGCTTCTGTCTGGATGTGTGATTTAATGTCTTCTTTGGCAAATAAAGAAAGAAGTTTATAGTTTCAAGGAATCGGGAATATGAGGAAACATTCAGTATAAATTACGTACAGTCATTTCAGAAGTCTTATTCTTTGTGGCTAACCCTGTAGACACTTGCCTTCTGCATACAAGTTTGGAAACCCACCTTTGCCCACGTGAAACATTTAAACCTATATAAGTATATCCACGTGGTTCTAACGGGTTACCCAATCAGTCAAGGGGTTCATGAGTTATGATCGGACATGAAAACAAACAAACAGACAAACAGAGATTATAATACTTCATAAATAAAATATATAAGGGAACCTAAGATTTTTCTGATTTTTTTTTCTTCTGATTTATTTTTTAAAGATTTTTTTCAGATTTCGAATTAATGACTTGAATTGAAAAGATCCTGAAGCCAAGGTAGAAATCCTTGTGGTTTGTTAACCCTTGGACCAAATTTAACGAATAGTGAGACGTAACTGAACTGCAGGGTGTCCCACATCATATTAGATCGTCAATCGGTATAAATTACGATTTTCGGGACTAATCAGAGAATTTAAGAAGAATTAATTGTTTTGAAAAATTGAATAAGGCTAATTTAAGAATCTTATTGTGGTAAATGCGAGGTTATTCGAGTATTATGGTTTTAGTTTGACGTTAAAACTTGGAGATAATCTGATATGATATGGGACGCTCTGTACGTAAACTAAGCTGTTAAACCTCTTCTTGTTAACTTAACCAGCACATAATGAGAAGTGCAGTTCAAATACTTCTTGCTTCTCTTAAAAGGAAGTGAACTTGTTCTTCTGACTCGAAAACTGGTTATTTCTGTGAATTTCTCTATTATTTATAATTAGCAAGAAACGCGCATGTCACTTTTGCAGATAAGCCACAAATAAAAATAAAAACAGGTTTAATAAACAAAACGTGGATATCTAATACAAACATGATCAGACAGAAGCTTTCAGGCTGGAACCGTTGTAAATCGGGCATTGTCATCTTTGCAGTAGGGTCAATTGTTTATTTGTCTGTTTGGCTGAACCGATCGGGTCCGAATTTTTTCTTTGGGATCTCACGTGACCCCAGGGAAAGTCTATGAATGATCAAAATTTAAAAAATTTGTGTTTAAAAGTTTTTTATTTTTTAAAATTTTGAAATGCGCGAAAAAACATTATAAAATCCGCAACTTTTTTTTTTTTTTTACTGTACAAAGAGAAGATGCTCAGATATAAAGCCACAATTAAAAGTTGAAATAGAAGATGGGCGCGAAACGCCCTATAAGCCTAGTTGTTTAAAAACCAATAAATCATTAGATAACTTAACAATCCTTTGAAAAAAATGAACACGGTAAGTTGTAACTGTTAAAGAAAACGTGGGTATCATACAGGGCTGCCCACAACGGTTGAGACCAAAAACTTTGAAATTTGTGTAGATAATTAGTATTTCCTTTTATATTGTAAGGAAAGGACTCTGTGATTGTAAAAATAAATCTTTATATATTTAAATGTCAAAATATCTACCTTATTATCGCTATTATTAGTAGTAGTATTATTAATATCATTATTATTATTATTATTATCATCATTATTATTAATTATTTAACTAATTGAACCAAATTTCGACATCTGTTAGTAAAACTAATATCGCAAAATTATCATTTTATAAAAACTTGTTATCTTTAAAAATTGTTGCATAATAAACTTGATACAAAGATAGAGACTAATAATTTCTTTTAAGAAAACTAGGCGTTTAGCCAGGTCGCTTTGCCCACCCTATTCCATTAACAATTTTAGATTTTAGTTCTGAAAATCGCTGTTTTTAATTATTCTCATTTTTTGCGTATTTTTTATTTAAATTGTGGCATTTAAAAAAAAAATATTTTAAAAAAGTGGGTTGCCATAAATCAGTTTATTATTTGACGTTTCTAGGAAACAGATAAACAGGCCCAAAATATATAAAATTAGATGTTTTCTAAAAAAATTATAAGTAATATATAAGGTTTTGACAGTATAAATAAAAAAATGCATTTGTAGATGAATTATGGCTAGATTTATGGATTTGGATTATATACAGGTATAATTGAAAGGTGGTTTATAAATAGATACATGGATTATGGATTAGAAAGATAAATATAAAAATACTTTTTAGATACATTTTCACATTTTTTACGTACGTATTTTTGTATATTCATGTTTCATATTCCCTTCCAGTGAAGTTGTCCAATAAACACCACCCCTCTTCCCTCCCCCCCCNCGCAAACACCCCTTTCGGAGAATTGCGGATATACGAGACTGTGCAAATATTGATTTTCTGTGCGAAAGTTTTGTTTTGCGTGTGTGCACTCTTTAATCATTTTTATCTTTATTTTATTGTGGTTGTAAAGGCTGTTAAAGGAAAAAATAGGGGAATTTCTCAAATATAGAGGGTGGAGGGTGGACTACCTTTATTACTATTATACAGGGAGTGTCAAAAAGCATGAAATGAAATTATTAAGTCGGCTTTGATCTAAATTTTTGAAGATACTTTACACAAAACTTTAACTAGAACTAGAACTAGAACTAGAACTAGAACTAGAACTAGAACTAGAACTAGAACTAGAAATAGAACTAGAACTAGAACTAGAACTAAAACTAGAACTAGAACTAGAACTAGAACTAGAACTAGAACTAGAACTAGAACTAACAATAAAACAGTATATTTTTCCCCACACTGATCTCAAGTTTCAATATTTCCCCCTCCACGTGTATTTAGTTACCCCCGAGAACAAAAACCTTGTTATTTTCAGAGGATTTAATTTCTGTAAAATATGATTTTTTCCAGTTTGTTGTTGAATGCATATTCGCAATTTATTTGATACAGTAATCATACTAAAGTTTCAGAGCTCGGGGGTGTAAAAAGGGGGAAAATTCATAGGGAACAAAATGCTTAACCGTTTCAAATAGAAAAGAAGAGTTTGTTTATAAAAATCGTTTTGAACGAAATTTTAATTGGTACTTCATATGACTAAATAGAAATAACTAGGCTTTTAGGGCGTTTCGCGCCCTTTTTCTATTTCAACTTTTAATTGTGGCTTTATCTGTGTGCATCTTCTCTTTGTACAGTATAAAACAAAAACAAAAAAAGTTTGCAGATTATCATAACATTTTTTCGCGCATTTTCAAAATTTTACAACAAAAAAACATTTAAACACTAGTTTTAGAAATTTTTATCATTCTTAAACCTTCCCTGGGGTCACGTGCTATTGACCCCCCCCCCCTCTACCTTTATTAAAAAATATATTTGACGAAATAAAAACAAAAGATTGTAAAATTGTTGAATCTAAAAAATATTTAAAGTTTAAAAGATGTTTAACTCAATTATTAGAAGAACCTAGCACCTGGAAATATGTATATCTTAAATGTTCAGAGCTGAAAACTTTAGAATGGTGGATATCCTCTCTTTTTCATAATATCGAGACTAACCTAATCTTGTACTTGTATCCTGAAAAGTGTATAAAATTCAACCAATCAGAGTCGCGTATATGAAGCCGATAAATTTGAAATTTTGCGCGCCATCTCTAATTTAGAAAAACCGGTTTTTGATTTCCTCTACTATATCCAAGAAAGAACGGTTTTAGAAGAAAATCAAAAGTGTGTCCATTGGATACTCAGATTAAGTAATCGGGATTAAGGATATCTCATTCTAAAGTTTTCAGCTCAGAATATTTTTGTGTTAGGAATCGTGGAATCAAGCATTGATCTCCAATTTTTGCAGACCTACCTGTCCGATTAATCTGATTCCTCTTCGATATTCTGTGGTGGTCATACCTTGCATTGCTAATGTTAATCGAAATAATATTCAAATTTAATTTTGCCAGCATATATCGAGATCAAGCGTTCAAGCGTTAAATTTTTAGAAAAGAATTTGTTACAAATCATAAAATTTCAATATCCAAAAATACAATGGAACGAACTGTTTCCTGTTTCCTGGTTTTACTGCTATTTATTCAGTTTGGAAAAGGATTCAGACACGCTTACTGTCCACATCATAAAAGGGAGAGTCACTTAGAATTACGAATACAATCCCTTTAAAAAAGGTTTCTTTCGGCAGGCACTCCCTTACAAAATCCTTTCTCTGATAATGATCTTTGAAAAATGTAGACAATGTGAAACCCTGAAAGTTTCCTGATTTTCTAATTTGTTTTATTTGGATAAAAAAGGTTGAGTTTGGTCCCTGGGAGAGTTGAGAATAGATCCAGTCTCTCAACCAAACCAAACTAAACAAAACAAAACAAAACAATAACAAACCAAACCATACCGAACAATACCAAACCATACAATATCAATCTCAACAATACCAAACCAACCCAAACAAACTCAACCCAATCCAAACCATACAAAACCTAAACAAAACCATACCAAACCAAATCAACTAAACAAAACCATACCACAACAAACCAACCAAATCAAACAAAAATAGCCCATATTAAACAAACTAAATAGAACCAAATTAAACCTAACTTAACCTAACCAAGCCATACCAAACCAAACCAAACAAACGAAAAAGAGGACCTAGTGCCGTGTTAAAGAAACCCGACTATTGTAATCGAACTACAAATCCCATAAAGGCAATCCCCTTGAATAGCCTATAAGTTGTGCAAGTTTTTCATAGGTAAGAAGACGACCGTTCAAGTCGATTTTTAACCATGATGTTTAGTGATACACACCGTATCTAAGATGCACCATTTATAATATATCTATAGATCTACATTAAGTATTGGAAATCAATCAGATGGTCACATAAAAGAAATCCGCAATATTTTATCAAATCCCACAATTCCCCCGTCATTTCCCTTTCATACAACATCCCCCCCCCCCCCCAATATATCCTTCGATGGAATTTATAGAATTATTTAGAAGGTTTGTTAGATTAATGATTTAACCACAATTCTATTATTGAAAATGTGCAATTTATTCTATTTTGTTGAAAATTTAAACAAAAGCGACAGTTATCGCCACAAAACTATAGTTAATAGTTATGTTCTTTTGTTTTTCGCTTTCAATAGCTTAAAAACTAACGCTTAGATGGTTTTAATAATACGTTTTTTCTAAAATCGAAGGTTATTTAATTTTGAAAATTCTAAACTAAAAACTATCGTTTTTAAAAACGATGCTCTTTCCTAATTATAATATGCAATTTCTTTACCGTTAAATATCATGTTTTGTAAATGTAAGACCCATCAGAAGTAACATGCTATTCATATGATTATACATGCTTTGCAGATGGGTACTCCATTTGTATAAGAAACATTCAGAATAGGTTATTGTATACGCGGTAATTGTACATTAGACAAATATTTCTTATGCAAAAAAGTACCGTCTGCAAAGCATGTATAATCATATGGTAGGGCGGGCCGCGTCAGTTGTATCTCCCTTCTTTTTCAAACTCCCTGGGCCGGCAGAGCGTTACAAAACTATTTTTTTCCTGTATGTTGTTGCTATATTATGTTGTTATGTTTTTCCCTGTTTGTTGTTGCTATATTATGCTGTTATGTTTTTTTCTGTTTATTGCTGCTATATTATGTTGTTATGTTTTTCCTGTTTGTTGTGGTTATATTATGTTGTTATGTTTTTCCTGTTTGTTGATGCTATATTATGATGTTATGTAAGTTTTTCCTGTTTGTTGTTGCTATATTATGTTGTTATGTTTTTCCTGTTTGTTGTTGCTATATTATGTTGTTATGTTTTTTCCTGTTTGTTGTTGCTATATTATGTTGTTATGTTTTTTCCTGTTTATTGTTGCTATATTATTTTGTTATGTTTTTCCTGTTTGTTGTTGCTATATTATGTTGTTATGTTTTTCCTGTTTATTGTTGCTATATTATGTTGTTATGTTTTTCCTGTTTGTTGTTGCTATATTATGTTGTTATGTTTTTCCTGTTTGTTGTTGCTATATTATGTTGTTATGTTTTTCCTGTTTGTTGTTGATATATTATGTTGTTATGTTTTTTCACGATACATATTTGTGATAATATATATATAATATTTGAAAATGCACAGAGCGCTTAAATGAATACTTTTTTGTCTGTTGTTATCATACGGTGGTAGGCGATTATACCAATACAAAGAAGACGACTTTTTATTTTAGTTTCAATTGTTAACAAGCTTTTTTCGAATTACAAGTTTACAAGTTAATAAAGAGAAGCTTTTTAAATTGATAGCTTCTCGTTGTTTTTGTGTATCCATGCTGTTTAAAAGCATAAGATAAATCAAAATTGAAAGTATTTTTCATTATATTGATAAAATCGCCTACCGCCGTATTATGTTTTATATGCATATTTGGGCTAATAAATAACTACAGGGTCTCCCAAAAAACATGGGAATTCAGTGACGAATTCAATATCGTCTTTGTTATGAATTAACATTGGTAATACCTGATTTAAAAGACATATAATTATTATGTCTGCCAGAGTTTCTTTGATGAAAACGGTAAATGGCTGAACAGATGTGTCTATAATGTCATATAAATAAGAGTTTTTAAAAACTGGGCTTTAAACTGATGAATTAAAAAAATAATAAATTTCGAGTTTGTTTCTCGCATAAATTTTTAACTAGTTTTAAACTTTCCCTTGGGCCATGTGAGTTGCCTCACAAATGTTGGGCTCGGTCGGTTCAGCTGTTTGGACGTTTATTGGATACAAACATATAAACAAACAGACGAGCAAAGTATATAAATAGAGTGAGAACCAGAAAACTCTGTAATAGGATGGCGACTTTTAGACTTAAATTATGACTCTTAATAGTTCATTGAACATGAAACACGGCAATTACGTATTATATACTATACTGTGTACAGACCAATTTAAAAGTGATTCACTATTTACTATTTAACCTATTTGCTTTGTAACAACATCAATTAGACTCAAGGATTGCTATACATGTCGTCTTCCTTTCCACAGTTTTCTTTGATAAAATCATTTTGAGACATGGCAGTCAGGATTTATATTATTTCATGATAATTCAAAGTAGTATTGCTTTAAATACAGCTACACCAGGCGCACATTCTATTATTCTGTAGATAGTATTACTTACTGGTTTTATCTTTTACATAAGTTTAAGATGTCTTCAACGTTTTCCGGAACCTTTTCCCGGAAAATTCCGAAACAATTGTTCCGTGAACCGCAATTATCCGAAACACTTTTCCGTAACGTTCCGTAATTCCAGAACAACGTCCCGGAAATTTCCGGTTTACGGAAAAAATCGTTCCGGAATTCCGGAACCTTTTCTATAATGAAAATGGAAAAAATTTCCGGATCATTTCCGTACGTAAATCGTAACCCGGAAATTCCGGTGGAAACCCTAAACAGCCTTCTCAGAAGATATCACCATACTAAATCAAAGAATTATTTGAAAAGACGATATCGAATTCGTCACTGAATTCCCATGTTTATTTGGACACCCTGTATCAGAATATGTTAAATATATCAGAATTGCGTGAAATATTGCTGTATTTAATGATATTATTTGAACTATTTAAAGTCCTAAAGTCGATCCTATTTTATGGTTGAGAGGGTTTCACCGTATGAAATACAAACAAGAAGGGGCAAAGTCTTATCAATAACAGGCATGGTTAAGTCATCATTACCTGAATTAAGTGTCTTTTAGGATCTATAACTAACCTTTAATTTGAAATATTTCAATGTATAAACTCAAAACAACTGAAAATAAAAAATGCAAAACTATTAAAGATTTAATTTTCATCATAAATATATGATTTGAGATTGGAATTATTGTGCTGCCAAATTTTTTTGAAAAAACATCTATTCAAAATGATTAGTTTTACAATATTCTCAACATTTTTTTTAGGAAAGAGTTTTGAGAAAGGACCCCTATCGAACTCTAATTATATAGGGACTGATTACAACCCTCGAACTTTTATTACTTAGGAACTGATTACTCGCCTAGAACTTTAAATATATAGGAACTGATTACTCGCCACAAACTCTCATTAACTGATTACTCACCTTGAACTCTTATTATATGAGAACAGATTACTCGCCTCAAACTCTTATTATAGAGAAACTGATTACTTACCTCGAACTCTAATTTGTCCATCCTTGCAATCCAAGACCAAAGAATGCACGAATGTTACATTATTGCTTAACCCTATCCCTATTGGATGGGGGGGGGGGGGCGTTTTCCTCATTCTATGGCTTTCTATGTTTAATTCCTTGAGAAAAATTCACATTTATTTCTTCATTTTCCTCAGTATTTACCCAGTATTTGACCAGTATTTGCCCTGTATTTGCCCTGTTTTTGCCCTGTAATTGCCCTGTTTTTGCCCTGTATTTGCCCTGTATTTTTTAACTTCTCCTCTCTGAGAAGCAAGGAAAGGACAGCCCTTACCCCACCTCTTGATTTTTGATAATTAAAAATAATAAATTGTTTGTGTTTAAAATATATTTCTTTAAAAAGCATAAATGTGATTATTTCATAAAAACCAAACGTGTAAAACAAAAATACAGGGAAAACGGAATTCTCGAAAATTCAAATACTGCTGAGTTTGGTGACTTGTCTTCTGAACTTGATAATTTCCGCGCAATTTTTTAGCTGCAGAACGTCAGCCATGCTGTACACATCACTGAGAAAGTCGTCTTCATTCAGTTCCTTGAAAATATATATTCTAATTCTAATTTTTATTCTAATTTAAAAAAAATTTATTTTGTTTTGAAAATACCTCTTTTGCCAGAAATGCATTCATCAATTTTGTTGTGAGAGAAAATGATTTCCCCATTGTTTCCGCAGCAGGGAAAATTTTCCCGCTCCAAAGGCAGACACTTTCCCCCTGAGAGGGGAAAATGTTGTTTGGAGACAACTTTTTGGAAACCTTTGTCAGGTCTGTTAAGCACATTCCACCAAACTGGAAAAAAATCAAAATTTAAATATGCTCTTTTACGCACCAAAGGAATTGAGTCTTTGCCACAAACTCAATAGTATTTTCTCTATATCTTTGCAACCTGACGGTGCACACCTTTGATATTTCAAACTTAGATTATTTGATCTAACAGAATTCATACTTTGAAATATCTAAGATAAACGACATTGGGTTGCAAAGATATAGGGCTTAAAAACAGAGTTTGTGGCAAACACACATTTCTTTCCTACCTTTAATTTGTCAAACTCATGGCAGATTTTCAGATCATCAGAGATTCCAAAAGCAACTGTTACAAACTTCTCTGCACCCGTCAAGTCCCTTTAAGTAATGTTTGATGAAAAACTAAACTAAACAAAGAAGATTCCATCCATCCTTTAAAATATGTTAGTCCCTGCTTAAACAAAATAGTGGTCCTTTTATAAATAAAATCGTGGTCTTTCTTTGCCAAAATGGTGGTCCCTGCAAAAACAAAATATTATTTAACTCTGACAATTCTCCAGTGTTTCTAAAGCAGAAATGAAACCCCACGATAAAAATAATCAAATTTAAAAGAAGAAGATGATGGATTTATCATGCTCTCTTGATCAGACACAACCATTGTAAATCAAACATGGAGAGTCACTTGAATTAGAGTGAACAGTCCCTGTAACCTCTCTGATTGTACCTGATAGGAACTGTATGGTAAAGAAAATCTCCAGGGATAGATAAACTCTCTTCAATATAAACATTACTCAAGATGGTGGAACTATTCAGGGAAACCTTAAACAATATTTCATTGAAAAAATCTAGTTTTTTCATGAAAAAATATGAAAACTTTTGATTTTTAAAAATCGGAACACGCGATGAACATATTTTTAGTATACAGTGATAACCAGAAAACTCCGGAATAGGAAATCTACTATTAGTCTCAAGTTATAACTCTTAATAGTCCAATGAACATGAGGCTCATCAATTGTGTAGTGTAAACAGACCCATTTTACACAATAAGTGTTTTGTTAACTCCCTGTGCTGTGTAACAACAACTAATGTTCTTAATCATTGATTTAATGTCGTCTTCCTCTTCTAGAGTAATCTAGTTATGTCAAAGATAATATATATATAGATACGCTGGCAGGAAGAAATTTTGAGGTCTTCAGAAAAAGTGCAATCAGCACAATCTCTGTCGTACGCATGGCATTTTATCCTCTGGATTGTTGCTAATTTATTACTTTGTTTATGCGTGATAACACCAAATGCGTACTATAGTATCAACAATGTATACTGCATATTGTATTTAATGAAACAAATTAATCAATGCAAATAAAACTGAGGTAGGAATTTGACTAGACAAAGTTAAAATGTGCAAGTTGTACCGAAAAGCATACGTAAATTAACGCAATTTAAATAAAAATTATGACTATAAAGTACATCGAATCTAGGAAAAAGTCCTAATAGCGGACAGGATCCGGTTAAACAATACATCCCATTCAACACTACTATGGTCGGTTGCTCCTGGCTCTTCATGGCTCATCACCCCCTTCACCCCAAAAACTCAAAAAAACTCCATTACTTTCCTAAAATGATCATCCTAGGTTTGGTGCGCTCAAAACTTCAATTGGATTGGTATATAAAAAAGAATTGAGTCAGCCCCAGTCCATTATCCCCTTTGATAGCCTTAGTTTAATTTTTTTAAATAATTCAAATGTGCCATGAAATTACCCAAATAATTTAACAGCCCCTTTAAACCTCTGTTTTTGAAACTTTCCAAATTCATAGGAAATTCTGCAAACAAATGCAGGAAGGAACTGTTTATCTTTTCTTTGTTATTATGCAATAAAGATAGCCCCACTTTGGCCAGGGGGGGGGGGTCTCTGGTTAACCCCCTCCCCCTGACATCTAATTTTATTTAAATATCTCATAAAGACCGTTTGATTAAATAGATATCACTTATTTAACAAATATAAAATAATTTCCAAAGGTTTGTCAATATTTCTGTTTGTCTACTATATCTTTACTAAGTACAACTGATCATAACATAAACAAAACGCGTACTGTATGTTTGTGTTACCCAGAAATTTAGTTTTATTGGACAAACAGGTCCAGATAGCAACACTTGAACTATACAGGATGCAATACGCGTACTGTATGTTTATATAACACAAATGCGTATTTCCTACAGATGGCAGCAGGGGGAGAAAGGAATATAGGTAATCAATTTGCTATAGATGTCTCTCGTTGCACTTTATCTCAGAGGTACAAAAATTAGTTGTCTGCTACAAGCAATTTAGGAAGGAGGTTTCAACCTGCCAGCATATCTATATATATATTATCTATGAGTTATGTATACAAAATTTAAAAACAATGCATTTCATAAATTATATTCACATTGTTATAAATAAAAAAGGGAGAAAAACAAAAAACAAAAAAATGTTCTTTTTTGAGCATATTTTCTCTCAGGGTAAAAATTTGGCAAACTTAAAAGAAAAGCTAATTTTTAAAATAAACAATTTTGAAATTAGTAAAACTTATCAGTCCTAAAACGAAACAACTTATTGCACATTATTAGTTTAACTCACAATATTTGTTCTTTTAAATATTTAAAAAGTTTTAGATATAAGACTAATTGAAGTTTTGAATTGACCTGAGCTTGAATTATTGAATATTCTACAATAGAATTCTCATGTACTGTACTGTCAGCTGTTATACAGCTGTTCAGTATAACCCCAGAAATGTCGTCTTTGCTCGAATCACCGGTTAATCTGAAATATATTTAATTGAAGGTACTGAACACACGCCACGTTATAATTACATCATTAAAGGGACTGTAAGTGTAATTTAAAGTGACTCTTCATGCAAAAATGGAGAAGATGACTGTTAATATTATGATACAGACAAGATGCACTTCGTTGTAGTAAGTTTGTTGTTATTCTTTGGATCGGGTACAATAGCAGCTGGGTCAGAGATAGCTAGGGCTCTTTGTAATTATTATTTCGGTTTCCGGAGAACGATAATCTAAATTTCTACAGACATAACCAGGAAACGCTGGAAAGTTAGTCGCTAAGAAGGACTTTGTAATTTGTAAAGATTTGATAATGACAGAAATAATGATGTAAAACGACAATTGTTTTATTATTTTCTGTTTATCACTCTTTACCTGCAGTGAACTCTTGTATGAAGGTTCAATTCTTCTCTTAGATCTTTATTGTCTGTTAACCCATCAAGATATTCCTAAAATACAGTACAATATAGGAAATATAAACAAAATCATTTTTAACAATTTAGACATTATGTTGGATAAACGATAGCGGCGAAAAGATATGGCTTTGGATTTATAACAATTTGAAAAACTTATTATTTAATAAGAGTTTATACAATGAAAAACTAAATTCCAATTTATATTGGCATATACTTATACTTTCTGTTGTTTGGTAATTTCCTAGTATACGATTTTTGGACCCCCACAGGCCCCCTCCCCCCCCCCTCCTATCAATTTTGTACATGGGTGTGACAGGAAGTTTCTTAACTTAACCTAACCCGTGGCCGCAGCGCTCGGCCCCCTAGCCCATCCTAGCCGCAGCGCTCGGCCCAGAAAGTGTCTTAACTAACTTAACCCGTGGCCGCAGCGCTCGGCCCCCTAGCCCATCCTAGCCGCAGCGCTCGGCCCAGAAAGTATCTTAACCTAACCTAACCCTAAATAACAAAAAAATAAATAATAGTAAATTTGCTGAAAAATAAATCGTCATGTACAAAATTGATAGGAGGGGGGGGGAGGGGGCCTGGGGGGGGTCTTAAAATCGTATACTAGGACAGACCCTGTTGTTTCATTTTTTTCAGCGATAAAAAGGAATTGAAACAACCTGCACCATCCACGGAGTCTTAAAGTGTAATGCCACGTAGCGGTAGATTTTACAAATTTTTATAATCAATGGAAGACGACTTCAATTTACAAAAAGAAATAACTATGGAAAACATAAAAACAAACATTTTTTCATAAATACATTTTGTTTGTCTATCATTGTCTTTAAAATTATCCCCCTTGACCTAAAAGTATTAATGTGCAGTGTGACCCATAAAAATGCGGAATAGGAATCCGACTCAATTTTTTAATTTTGAATATAATCCAATCAACATGAAACACATTTATACCTGGCTGTCCAATGCAAACATATTTTCATTTGTGTGGCATTTCCGATTCAAAATGGTACCCTTGAAATCTTTGTCTGATCAAGATTGAATAAGAAATCCATTTCTATAGTTTTGAAAAATGAAATTTTACAACTGTGGTTTATCTACCAAAGCATTTATGGCGCAGAAAAAAATGAAGGAATTATCTGAATAAAAAAAAACACTTTTTAATCTAGAAAAACATCTTCCAGATAAATTTTCAAGGGTTTTCATATTCCACAGTTTTATGAACCTACTCACGCACCTCTGACCCATTAGTAAAAGTAAATTCAACCTAAAGTCTGCCCGCGTCAACTTTGTTGCACTGGCCGGCTATTCCTATTGAGTGTCTGCTTTATTTACCCAATGTCCGGGCGATACAGTACAAACTGGGACTGGAAAGGTTGACCCGGCTCGGAAATTCAAATGTACTACGGCTGCCCGTGAACTGTATATGCCTTACCCTTGATGTTCCTAGATGATAGAACTTTGACTGGTTCAGCTTGAGAATATTGAGAGGTTGATCAGAGATGCAGGATCCTAGCTTCAGCTTTATATCTCTACACTCAGACTAGATAAATATAAATAGAAGATACAGGATCCTAGCTTCAGCTTTATATCTCTACACTCAGACTAGATAAATATATATAGAAGATACAGGATCCTAGCTTCAGCTTTATATCTCTACACTCAGACTAGATAAATATATATAGAAGATACAGGATCCTAGCTTCAGCTTTATATCTCTACACTCAGACTAGATAAATATATATAGAAGATACAGGATCATAGCTTTATATATATATATATATATATATGTAATAAATATAGTAAAATATCTCTCATATCTTTGCATCCTGAATATATATATATATGTTTCGTAATAGTTCATTTAACATATAATCAGTCAACTTATTTTACCTGTTCCTTTAGACCCAAATATAGTTAGTTGTAATTAGACTCTGAATATGGATGATTGAATTAATTATTAATCAGTAAAGAAATAGATTAAGAGAAGTGTGAGTTACAGAATACTTAGAAAGACTTTTGGAGTTTGGGCATTGTTACAGAAGTGGTGTTGCGCGAATGGATTTATGACCCAAAGCTAGATGCTACTTACTCCAAAACTAAAGAAGAAAAGTAAAGTGAGAACCTGTTTTTACAGAATAGCAATAGAAACCTTAGAAGGAAAAACTGTGCCATTTAGAGAAATTAGGGCGACAGTACAGCAACAAGTCAGGACTTCAGAATGTGAAATTGCAACAGTGGAGCAGTTTGTAAAGTACCCTAATTTACCTAATGACGATTCAGATAACGAACCGGAAATGGAAAAAGAAGCCCAAGGCGGAGGTACTCCATCCAATTTACTAGAAGTCCTGATGTAAAGGATTGAACAGATGGAAATACAAGCACATGCAAGAGACAGTGTCAGAGATACAAAAACAGGAGCACTAAGGAAAGAGCTCCAAGCCCTGAAACAGAAGGAAGATAGCAAACCATTTGCTCTTTATGGATCAAATATATCTTTGAGAAAGGAGGGAGCAATACAATATCTGATGAGAAACTGAAAACAGGACAAGTATTCATGGATGTAAACCCAATGCCTGGACTGGTGTTGGACACGTCTAAAGATGAAGGAGGAGAAGTGTCTGGTGATGTCAATGCAATACAGAATTGAGATTGTTGTTTCTCAATTATGCATTGCATTGCAGTACGTTGTACATTATTAACAATTTATGTTGTAAACTTATACGTAAACTTATTCAATGAAACTGTATTTCTATTGAATATGTAGCATGATTAACTTGAATCATGTTATATACTTAAATTTAGCTGTAAACATGTGTGGACATAGCTTAACTGCGTTATATCTATCCTTGTTAATCTTATAAATACGTACATTAAACTGTAACTGTGCAGTAAATAATATATGTAACATGATTGTCTTAACCATGTGATATAGATAACAACGTAGGAATTGTGTTACATCAATTCTAGTTAATCTGTAACAAGATATTTAAATAAAGTTAGTTTATAGAGTAACTCCATACGGTTTACTACAAGAGATAAAACAGGTTGGATCATCCCTTTTATTTGGGATCCATATATAGCTTGTTTGATAGCTAGGCTTGTGTCCCTGTGTGGCAATTAGAGCACTGGATCGTCCCCATCATTTGGGATCGATATATAGCTTGTTTGATAGCTATGCTTGTGTCCCTGTGTGGCAATTAGAGCACTGGATCGTCCTCATTATTTCGGATCGATTTATAGCGTGTTTAATAGCTAGGCTTGTGTCCCTATGTGCCATTTAGTGCACTGGATTGGCCCCATCATTTGGTATCGATATATAGCTTGCTTTATAGATAGACTTGTGTCCCTGTGTGACATTTAGAGCCTGGATTAATAGCTACCGAGATCGCGGGATTGTAACTGTGTGGATCATGTCCTGGTTGACTTTGATAGCAGACGGGTTGTACCTGGATAGACACGTTTCGTGAACTTGTTATGGAGTAGGTGTTTACTACATAATGAATATAATTAGGATATACAGGATCCTAGCTTCATCTTTACCCACAAAGGATGAGATTTTACAGAATGTATGCAGCCTTTTTCCTTACAACTTTGCTTCCCTGCAGGTTGAAATTGGTTCATTGGTAGATAATTTAAAGGCTATTTCCGAGACAAAAGTCCCTTCAATCCTCGTATCTTTATTTTTTTGGAAGCTTTGGTCGTCATCAAAGTGGAAAAATAAGACGAGGAGAATGCCGCTGTTGTATAGTTTTTACTGTAGTACCTGTGGGAGCCCCTGCAGTTTGTGTACATAATGTTTGTACTCTCTGGACCCCAGGAAGGTTAGAAAATCCCCGTAAATACAGAGTTCATGTTGTACAGGGGAGATCTCCTGTGTACACAAAATAAAATATTAATGTCGTCTTCAACCATTTCCTCATAGATTTGCTTTCTACCAATTAGAAATTGAACATTAAATTCTATGTTTGAATTAATATAACATCTAAGATTATTTTTTCCAAAATAAAGTCTAGCATTTTTTTAAATGGATGAATAAAAAAAGGTTTCTATATTTATGATTTTTTCTCCAATTTTTTAGGCCATTTGTTAGAATTAACTTTTGGTGATTTAAAAAGATCCATTTTCACCAGTTTTTCGATTTAGTTATAAACCATTCAAATATATTCATTTCACCTCAGCAAGCTTGAGAAGTTTTTTTGTTGTTCGAGAATGAAACCAGAAAGCACTATCACTAAATACCTAGGATATTAACAAAATAGTGAAAACAAACTATAGAAAGCACTATCACTAAATACCTAGGTTATTAACAAAATAGTGAAAACAAACTACAGAAAGCACTATCACTAAATACCTAGGTTATTAACAAAATAGTGATTACAAACTATGTAGTGAAAGTATTATTAGACCCGTTGAATAGTATTATTAAACCTGTTGAACAGTATTATTACTGCTGTCAGCACGTACTGTTCAGTATAATTTGACCTGTTGAATAGTATTTTTAGATCTGTTAAACAGTATTACTACTGCTGTCTGCACTGAATTAGCAAAGTTAGAACCGTTGAAAAGTATTTTATTATTAGACCTGTTGAACAGTATTATATTATTAGACCTGTTGAACAGTATTATATTATTAGACCTGTTGAACAGTATTATTACTGCTGTCTACACTGGTAAGTATTATATTATTAGACCTGTTGAACAGTATTATTACTGCTGTCTACACTGGTAAGTATTATATTATTAGACCTGTTGAACAGTATTATTACTGCTGTCTACACTGTTAAGTATCATATTATTAGACCTGTTGAACAGTATTATATTATTAGACCTGTTGAACAGTATTATTACTGCTGTCTACACTGGTAAGTATTATATTATTAGACCTGTTGAACAGTATTATTACTGCTGTCTACACTGTTAAGTATTGCTCCTTTCTCAGACATCAGTTCTTTACTTGGTTTCTGCAAAACCTCTGAAAAACAAAATATTTAATTTTTATCTAAAAATGCAAATCTTGATCGTCAAAACGACATATTGCCAATACATGCATTTAGTAATATTAATAATTCTAATTTGATTTAATTTTTCAAGACTTTAGGTTAAAAAATATAGGTTAAATTCAAAATTTTCAAAACTAAGAAAATTACAAATTACAAATTCTGATTTTCTGATTTTGATTTTAAATATCAAAGGTTTACACCTTTAGGTTGCAAAGCTATAAGGATTACAAAAGTTTGAGTTTGTGGCAAAGACTCAATTCCTTTTAGACGTTAAAAAATCCTCACCTAGACAGCTCTTTATCTGGACCAACGAACCTAAAAAACATAGTTTTTATATTAATAATAACTGTTCCTTGCAAATTCTATTAGCAATTTTGTTCTCTGTACTTCCAATATAATCAATATTAGCCTGAAACAATACATCAAAAATGAATATTCATTAATAACAACAATTTATTACAGTTTCTGGCTGGAAGTAGCCGAAAACTAATTTAGAACGGTTGGAGCTTCTGATAGAGAGAGGGTAGGATAGGGAACCTTTGAATAGTATCGTGGCTAAAAATTAGCATTTAATAAAATAAAGGCAGGCTGGTCAAACGAGAAACAAAGTCATAATTAGAAACTTTATAACTTGATAAATCAAGAGCTTCAGCAACTAAATCAGAATGTGTATCTTAATTTATCTAACCTGTGTTCTCTCCGTCCTGATCCTGTTCCATGATATAGACTCCATGTGTAGTTCCTGTGTATAAACTGGCAGGGTGAGCTAGTGCTGTGATACAGTCATCAGATCCTAAATGGAAGACTTGTCAAGTTCTTTACAAAGAAACTTAAAACAAATTCTAATTTTCTATTCTTTGCAACCTGATGTCGTAGATTTTAAAATTTCGATTTCTAAGTTTGAAATGTAAAAGTTTTACGCCACCAGGTTGCAAAAATATCGGGATTCGTTAATTTAAGTTAAGGACTCGGTTCTAATTTGTAATTTCAATTTGTTCACGTAACTGCAGCACAAAATATATTTAAGATTAAATACATTACGCATTTATTTATTCCAGATTACGGGAAATTATTAGTTAACTTAATTAATCAGATTAAATCATGTTCATGCATTGAAATATCGCAAAGTTGAATGCGAGTATTCCCATGATTAAATTTTAACTCGCCGAAATCTACAAGTTAAAACTATAGATTAAAATTCAGATGTATTACCTTTATAATTTATAGAATCTATGTTGAAAACTTCAATATCATCTGAAGCTGTTATGAAAACCCCAGGTTCCATACACTCAAGAAATGGTAGATACAAAGCCAACTTTAAATCCAGCATCTAGAAAATACAGGGTTACCCAGAAAATGAGGAGAATACAAAAACTATTAAAAAATGGTCTGAGCTGAAAACTTTAGAATGAGATATACCTAATCCCGATTACTTAATCTGAGTATCCAATTGACACACTTTTGATTTTCTTCTTAAACCGTTCTTTCTAGTATTTAGTAGAGAAAAATCAAAAACAGTTTTTTTTAAATTAGATAGCTTCTCCCGTTTCTGTATATAAATCTTAAATGGCGCTTAAAGTTTCAAATTTCCCTGCTTCTTATACGCGACTCTGATTGGTTGAATTTTATACACTTTTCAGGATACAAGTACAAGATTAGGTTAGTCTCGATATTATGAAAATAGAGGATCAAGCGTTAATCTCGATATCCACCATTCTAAAGTTTTCAGCTCTGATTGTATTTTGCCTTCTGTCTTAAATCATAATGATTTAGCAAACAAAAATTATTTTTTATTTTTGTTAAAGCTTAAGGAGGGGAGGAAGGCCAACCACATCAATCTCTAGTCCGAACCACATTCTCATCATTTTCTCGTCCGAACCACATCGAAATCCTAGTCCTTTCAATATTATTTTTTTTAAGTGTCCGATCCTTGAAAATAAATACATTTTTTAAAAATATGGCGACGTTAGGGCATAGTTGAAATATCAAATTTTCCCAATTAAATTTTAGATTTGTGTAAAAGTGAAAATGCTCCATAAAGGATATTCTACAAAAAAGCGTCTGTAAAGAGCCCTTTCTTTCGCGGAAAATGCCGCAAAACATTCTCAAACTCGATGTAAACAACTTTTTGTAATATTTCAGCTGAATTTGGGTTAGAGATATGACTTACAATTTGTATATGATTAAATACTGTTTGAATTCATAGGGTTGTGACCAATTAATTGAATAATATAAATTGAACATTATTTTTTCTAGAATTTTAAGCATGCGGCAGGCAGTAGTGATCTCTTAGTGGGGACAACAATTCTACCTTATTTGTAAATAAATCAGAAATCAATGATTTTTTTGTATGGGTTGAAATGGAAAGATTAAAGACCATGTTCACGCGAATTCTTTGGTATAGATTTTTATTTGTGAAAGTTATCCATTTTGGAGGCAGAAGAGATTTAATTTTGAACCTAAATAATGTTTGACATCATTCTCGTGGATTTGAAGATTCCAACATATCAAAATCCTTGGAAAACTTTATTTTAGTCATGTTTCATGCCCTAACGTCGCCATATTTTCAAAAAATGTATTTATTTTCAAGGATCGGACACTTAAAAAAAAATATTATTGAAAGGACGAGGATTTCGATGTGGTTCGGACGAGAAAATGATGAGAATGTGGTTCGGACTAGAGATTGATGTGGTTGGCCTTCCTCCCCTCGCTTAAGAGTTTCTCTCATTATAATAGATTCTCTTATGAGATTTTATCCAATATTTGTTAGATTCATATCAACGTTTACAGACACTTTTTCAATGCATGTTTTAAGATTTCCTATAACATTTTAATGAGATTCTGTCAAAGTTCGTTAAAATTCTATCACTGCATTATGAGATTTATGCATGAGATTTTAACTAATTTTAAAGAATTCTTTGAAAATTTTATGAGATTTTATCAAAATTTGTTGAAATTCGATCACAGTTTTATGAGATTCTATCAAAGTTTAATGATCTGCTATACCTGATATGGACCACCCTGAGTTGGCAGAATAGGTAAAGGACTAAAAATCTTCCCTGAGCAAGTATGGCTTGGAAGCCTTTTACTGTAGCCACCTCAAGATAAATGGGTATAAATGTCGTCTTCCTGTTTTGATGAAGTATCTTGTAACTTGTAAATTGTATCTTATATATTGTACATTGTATATTGTATCTTGTAAATTGCATATTGTATATTGTATATTGCATATTGTATACTTATATTGTATCTTATATATTGTATATTGTATATTGTATATTGTATATTGTATCTTATATATTGTATATTGTATATTGTATATTGTATATTGTATATTGCTTATTGTTTATTGTATTTTTGTAACTGTTGAAACTAACTGTAGAAATAAACAATTACAAGTCAAAAAATCAAAAGAGAGAAAGAAAAATAAAATCATTCAATATATATCGTCTTCCTAGTCAAGAAAGAAATCCACCAACAAGTTTTATATAAATCCACAAATGATTGAGAGCCAAAAAAAGAAACGAACCATTCATTCTTCTTTTCATATATACACATACTCATAAAATTATGGATTAGAAAGACGATTGTTACACTTAAGTTATGGTTAAAATAATCTAAAGAACAAAAGATGTGCAGTGTACAAAGACCCATATTTCAGTTGATAGTTGATTTTGTAGCTAGTATAAAAACTACTGCTTTTTACCAGCATCTACACTACACAAAAGAATGTTTTAATGTCGTCTTCCTATTCCACAGTTTTATGGCTCGGACTGTGTATTAATATCAATTATAATGTACAGTGATAATAAAAAAACTTAATAACACTTAAGTATTGCTATCGTCTTCCTATTTCAAAGTTTTCCGGTCATCACTGTATCATTATTCAGTTTGTACCTGAATGTATCAGGAGAACCCGCAAAGAAAAGAATTTCTCTCCGAATTTCTCCTTCAATATTTTCAGAATATTTAATGTAGCGCCTCCTGATCCCATTCTAAACAAACAAACAGATGTTTATGACTTTCTAAATTTGTTTTTTTTAAACTTTAATGTTACCTTGGCCCAGGGGGGTCAGGAACACAGATCATAGGAACACCTGTAATAAACAGATTGTTAACAAGTTTCAGTTTTGTCCGAGCAATTATTTTGGCCCCGTTCATACAGTTTAATCAAGAACTTTGGGTGGGAACACCGAAAGAATTTACGTCAATGGGTTAAACGTATGATGCAAGTATAACTTTGGAAAATTCCAAAATTTTGAGGATTTTAAAAATCAAGACGACATTTATATGTTGTCAGGAAAATTTTAGTTCTATTTTAAGATGCAGTTGAGCTAAATACAGGGTGTCCCAATAAACATGGGAATTCAGTTACGAATTCGATATCGTCTTTTAAAATAATTCTTTGATTTAGTATAGTGATACCTACTGAGAAAGCTGTAATCTGTAATAGATCTCCTAGATCTACTTTGAGCTGCAGTTGAGCTAAATACCAATCATGCTGAGCCACATCACTAGCACTAAATCAAACCAAACCTTCAATTAATAAATCAACATTGTATTCTTTAAAATCAATCAGTCATCAAATGAATTTAGCAGAGATTTGAATAAGTTTGAATAGATACAAAATAATCAGGAAATCAGTTGATAAATGGAAAATAAATAATTCTGTAAAATTAATAAATCAATGTTTATTTTTGAATTTTCAATTGAAATCTTGATTATTTTTTTATACAGAATTTAATTAATTACAATACATATACATATCAAGAATGAATTAGTTTATCAATTTTTAACATTTTAAAAACTGATATATTTTCAGTCGCGGTTTCTCATCAAAAGTGACATACGCAGAATAGTAATTAACAGAATTAAACACTTTTAAACCTAAAAAACCGTCAAATCTTCCAAATTATTGATCAGATAAAGGTTTCAAGGGTACTGTTTTTAATAGGGAATTGTCATCTTTAAATTGAGGGTTTCTTGAAATTACATGAATGAGGTTTCCTAATGACGACGACATCCCAGAACTTGTTTTCAGGGTTCAAGGGTTTACCCCGGAGCTTGTCATACTCCGAAAGTAAACCTCTCATGTAGGAGCCAATATCAGAACAACCCATTCTCCTGAAAAAAATGGTCAAAGGCGTACTAAGTTGGGGGGGGGGGATGACTTAGGGAAATCTATGTTTTACAGGTATCGAACCCCCTCAAAATAAAGAAGAAAATATTAAGCCCCCCCCTCCTGGAAAAATTCATGTTTACGCTCCTGTAAAGGGTTATCTACAAAGAATGAGACTTCAGAGACGACTGTACGGAAATTACTCATTTTTCTAACATTTATGTGTTCGACAGCTGTTACCTTTATTTTTGTCTATGCCAAATCATGTAGACTTTTATTAAGGATAACTGTCAAATTCAATGTTTAGATTAACATATTCATCCTTTGTGAGTAACCCGTATCCCTGTAGTTCAAAATGAAAACTATAGGGTTTCATATTTCATATCGTGATTAACTGCAATTTGTATCAGCATAATATGAATAAACAAAAACAATATACAAGAGATCAATAGAGAGCAAAAACAATCTACAAGAGAACAATATAGAGTAAAAACAATCTACAAAAGTTCAATATACAGCAAAAACAATCTACAAGAGATCAATATAGAGCAAAAACAATCTACTAGATATCAATATAGAGCAAAAACAATCTACAAGAGACCAATATAGAGCAAAAACAATCTACGAGAGATCAATATAGAGCAAAAAAATCTACAAGAGATCAATATAGAGCAAAAACAATCTACAAGAGATCACTATAGAGCAAAAACAATCTACAAGAGATCAATATAGAGCAAAAACAATCTACAAGAGATCAATATAGAGCAAAATTAAAAAAAATCTACAAGAGATCAATATAGAGCAACAACAATCTACAAGAGATCAATATAGAGCAAAAACAATCTACAAGAGATCAATATAGAGCAAAAAAAAATCTACAAGAGATCAATATAGAGCAAAAAAAATCTACGAGAGATCAATATAGAGCAAAAACAATCTACAAGAGAGCAATATAGAGCAAAAACAATCTACGAGAGATCAATATAGAGCAAAACAATATACAAGAGATCAATATAGAGCAAAAAAAATCTACAAGAGATTAATATAGAGCAAAACAATATACAAGAGATCAATATAGAGCAAAAAAAATCTACAAGAGATCAATATAGAGAAAAAACAATCTACAAGAGACCAATATAGAGCAAAAACAATCTACAAGAGATCAATATAGAGCAAAACAATATACAAGAGATCAATATAGAGCAAAAACAATCTACAAGAGATCAATATAGAGCAAACAAAATCTACAAGAGATCAATATAGAGCAAAAACAATCTACAGGATATCAATATAGTGCAAAAACTATCTACAAGAGATCAATATAGAGCAAAACAATGTACCAGAGATCAATATAGAGTAAAAACAATCTACAAGAGATCAATATAGAGCAAAAACAATCTACAAGAGATCAATATAGAGCAAAAGCAATGTACCAGAGATCAATATTGAGCAAAAACAATCTACAAAAGATCAATATAGAGTAAAAACAATCTACAAAAGATCAATATAGAGCAAAAACAATCTACAAAGAAGTAAATTTATCTAAACAGTTCAAAGAAACATTCAAAATCCTTCTTAGCGAACTTTTTTTTTTAATCGAATTGTGAATTTAAATATATAATTCAATGAGTACCATGACACAAAGCAATGTATAAACAGATCCATTTCAATAAATTAGTGAGATAATAACTTTGCTTTGTTACAACGTTAAGAATACTTCAGTATTGCTTGAATGTGGTCTTCCTACTTCAATTTTTTTGTTTATGTGTTGTATACATACGTAAATTTGATGTGACAGTTTTTTTGTTTTTTTGATTACATATATTTTAGAAAGTAAGCAGAGAAATGGTCAAGTTCTTAATAATGTTTGTACTACTACTAATAATAAATACTTTTACTAGACACTAATTCAGTAAAATGGGTTTGTGTATTCTGCACAATTAATGTGTCTCATGCTCATTGGACTTTTCAAAGTTCTAAAAGACGTCTTTCTATTTTAGACTTTTCTGGCTCTCACTGTATATACAGGATTGCCCACAAACGATAAGACTGTGAAGACGACCGTAAACTCTCAAAATGTGACAATCCTAAGGTTAATTTATGCATTTTACCTCAGGTACAGTTATCTAATGGCTTCTTTAAAGAAACAAACAAGTTTATAGTTGCAGTGCATCTTGAAAAGGAAACAGTAAAGACAGGATAAATTACGTACAATCATCTCTGATTCTCATCTTGAAATGGAAACAGTAAAGACAGGATAAATTACGCACAATCATCTCTGATTCTCATCTTGAAATGGAAACAGTAAAGACAGTATAAATTACGTACAATCATCTCTGATTCTCATCTTGAAAAGGAAACAGTAAAGACAGGATAAATTACGTACAATCATCTCTGATTCTCATCTTGAAAAGGAAACAGTAAAGACAGGATAAATTACGTACAATCATCTCTGATTCTCATCTTTTGTGGTTAACTCTGTAGTGTAGCAGGCCTTGTTGATGACTGCAGGGCATCTTGAAAAGGAAACAGTAAAGACAGTATAAATTACGCACAATCATCTCTGATTCTCATCTTTTGTGGTTAACTCTGTAGTGTAGCAGGCCTTGTTGATGACTGCGTGTATAAACATATGATTAGTTAATTGATTACTAGAATATTCCAGATGTTCTTCCGGTACAACTTAAGAAATTAACTTTAGAGCTACAGCACCTGTGCTATGTTTAACCAGGGGCGTTCCTATAGATGTAAATAGCCCCAAAATCAAAATTGGGATTATAAGTCATTTTGTCCGTGCGTCTGTGCGCCTTCCAAAAATTCAAGAAAACAAATACAATTCTCAAAAGAGAACGTTTGTGCGTTTCAAATGCACAGGTTCAACTATCTCTTAAAAACTTTGATTCATTTCAAAACACCCATGAAAATCACACTTGAATAAAAAATTCAGGACTGCATTTGTTTTCCGTGCGCATGTGCGTTTTCATTCAAATCTTTCAACATTCTTAAAAACTTTTATTTCATCTCACAAATATGATATTATTTAGCAAAATCATGAGTTTCTGCGCTGCACAAACACGTATGAAAGTCACAGTGATTTTATTTTGATCCACGATTTTGACAAATAAAAGAAAAGTTTTTATGAAACCGCACAAGCGCACGGAAAAAATTAAATGTAACCCCTGCAATTTTGATTTTGGGGCAGTTTACACCTTAAGTAATTAATACTCACCCCCCTGAAATCAACTGTCAAAAAAAATCATATCTCTCATTAAAGGATGACGGGGTGCCTTGCCCACAAATTCCGCAAATATTTTTAACCCGCTCCCCCCCCCCCCTAAGTATTTTATATACATATATGTATTTAAAAAATTACCTTGTTTTTCTTCAACAACGATTTTCTTACTGAATGATCATTTCTAAGCAGCAATCTGATAAAGTAAAAAGATACTTATTAACTTAAAATTACATTAGAGTTGGTCAATACGTGGTCAATGCGTCATATAAAGTGAATTTGCTGAGATTTGTTTAAAAGATGTTTTGATTTGACGTTTTCAACCTTTGCAGACACTGACAAACTTTCTAAAATATCAGCTGATTGCCGGGGAGCTTTCTTCTTTCTTTTTGTGGTTGGAGAAAAAGGAAGAGAAAGCTTGATAATCCATCCTTCTTCAAACTCTATCCATTCTTCTCCCAACTCTTTTATCCTTCTCCCAACACACCTCACAACTCTATTAATCCTTCTCCCAACTATATTCATCCTTCTCCCATACTCTATCCATCCTTCTCACAACTCAATTCATCCTCCTCACAGCTCTATTCATCCTTCTCCCAACTATATTCATCCTTCTCCCAACTCTATCAGTTCTTCTAAAAACTGTATTTATCCTTCTTCTAACTCTTTCCATCCTACTCCCAACTCTATTAATCCTTCTCCCAACTCTATCCATCTTTTTTCTAACTCAAGCCATCCTTCTCACAACTCTTTCCATTCTTCTAACTCTATCCATCCTTCTCCACTCTATCCAAAATTCTCAAAACTCTACTTATCCTTCTCCCAACCTTATCTATCCTTCTATCTATCACAGCTCTATTCATCCTTCTCCCAGATATATTCATCCTTCTCCCAACTCTAGCAGTTCTTCTAAAAACTGTATTTATCCTTCTTCTAACTCTTTCCATCCTACTCCCAACTCTTTTCATCCTTCTCCCAACTATATTCATCCTTCTCCCAATTCTATGCAAACTTCTCCCAAATCTATCCATCCTTCTCCCAAATCTATCCATCCTTCTCCCAACTCTATTTATCCTTCTCCATACTCTATTCATTCTTCTCCCAACTCTATCCATCCTTCTCCCAACTCTATTCATTCTTCTCCCAGCTCTATTCATCTTTCTCCCAACTCTATTTATCTTTCTCCTAACTCTATTCATCCTACTCCCAACTCAATTTGTCCTTCTCCCAACTCTATTAATCCTTCTCTTAGCTCTATTTTTCTTTCTCACAACTCAATCTATCCTTCTCCCAACCTTATCCATCCTTCTTAGAAATCTATGCATCCTTCTCCCAACTCCTCAATTCTTCTCCCAACTCTTTTCATTCTTCTCTTCACTCTATCCATCCTTCTTCCAACTCTATTTATCCTTCTCCCAATTCTATTCTTCCTTCTCCCAACTCTAATTACCTTTCTCCCAACTCTATCTATCTTTCTGTCAACTCCATAAAGAACCCCAATCAGTAAATAGCTTCGACGAACTCGCCTTTCAATAGAACTAAATTCTGTTAATATCTATCCTTGTCTCAGCTGAATACATCAACATGTCAATTCATTTTTTTACAGTAGCCAACATTGTAAATGTTAATTCTTCTGATAGAAAACCAAGGAAAGCTTAACAAACCAGTCTCCTTGAGAGATGCTGTTGTTAGTGGGACATACAAAACAGTCTGAGACGTGTACAAAGCATACCCGTCCACCAGAAAAGAAAAAACTGTAAGATCCCTCTGTACAATGTACTGTATACCTATGGATTGTTTCTAAAACTGTGAGATCCCTCTGTACATATACAATGTCCTGTATACCTATCAATAGTTTCTAAAACTGTGAGATCCCTCTGTACAATGTACTGTATACCTATCAATAGTTTCTAAAACTGTGAGATCCCTCTGTACATATACAATGTCCTGTATACCTATCAATAGTTTCTAAAACTGTAAGATCCCTCTGTACAATGAACTGTATACCTATCAATAGTTTCTAAAACTGTAAGATCCCTCTGTACAATGAACTGTATACCTATGGATTGTTTCTAAAACTGTGAGATCCCTCTGTACATATACAATGTACTGTATACCTATGGATTGTTTCTAAAACTGTGAGATCCCTCTGTACATATACAATGTCCTGTATACCTATCAATAGTTTCTAAAACTGTGAGATCCCTCTGTACAATGTACTGTATGCCTATCAATAGTTTCTAAAACTGTGAGATCCCTCTGTACAATGTCCTGTATACCTATCAATAGTTTCTAAAACTGTAAGATCCCTCTGTACAATGAACTGTATACCTATGGATTGTTTCTAAAACTGTGAAATCCCTCTGTACAATGTACTGTATACCTATCAATAGTTTCAAAAACTGTGAGATCCCTCTGTACAATGTCCTGTATACCTATCAATAGTTTCTAAAACTGTGAGATCCCTGTGTACAATGTACTGTATACCTATCAATAGTTTCTAAAACTGTAAGATCCCTGTGTACAATGTACTGTATACCTATCAATAGTTTATAAAACTTTGAAATCCCTGTGTACAATGTACTGTATAAGTAGCAATAGTTTCTAAAGCTGTAAGATCCTTCTGTACAATGTACTGTATACCTATTACCTATCAATAGTTTCTGTAACTGAATGAGTTCACAATATTAAAATATAACAATATTACACATGAATATGCAAAGCTGTGTCCTAGTCTAAGGATTGACTAAATACTATAATATTTCCACACTAAAGCTAAGATAAGACAATCATCTAATGTATTCATGCGAAAAGTGATAAGTGAAAATACCGGTAAATACCCCTGCAACGTGTACAGGCGCTTAGCGCTAGGTAGAGATGAGCACTTTCGATTTTTTTCATTTCGTTCGTGAATGACCCATTTCGTGATTACAAGTGACCCTCCATGCAAAGATGGCAAATCCCGATTCACAACAGTCATACATGACAAATTTAGGTTTTAAGTTTACTGAAAATTACCCCCAATGTGGAAGATATTATCGATTTTCTTGGTTTAAAGCTGTTTAATTGTGATAATTCTTGTCCAGCCGTGGAAAAATCACAATTAATTGATAAAAATTAATTTTCAAAATTAATAACATTGAAATCAACTTCATACTTGATCAGACAAATCTTCTAAGGTTACTGTTGTGAATCGGACAGTGCCATCTTTGCATGGAAGGTCACTTGGATTTACGCTTACAGCCTTTACTTTTACCTCTAATCTATATTATAGTAAACTTACTTTTTTATTATAAACATTTATTTTTAGAAATATGGCACCCTGGTTTGTTATTACATTATCACGTGATGGTAAAATGGTAATTTTTTCAAATAGTTTAAGAAAGCTGGACAGACCCCTTAGTTTCAACAGTTTTCTTGTTAGACCTATATCCTCCATTGGATCCGAAACCTCCGTTGGAGCCAGAGAAACCTCCATTGTAGCCACCGTTGAAGCCTCCATTGGAGCCAGAGAAACCACCATTGTAGCCACCGTTGAAGCCTCCATTGGAGCCAGAGAAACCACCATTGTAGCCCCCGTTGAAGCCTCCATTGGAGCCAGAGAAACCACCATTGTAGCCACCGTTGAAGCCTCCATTGGAGCCAGAGAATCCTCCATTGTAACCTCCGCTGTAGCAAAGAGGAGAACCTAGTTCTGGTGTGGCACAGGCCTCATAGGACCAAAATTTTCCAAACCTCTGAGAAGTTGAGAGATCAGAACATCTGTTAAATCTATTATCTACATAGCACCAGAGAGCTCCAGTTGTATCCGCAGATTTACAGTTTCCGTTTAGTTTCCCGTATTTATCTCTAAACTCGATGTTGGAGCACTGACACTCGCAGTTGACCTGCCTTGAAGCAGCTTTGCTGTCAACTTCCAGTCCAAGAGCAGCGGTAGAAGCGATGGTAACGAGAAGAAGGACTGTATAGGTATTCATGGTTGTGATATATACTTGAGAGGGTACTGTATAAAGCTTGTTGAGTTAAACTGTGCCTTGTCTGGTTTCTCTTCAGTATTTTATACCCTCAACCAAGCCAAGGGGATTTCCAGTCTGCTAGAGATTTCAACGCACGCAGGGAAAACAGAAGATTTCAACGCAGGCAGGGAAAACTGCCGGAAATTCTAACACGAGTAAAATAAACAAGGTGCAAATGGTTTTGGTGTAAACTGTAGACTAGCGATTAAAACTAACTTTTAAAAAATGTCAAATTTTGAAAAAAGTATATTTCTAGTTGGAAAATATATAAATTGGATTAAGAAGTTAAGAATTTAGAATAAAATATAAAAATGGACTGATTGGTGGAATGTTAAGGTTTTAAAGAAAAAGATTCGAATTGCTAAAAAAGAGAGAATAAGGAAGAAGTCAGAGCGTCTAGAAATTGTATAGAATTATTAATTCAATAAAAAGAAATTCAAATAATAAACGAATTATAACTTTTTAAGCACCAACATCGTCCAGAATTCTTGGTTATGCAGAGAAAAGGGTGGAGGACATCCGTAGAATTTTTTTTTAAACTCGCATTTAGATAACATTTCTTATTATGCAGATCTTTCACGATTTTGTAAATTCAAATTCATATGATTTTTTATCATTTTTGTTATAATAAACTGTAATCTTTAGAATTCCTCAAACATAAATATAAATAACTAGGCTTTCAGGGAGCTTCGCGCCCATCTTCTATTTCAATTGAACATTTTCTCTTTGTATTCATTGTAAAACAAAACTATACAAAAGTTCGCCGATTTTATAAAAAAAATCCTGGATTTCTAAGAATGATGGTGTGGTGAAGAATAGACAAGTTAAAGTTTAAGTTAAAATAATAATTGATTTCTTTCTGCTACTATTATTCATTATTCATTATTCATCATTAATTATTCATTATTCATTATTCATTATTATTATTCATCATTAATTATTCATTATTCATTATTCATTATAAATTATTCATTATTCATTATTCATTATTCATTATTCCTTATTCATTATTATTATTATTATTGTTGTTGTTAATTTATCAATATTCATTTTCATTAATTCTTTGTTTTATTACAAGGTTGGTCCAAGGGGTCAAGGGGATTTCCCCATTATAAACTTATACAGATGGGGGGGGGGGGGGGCATAGATTCTCACTAAAATCTCATTTTCCCTAACACTGAAGAACTTCTAAAAAATAGTGTTTTGGTCAATCTTACCAAAATTATATTAATGCTCTAACTTTCTTAATATTTACTTTTTAACAGATGATGAGTTACAATCTGGGTTTTCCTCTTTTAGAATCTTTAAAAGTGTTGATGCATTATATCTAATAAAAATGAATCGTCGGAAGACACCAACACAGGCAAACCCGTGCAAAATTAACCAGACTTATCTAGTTTTATATTTTAGTACCAAAATTGTAAACTTCGAACTTCAAATGAAATATATTTATTTTTAATTTTTACAAAATGTTTTATTTGTATAAAGCATCCTTATGAAAATATAAAAATTTTAATGAAACACATTTTCCGAAAATTACAAATAAATACGGGAGAAAAAGAAATGCGGGAAACCTGATGCAGTATGATAACCCGTGGTTCTAGAGTATATAAGGTTGGGAGAGGGGTAACATCATCACGTTCAAGCAAACCACCAAACCTTCAACATGAACACCGCTAAACTATCTCTTGTAAGTATATTTTTTAACTCATTAAAAACTTCCATACAGAAAAGCCGTTTCATTTTCTAATTGATAAATCCATTTATCTTTGCAACCTGATGCATGCAAACTTTCATAATTTCAAACTTTGACTATTTTATCTAACAGAAATCATAGTTGAAATAGCAAAGGTAAAATATTAGCTTGCAAAACAATATTTTAAGGCGAGAAATCATTTCATTAAAAAGGCATTATTAGAAAGCAAACTAAAACAGCTGCAGTGGGTATAGGAAGACGACATTCATACAATACTTGGCATGGAAATAGTTTAGTAGTAACATATTAAATCATTTAATAATTGAAAAGGGTCTGTGTACAGTGCACAATTGCTGCGTCTCATGTTCATTAAACTATTTGAAACCATAACTGAAGTCTAAAAGTCTTTCTGTGCTTTCAAATCTACCGGGTTTGTAAAGAATTTAGTTCAGATTAAAATTTTTCTAATAAAACCGAAATGCCAAACTAAATTATAACAATTAAGAAAACGCTATATTTTTTTGAAATACCATTCGGATAGTTTGTGATTTTAACAGTAAAATTAGGCTGGCGATCAATGCCGCAATTTATTTCACAGATCCCAGACGATCTTCAAAGTCTTCTATATCTCTTAAAACTTAAATGTTTATGAATAATGTTTGAAGGGCTGTGGAGTCCTAGTGACCTTCCATACTGCTTAAATGTTTATGAATAATGTTTGCAGGGCTGTGTAGTCATGGTGGCCTGCCTCTGCTTGAGCTCTGCAGGAGTTCTACGTGAAGAGGAGGAAGGAGCAGACCATCACCTTGTTAGAAGACAAGATGGAGGAGACGTTGAAATCTCCATTGATGCAAAGTAAACATTTTTATAATATTATCAGATTGTTGAAATAGTTAAAATTTATTTCACGTCTAAGAATCAAGAGGCTCAATTCCAAAGTTAAAAAAACGAAACTGAAATGGTTCATATTCCTTCGATCTTTCTTTTTTTACTATTTTAATTATCAAATTCAAGTCTTATATATTTCTTAAATGTTTTTAAACAAAAACTTCATAAGTTTCTTTGGTAACATTTCTAAGGAACTTTCAAAATAATAATATTACTTTTTAGGCATTTCCGTCCCGGTGGCGGTCGTCCTAATCGGCGTCCTAACCGTCCCTACGGAAATAATGGTTACAACAACGGTTATGGAAACAATGGTTACAACAGCGGTTATGGAAACAATGGTTACAACAGCGGTTATGGAAACAATGGTTACAACAACGGTTACGGTAACAATGGTTACAACAATGGTTATGGAAACAATGGATTTAATAATGGATATAACGGATACAATAACGGTTATGGCGGTGGAAGTCCTTTTGGGTTCCGAAGTGCTAACGAAGATGGAAATCAAAACTCAGTACAAAATTAAATGTTTTTGTTTGTGGATATTTGTGAATAATAAAATGGACAAAAGCTTTGCAAAAAAGTTTTCAAAATAGGTTTTCTTTTAACTTTGAACAAATCACAAAATACAATCATAATAGATTAGAAGTCAAAAAATATTGTGCAGTGAATCTTCAGATTAAGCATTAATCCCCATCAAGTGCGGACCAACGGATTAATTTAACGGTTGACGTACCCTGAAGGGGTAACTTTATTTGAGAAATTAAGCGCTTATTCTGAAGTGCCCACATTGGATATCAAGATCAAGCGATATTTCAAAATACCGATCTTAGAAGTTTTATGTTTTGAATCGTTGTAATTAAGCATTGAACTGCATCTCAAGCAGACCTACGTATCAACTCAAACCTTTTCACTATCCCGTGGTGGTCAGTCCCTGAAGGGATTATTTTGATTAAGGAATAAAGAATTTACTCTCAAATTTAAAGGTGCCATAGTAGATATCAAAATGAAGCGTTCAAGATTAACTTTACTCGAGAAAATTATTCACTAAAAAAATTTTTTGCGTTGCATTTTAAAACTTTACATACTCAACTCGCGACAGTACCCTGCAATGGCCCTTCATTAAGTAATAAAAGAAGAAGAAATAAAAGAATCTATACAATTTTTACTCCGACAAGGGTTTATCGTGTATCATATCTGTGAATCTTAACAAGTTTTTTTATGTTATGGATCCATTGCACGTAAGAGTATATTTAAATTAGTTTTTAAATAAATGTAGCAATACAAAAAACATTTTAAAAACTATGTTTTGTCTCGAATGTCGTCTTCTTTTCAAAGAAGTGTAAAAACTTCTATCTTTCGAACATCCAAAATATAAAAAATAATCTTGAAGGACTTGGTTTTCGAAAAATTAACATGAAAATGGCTACATTTCAGCACAAAAAAGGAAAATCGTAAAAGCTTTGAAGTGTCTGGCTAGATATTGTAGTTGAGCTGAGTATGCAGTACTCAGGTTATTTCTTACAATGTGCTGAATTTTTTTTTAACAAAGCAGAATTTAAATTTTTTTTGTCCAATTTTTCCCCCTCATTTTTATGCAAAAATGATGAACCATTCAGAAATCAGGAAATTTTTACAATCTCACTTTTTTCAATAGTTCAGATCTGGGTTTTGAAAAAGTTATTTTTGCAGCTTTTGGTTGATATTTTGTCATTTGGATTCGGATCCGTGGATCCGCATATTTTTTGGGGTCTGGATCCAGGAAGCCAAAATCTTGCGGATCCAACAGATCCAACGGATCCGGATCCTAAGCACTTTTAGAATCCAAAAATTAACAATATCTTATTAAAGTTTGAAGAAAATTATAATAGTATATTTGGTAATTTCATATTACAATATTTTAAATAAACAATCATTTTTTTATGTATATAAATTATAAAATTATATTTATTAAAAACCCAATGTGGTGAGTTTTTTTTTCAATTACAAAAGATGATCATTTTAGTCAGCCTTTGACAATGGCCAAGTAAAGTAATATCTTCATATTTCAAGTACCGATGCATGTAATCTTATGACAATCGAAATATATGGTTAAGTTATTATAAAACAAATGTTTGGTAGTTACTGATTACTGAATGCTGCCACTAATTATTAAAACTGGATGAATCTTTATAGAAATAGATTGAAAAATCTTTACTGAACAACCCTAAAAACCAAGCGGAATAAAACAACTTTTTATTCCAGTTCATTTTAACGACCCTTGTAAAATAAAACAATGAGACTTTTCTATATATTTCTGAATGCCTCTAACTCCATAATACTGGTGGAGACCCTGGCGAACCCGTTGATGAGGGCCACTACCTCGTGCCTAGTGAGACGGAGCTGAGCTCCAGGTGTAACCAGGATCTTGAGAGCAGTTCCTATCCCGGTAACCTGGAGTTTACCCCAAACCTTGCACCTTTCACATCCCATACAGTCCATCAAATGGGAAATATCTCGAAACTTGCGTTTCACCTGAATAAAAATTAAAAAATTAAATATTAAAACACTACACTACTAGAAGATATGTATTGAGTATTGATATTGTATTAGTATGATCAGAGCTGAAATAAGATATCCTTTATACTGCTTAACCCTATCCTATTTTTGTCAAATATAGATGTGGGGGGGAGGTGGAGGTGTTTTCCACCCCCCTTTACCCTTAGAGTTGAGATAGGAGAGTGTGATACATTTACCTTGTCTAAATTTTCAAAGCCTGTTCGTTAAAAAAAATAAAGGTTAGGGTGCAAGGGAGGATTTTAAAAACGTTAGAAAAAACATCGATTAAATGTTCAAAAATAAATATTTTATAAAGTTGAAAACGTGAAGGAGTTTTATCGTACTAATGTAAGCCGTTTTTAAGTTATAAGTTATATATAAGTTATATATATATAAGTTATATATAAGTTATAAGTTATGTCGTGATAGGGTTAATCTGAATATCAACTGTGAACACTTTTAGTTCTCCACTTTTCTTCCCTCTTTTTGGATTCCAAAAAATAATAAGTCTCGAATTAAATTGCGCACACAATTTCAAATTTCCCGGCATCTAATTGGATGTTCAGGATTCAGCATACGCCACTCTGATTTGTTTAATTTTAAACACTTTAATAACTACAGATAAAACTATCTTTAAATCAATAAAAGGAGGAGATCAAGCATTGAAGGTGCTTACAAGATCAAGCATTGAAGGTGCCCACAAGATCAAGCATTGAAGGTGTCCACAAGATCAAGCATTGAAGGTGCCCACAAGATCAAGCATTAAAGGTGTCCACAAGATCAAGCATTGAAGGGGCCCACAAGATCAAGCATTGAAGATTACCAATACGACACACTAAAGTTCCTACCACAGATTATATAAAAAAGCAGGAATAAGAAACCCATAAATATTAAACTGGATACAACATAATATCATCATTATGCTCCAAACAGATAGATAAATAGATAGATAAAAAGATGTTAGGTACCTTCCCAAAGGGTTTTTTTACGGGAAAACTTCCCAAATTTGCAATTTTACAAAAGGCAGCTTCCCAAATCTGTCGTATCCGCAGCGCTAGGTCCCACTTACAACAGGAAACTGCATAGTATTTTTCTCAAGTAGGTACCTGGGACAAAATCTCAACCTTGCTGAGGTCCTGCGGATCAAACAACTCCTGCTCGTCCTTCACACTGGACTTGAACTCCTGGACGGCCAGGATGAGTTGGGAAACCTGCTCTGAGGTCTCCGGATCCCCGTAGTGCTGGGAGTTCAAAGTTTCTCCAGCCTTGGCGATAGCTCTGAGCTCTAATAGGTAAAGATAGTAGACGTTTCTTAACCATTCAGGCCCCAGGCCGCCGGTCAAAGCAGGGTCAAATCTTCGATGGAACTCCTGAATATTAAAAACTGCTACGATTAAGAATGAAAAATAGTCAATATACATTACAATTATATCTTTTCAAAGATGTATGAAAAAAAATTATCAAAAAAGGAATAATATCAATTAATAATATTACAATCCGAATACTAGGAACCCTGAGGATATCCTGTAAAAAACGGGGGGGGGGGGTGAGATATTACCTGGATATTAGGACCCCAGACTGCTGGTTTCCCCCTGAGTATATCCTCCTCCTGTAGAAGATAGTTTCTGCATGTATGCACCGTTATAGAGGTGTGTAGACCAGATACTATACGGTTCAAGGTCTTTTCCTCTAGACACAGATCTCCTTCCTGGATAATCATCATGATAATTAGCATAATCATGATAAATACGGATGACTATTGCTAAAATCTTGAAGATGATGATGATTATAATAATGATGACTATAATGATGATGATGTGCAGGTGATGATACAAATGATGATTTTGATGATCTCAATGATGAAAAGATGTTTTACTGCATTTATTTATTTGTAACCGAGACTCACATTTATATTTTAAGTACCAATAAAGAAATAATAATGATAATGTAATCAATCAATCAGAGTTTCCCTACAATCCACATAGATGAATAGATGTATAGATGAATAGGTGTATAGATGAATAGGTGTATAGGTGAATAGATGTAAGGATGAATAGATGTATAGATGAATAGACGTATAGATGAATAGGTGTATAGATGAATTTACTAAATCAAGAATGAGATATTGTATTGCAGATTGTGTTTAGGTTTTTAAATAGAAAAAAGAATATACACTTTCGATATTGTATCATATATACTATACAGTTTACAAACCAAGCAGCAGAATGATTAATAAAACTAAACCTTAAAAATTAAGAACAGAAATAAAAACAAAAAGTTTAAAAAATAAGCGTAAATTCTACCTTTTCCTGGGTGAAACACAGCTCGCTGTAGATTTTGCTCCATATTCTGTTGGCAGATGGACCCCTAAAACAAAATATATATTATTTTCACATATTCTGTTGGCAGATGGACCCCTAAAACAAAATATATATTATTTTCACATATTCTGTTGGCAGATGGACCCCTAAAACAAAATATATATTATTTTCACATATTCTGTTGGCAGATGGACCCCTAAAACAAAATATATATTATTTTCACATATCCTGTTGGCAGATGGACCCCTAAAACAAAATATATATTATTTTCACATATCCTGATGGCAGATGGACCCCTAAAACAAAATATATATTATTTTCACATATCCTGTTGGCAGATGGACCCCTAAAACAAAATATATATTATTTTCACATAACGAAAACACAACGCTACTTAGTTTTTTTAAATTCATCAAGTTGTAAAAAACTTTTTTAGAATGTCAATTGTCTACTGTTACCTGGCAAATTACTAGGTAATTCACATTGAGATATAAATCTTTAATAGTACAATAAATCCAAGAAGAAAAAAACAAAAACAAAAATTTTACTAACTTATTGGTTTTAACGGGAAACATTCCGAAAAATTATCCGACGCATAATTTGTATTATATAGCTTTATATATTACATATTAAGGGGGGGGGGAGGGAGTAAGCTTTAGTAAGTGTAACCTTAAAGTCAAACCTTAAATTCATTTATTTCTCAATATTTTTTTGGTAAATAAAAAAATACATTTTTTTCTCAATGTGAATTTTTTGGAAAATAAAAAAAATACAATCATCAGATTTTTTACACAATCAATCCTGAATAAATTCTATAAACAACCTGATATTTTAAGTAGAGCAGAATATTGTATTTACCTATTATCAGTAAATGTCTCCGGGTTCCCATTTACCTGTATCCAGTACATTTCTCCGGGTTCCTATTTACCTGTATCCAGTAAATTTCTCCGGGTTCCTATTTACCTGTATCCAGTAAATTTCTCCGGGTTCCTCAGTAGATCAATGTAATCACATCCCTCCTGTGAGTCTAGAGGGTCTAGGGTACACCATTCATCAACTAGTTCAGCACTATTTGCTGGAAGCTGGGTATCAACCTTGTGATAGGAGGGAAGAGGTTCACCTTCACACTCTGTCTACAAATTCAAAATATGGTTTTTTTATATATAATGAGATTATACATTGAAACTGCGTTTTAATCGAATACTTAACATGATTAGCTCAAATCATGTGACATATTTTTCTGTTTAATTTGTAGAATTTTTCGCGGGCAAAATTTTTCATTTTCGACCAGCCATAAACCGTTCTTCATGCTTGGGGTCATGTGACTGAGTAACCCCAACAAATTTGAACCAGATCTGTTCAGCCGTTTTGACGTTTATTTTATACAGACAGGCACGCACAGGCAAACAAATAACAAACAAGAAATTTTGTACAAGAAGCAGATTGTCTTACAAACGAAAGTAAGAAGGAAATTATTCGTGAAAACTTCAAGACAAAAAAGAGAGATATTAACAAGAGAGAAAATTGAAAGAGGAAGCTGTCAAGCTGCTTGCAGTCTCAGAGCTGACATAATCTATCATACATTACAGTAAAAAGTTGAAAGATGAAGCTGTTTGTCTAGGTTCTGCCATCCCATCCCTTCAACTTTACACGAAGACAAGCATGTTAAATAAGAACACAGAATAAGAAATATCTAGAGCGGAAGCAAGTTCTGAAGAAATAAATCCAGCTCAAGAGAGAGAGAGGAGAACTTGAGAAAAATCGAAGAAACCTTCCTTCATTTTTGGGGTCATATGCATGGCTGTGAGTTACCACACCAAATTGAACCAGATCAGTTCAGCCGTTTTGACGTTTATTGGATACAGACAGGCACGCACAAACAAACAATAATATACAACGGTTACCTGAGAAGGCAAATAGTCTTCTGCAAACTGTTTGAAGTAGACAACTAGGGGTTCCACCAGGGGCAGGAACTCCTTTAACTTCTCCTGCAAATAGGAGACCGGGCTGTGGGTCTCCTTCACGTCCTTCTCCACGTCCTTGTGGTTGAGAACGTGCTCAGGTACCTCACTAACAGGACAGGTGTCTACTGCACAGTTCCGACTTCCACATTGGCCTAACACAGCAAAATTAAGTTTTCTTTTTCCCTTTAGATTGAAACCTTAAATGTTTTCAATCATGATTCCTTTTTTTTAAGTGCTTTTGAAAAGAACCAGATCATTTTGAGTTTGTAATCAGAAATCAACAAATCTCATTCTCGAAGTCACAAAGTTGGCATAAATTTTACCTTTTCTAGAATATCGAATCAAATACTTTTTGATACTTTTTACACAAAATTTCATTTGTTTTCCCCTAAAATCATTTATTTTCCCCTAAAAACCATTTATTTTCCTCTAAAATCATTTATTTTCCCCTAAAAACTATTTATTTTCCCCTAAAAACCATTATTTTCCCCTAAAAACTATTTATTTCCCCCTAAAAACCATTTATTTTCCCCTAAAACCATTTATTTTCCTCTGAAAACCATTTATTTTCCCCAATTCAGCGAAAAAACTTGAAAAAACTTAAACAATATAGCTCCCACAAGTTCACAAGAAAGGCCGTGAACAAAAATTTTTTTTTATTTTATTTCTTAAAATCCCTTTTAATAAGCATTACTAAAACTATTACCAAAATATTACTAGAAGCTTTTAACGTTAAATTCTACGTCATTTGCATGATTCAGTAGAAAATTGGTATTTACAAGAAAAAAATAGTGAACTATTTTCATTGTTTAAAGTTAAAAACAGGCATAGGATTCGGATAAATCAATAAAAAAGAAAATATTTTGCTTATAAAGAAATTTGGAAAAAATTACCATCTCCGTCAGGCCAAAATTTACAAGGTTTGTTAAAGTTGACTTGGAAATATCGGAAGAAATTCCTCCCAACAAGTTCAGTCACCTGAAATATCAAACATTACTTTAAAAAATTCATGATTTTTGAAGTTTTTTTCCATGAATGTGTTTAATACTGATAAATTTCTCCTTTGTTTTTGCAACACAAATTCGCCAATTAATTTATCAGGAATCCCCAAGGCCAAGGTTAGGTTTATCGCTGGTTGAGATAAAAAAATTACATGACAAAGAAAGATTTTTTAATAAAAAAAGGGGGAAAGCAAAAATTTTACGTTTTATCTTGTTTCACAAGGTACAAACAAAGAAAGTTTATTACAAAATAACATTTAAAAAATGAAATTGTTTCAGAAAGCAGTGGTTGGATCCATTTTAATGCGGATCCAAATCCAGGATCCGCACTGGAAAAAAATGGAATGGATCCAGATTTTAAGAAATGAAAATGTTCAAACTGTTTTATTCTTTTTTTCGCTTTTTTTATCATCAAAACTTGTAAACCATTCAGAATTTTGTATAATCTATTTTTACCTAACAATTTTGATTTTTGTTTTAAGACCAACATTTTTTGTTTTGATTGATAATTCGCTCTTGGATCCGGATCCGTGGATCCGTATATTTTTGCGGATTCGGATCCAGGAAGCCTAAATGTTGCGGATATAACTGATCCGGATCCTAAGCATTTTTAGAAAGCAAGACGCGAAGCACCCAGGCCTAGTTATTTGCAAATTTTATAATGTATCCTTACTGTACCGATTTGTAAAAGAATATATTGTATCTATATATACCTTGTTATATATTGTATCCTTGTTGTACCGATTTATTGCACTGATCTATTGTACTAATATATATTTATATATACCTTGTTATATATTTTATCCTTATTGAACTGATCTATTGTACTAATAGTGCAAGGACAATCATCCAGTACTCCTGAGTCTATCCTACAGAAACAGGATCCTTCATTTTTAGCATTTTCTGGCTCACTATCTCCTAATTTAACATTGCTGTTTCCTGCTGTTGCTACTGGAATGACCGAAAACAGGAGAAGGGGAAGAAGGAAAAGGGAGCAGATTAACAGGAGGGAAGGAGGGGAAATGTTGTAGGATTTCCCCCTCCCTTGAACCCGCATACTTTGTAGCCGCATCTTCACCAACACTAAATACATATGAAATCAATTGAGGCAAAATTTTAGTGTTAATTACCATTAATGAGTGATTTATTTGCAAGTTAATTTTTCTTAAAAGATTAGGATAAGGTTAGGTTAAGACAATTTCTGGGCCGAGCGCTGCAGCTAGGACAGGCTCGGTGGCCGAGCGCCGTGGCTAGGTTAGGCAAGGGGGCCAGGCGCTGCGGTTAGGACAGGCTGGTGACCGAGCGCCGTGGCTAGGTCAGGCAAGGGGGCCAGGCGCTGCGGTCACATAAACAATAATAACAATGTACAAAATTGCTAGGAGGTGGGGGGCCGGGGAGGAAAATCGTTCTCTAGGAAATTACCAAGAATTAATTCTTACCATTCTCAGGAACCTATCAGTTCTATTGCAACAGCTACACAAAATAACAAATGAAAAGACAGATAATGTTTTCTCCCAAAAAAGCATAGTTTGATGGCACATTATCTTCCCTTCCACAACAGTGTTTAACCGGAACCCCTTTCATCTTAAAAACTTGACTTATATAAAGTTATTGGATCATCAGGTAATTTCATTGAGAACGATTTCTGGGCCGAGCACCGCGGCGAGGACAGGCTAAGGGCCAAGCGCCGCCGCAAGAACTCAATTCGATCTAATATTACAAAAAATATATCTAGGTCCAATTCACCACCTTGGCTAAATGTGTAGTATATACCTATTTTAACTATACCTTCTCTCCACAAAGTAAAATTAAACGTTTTATTTGGTTCACTCAATGTAGAAATTTGTGATGTGTGTGTATTGTCTGTGTTCAAAAACTGGTAACTGAAGTGTCTGTGAAAATCACTTTAACCGTGGTCTGATTGTAAACACTCAAATTTCATCATTTGAACCGGTACGCAGAAATGACGCAAGAATGCGAACGTGGGCCAATAAGAGCATCAGACGATATCGGTATCAACCAATCACATACGAGATTAAAAATAATTCGACCAATCAGAGGAGTGTAATTATTCTTCTCATATGTTCACTTATTTTCGCCCAATATTTCGTCACCTTCGATCCTGTGAATATCAACACGGATTGTCGTCTTTGTAATAACAAGGCAGGTAGAAAGTGTACACTCACAGCTGTTAATGTTATTGTTTTCGAAATTGGTCAATAGAGAGAAATTATTCTAAAATTTTATCTATAAATGGTACAGATATACTTTATTAGAAATTTGTATTTGATTTTTACAGGGTAAATGAGGTTTAGATCACAATTTTGAGTAAATTTTTTAGTCAGCGCCAGCAAAATAACAGAAAATGTTTTGATAAACAACTAAAATTTTAATTTTATATCTAATTGGTGGTTTTTAATTTCAGAAGGAATGGAAGAAAATATGAAAGAAGAAATAAAACTGGAAGAAGAAAAAGAAGATATATGTAAAGTAGAAATAAAGGAAGAAGACATGATGACAGAAAGTTTAGAAATAAAAAGTAAGTTAAAGAATGTTATTTTATCTATTTCTAAAATCATTTCAGTAATATTTCTTGAGTAAAATCAGAGGTAGCAGTCAAACTCTGTTACTCGCGAATACCGCAATGAATTATAAGAAGGGAGAGATTAGTTTATACTTTAGGGTATAGGTTGGTTTAGACATTATCTGGGCCACGCGCTGCGGCTATGACAGGCTTGGGTGCCGAGCACCTCGGCTAGAACTGGCTCTCTCTCTGTCTTATAATTCATTGCAGTATTTGCGAGTAACACAGATTGGTCGCTGCCTAAACCAGTGAGGTTTCAACTATTGTTGAGTGACTTTTTGATCCAAGTAAACAAACTTCGGTTTTTTTTGGGATGCTCTGTAAAAGTTTTAGAAAATTAACACATTCTTGTTGTTATATGTACTATATGCCCTAAAAGTTTTCTTTTATTTCACCTTACTTATATCTTCTATTAGAGTCATTATTTTACATAACCGAAAGAAAGAGATTACAGGGTGTTCCAATAAACATGGGAATTGAGGGATGACTTGAAAGTCGTCTTTGATTTGTGATGTGATGTTTAAAAACGAGGCTGTATGTTTTAGTAAACTATATTTTAAAAATCTCAATACCAGACGCTTTCAATATTAAACTGGAATACTGCAATGATTGTGTTCATGGAAAAATGTCGCATGGATCAAAGATGATATAAAAGTCGTCACTTAATTCCCATGTTTATAGGGACACCCTGTAGATCAAATCTTGGATTACTTTAAACCTTCTTGATCCACCGGAAAGCCAGAAATCTTTGAATGTTTTTTTTAAAATGATAAAAATGGTTACAAAACTAACTTAGACCAAGAAATCCTTCAAAATTAAGAAATCCAAAGTAGTTCAGAAATTTTTACTGAGTAAATTAATGGCATACCGGGGGGAAAAATTAGTTTTGAAGTAAAAGTATCTAAAATTGGGATAAATGTTATAGCTGATGCCAAATTTATAATTTTTTCTGCGCCAAAAATAAAAATTCTTCAAAATTAAAAACCGCAGTTTCAAAGTTTATGAAATATTTTCTATTTAGAAATGTTGCATTTCATAAAAATTATTAAGAATTGATCTGATCGATGTTTATCTTGATTTTTTGATTTTTTTTATGATTTACTCTTACCCAGCCACCGCTTAATACCACTCATTCTTCCACGATCGGGAAAAGTTGGTGGGGGGGGGGGGGGCATGGAACGCGAGTAGGGAGTATCTATCCCCCCCCCCCCCCGATCCTCTAATTCCCTATTTTTAAAAAAATCCATTTTTCTTAAATGTAAAGTTGGCAATGTTTGAATTACAACGGAACCCTTTGTCAAATCAATGAATTAGATTTCAATGTTTATAATTTTGAAAACTGATTTTTTTTTTGCAATTTTGGTCTCTTTACAAAAGGGACGGCGCATTTCTACTTTAGGAAAACACATAGGAATGATCAGAATTTAACATTGTTTAAGCTTGAAAAACGATAGTTTTTTTTTACTATTTTTTATCTAGTTTATTGTTAAAACTTATTTTTTTAGGTGAAATTTTAGATAACGAAAAACCTTTACTGAACTCTCAACCAAAGAGACCCAGGAATACAAAATTTAAAGAAATGAACTATCCTTGTACTGAGTGTGATTACGTAGCAAATCAAAGAAACAATTTGAAGAGTCATATCCAAATCAAACACAAGGGAATGCGATATCCCTGTGACAAGTGTGAATACTCAGCAACCACCAAAGGTAGTCTGAGGATACATATCAAAAATAAACATGAAGGAGTGACCTATCCATGTGTTAAATGTAATTACGCTGCAACCCAAGCATGTGATCTCAAGAAACACAATGAGAGCAAACATGAAGGAGTGAGATATCCCTGTGGCCGGTGTGAATATGTTGCTACTGCAGCATGTACATTGAAGACACATATTTTATCTAAGCATGAAGGAGTGGTATATCCTTGTGAATTCTGTGAATTTGTTGCCATCAATACAAGTCATCTAAGAAGACACGTTAAAGTCAAACATAAAGGAGTGCGATATTACTGTGACAAATGTGAACACGCTGCCACTACAGCTTATGATTTGAAAAAACACAACGAACGAAAACATGAAGGTGTGAGATATCCCTGTCACAATTGTGAATATGCTGCAACTACTGCAGGGGATTTGAAGAGACACGTGGAGAGCATACACGAAGGAATCAGACATTTTTGTGACAAATGTGAATACGTCGGAACCACAGCAGGTAGACTGAAGAGCCATATTGAAGTTAAACATGAATTAGTGAGATATCCATGTGATCAGTGTAACTACGCTGCTACAAAGTCAAGTCATTTAAAGAAACACATTGAAAGTCGACATGAAGGAATGCGATATCCTTGTGACCAGTGTTCGTATTCTGCCACAAACACAAGTAATCTGAAAAGACACTTAAAGACCAAACATGATGTCGAATAGTCTTTATAATTAATTAAACTTTGGTCATTTCAACGATGACATCTCTGAGTATATAAAACTAGTCTGTTTCTCTGTTTGTTGGATTGTTTGTATTTAATATAAATTAATGAATTTTTTTAAATGTTATGAAATTTGGGAATTATTTAAATCATGAGCGCAATACAAGTCTTAAATTTGTAAAATAAATAATTTTCTCTTTGCACCTTTTTATGAAATCATTATCTGCCGAATCTATGTAAGAAAGCGATAGGAAAAAAGTCCTGAGTTTTAGTTTCCTAAGATTTTTTTCCGAAATAAATTGGAGGCTGCCAATTAAGTCTCGGGAAATAAGATCACAGGAGCTAAAGCCCTGAATAAAGAAAAATAAGAATGTTTTTAGTCTCAGGAAATGATTAGTCAAGTCTAAGACGTTACCATCAAAAGGAATTTCTTCTATGCATCTGCAAATTGAATAACATCAGAGGTTTTAATATCAATCCCTTTTTTCATGTTTGCAAACATCCTTTGTTCTCAACCATTTTCCACTACAAGAGGACCTTTTTTCCGGGGACTTTTATGTATGAAATCAAACTGAAACCAGAAAAAGTCCTGGAAAATAAAGCCTCAAAATGTTAGGACTTTCCAGAAACTTTTTATTTCAAAGACTTTTTTCCACAGTGCTTATTTTAGTGCCAAAATTTAGGACTTTTTCCAGAACTTTTTTGGTGGTTACATTTCTGCCGATGCTTCTAATCATTAAACATGTAAAATATAAACATATTCTGCTACAATTAGAACACTTATGCATATTCGGAATAATTATTGCATTGTAAAATATTTAAGGAATACAAAACTAATGTTTTAACAAACTAAATGTTCCACAAAGTTTATAATTATTCGGTTTCAGATACAATGGCAGCGGAGATAAAAGAAGAAATAGATATTAATGAAGACGATATATCTCCATCTTTTAGTTTAGGGGAGATATGTATTTGGTATGTACAGGGAGATAATGTTAACATGGAAAATATAGAAAGTATAGGCAAAGTTTGGTTACGTCAATCTGCGTAACTTACTTTTACAATGCTTTGAGCTGTGAACTCTTGTATTGTGAATATTGAGATCAATTCTTGATCTTGATCTTTGTTAATCTTAAGGTTAATTTAATCTTTATTCGATGTCCCGCATGGCAATCGTACCCAGTCAGGGGGTTGAAGGGAGCTTTTATCAGGAATTGAAGGGAGCTTTCATCAATGAAGGAATAACTGAAAAGAAGAGATTAAGCATTGGTTCTCAAATTAAAGGTGCAGATATCGAGATCAAGCAAAAAGTTCCCAGCTCAGGTCGTCCTTATAGGATATATCGTAGAAAGAATTCATCATTAACTTTTTAGGAATTTATTGTATCGTATTTTTGTATATTTGGGTTGAATTCGTTGAATGTTTGTCTACAATGAACGACGATTAAATGGGCCCTGAGTAGACCACAGGAAAATTTTATGGCCTGTCAATATAAAAATGTTGCTCCCAAAATTTTAATTTTAATATGAAATTTAAACATTATTAAATATTTTGCACTTAAAAATTCCAAATTTCATTAGCGCTCCTTAAGCCTTTAATATATTTTTTTCAGATAGAATGGCAGAGAATATGAGAGAAGTAGGTATGAAAGCAGAAGTATACATCAAGGAAGAAATCTCCCCATCTTCTAGTTTTGAGCAAACATTATCTGAGTATGAACCTGCAGAATATAACATTGAGATTACGGAAATTAAAGGTAATGTAATATGTAATCTATATTTTTTTCCTTGTATATATATTATATATATATATATATATAACTGGCCAAATGGCTAGACCAAATTGGCTGTCATTTTTGGAGGGAACTCATGAGTATTCTGGGGGTAACATAGGTCAAAGAATTTTTTTTTAATTCTAAATATTTTTTAAGCGTTTCTAAAATGTATGGGCATCGCCGGGGACTTCAGCTAGTATCTATGTGTAATATCACTATGTAACCTTTCCTCATCTATTTACGACATTTTACTCTTAAATAACTTTTATTCTGTATATAAGAATCTTTAATTTTGACATTTTACTTTTTTAATAGAAATATTTCAGAAACTTAGAATGCATATTTTATTGGATGTAAGCTATATCCGAAGTAATCATAATTTGTCTAATTTGTGTGGACTAAAAGTTTTGAGTCTGATTGATTGATTGAGTATTCTAAAATAGAAATTGTTGACTCTTATGACCTACGGGCTACTTGTTATAATAGCTTGTACCATTTATCAACATAATGATAACATAATAATGAGGATTATAGTAATGAAAAGTAGTGCTTAGGATCCATATAATTTTGATGCGGATCCTGGGTCCGCACTAGAAAAAAATGGATCCGGATCCGCATCAAAATTAAATGGATCCTAAGCACTGCTTTTCATTACTATAATCCTCATTATTATGTTATCATTATGATGATAAGTCTAGATAAATTTTGATTTTAATAAATATTTTCCCCAGATGAAAAGCATATGCTGAAAGAAGAACCTGGGTCTGATATGGAAGATACGTGTACAGTACATGTAAAGGAAGAAGAAGAGATGGAAAGCAGCGAAATGAAAGGTAAGTTGAAAATTGATATTTCATTTTTTACTATTTTATCTTTAAAACTACTAACTTTGTTGGATATTTTCTTGAGAATTCTTTCCCATTTGTAAGGTATGTCTGCTCGGAAAATGTGTAAAGTTTTTAGGAAAAAAGTATAAAAAAATGTCGAAAAAAGTTGCCCGTTAATGCACAAAATCTTCATTATTTCTCTCAAGAGCATCAATTGTTACAGTCAACACCCCCTTCTTTGAAATTTAAAAATCGAGGTTTGTTCTTCCTCAAAAATATTGATTTCCTAGCTGCAATTTCTAAATACTGTTTCTAATAAAATTGACCAAAACCACCGATACTGTAAGATAATTTTCTATGAAAAACATTGTGAAGATTATCATTACTTTTTAAATCGTTATTGGCTTAGAATTTTATAATTAATCTATTTTTTTCAGAAGAAACTTTCGAAAACGAAGAAAATCCTCTTTCCTTTGAACAAAAGATGGACCTGAAAATAATAAGTTACCCATGTAGTGAATGTGAATATGTGGCAACTCAATCCGGAAATCTGAGAAAGCATATTAAGCATAAACATGAAGGAGTGATATATCCCTGTGTACATTGTGAATATGTTGGCACTCATTCAAGTAATCTAAAGAAACATGTAAAAATTAAACATGAGGGGGTGAGATATCCCTGTGATAAATGTGAATACGCTGGAAGTTCAACAGCTGAATTGATGAGACACAATGAAAGTAAACATGAAGGAGTTATTTATCCATGTGACATTTGTGAATATGCTGGAACTTCAGTAATGTATTTGAAGAGGCATATTAAACACAAACATGGTGGATTGAAGTATCCTTGTGCCCAGTGTGATTACGTTGCGACAATGGTAAGTACTTTAAGGAGACACATTGAAAGTATACACGAAGGAATAAGATATCCCTGTGACCATTGTGAACACTCTGCCACAACAGCAGGGAGACTGAAGATACATATTGAAAGTAAACACGAAGGGGTGAGATATCCTTGTGATAAATGTGAATTTACTACTACCACACGAGGTCAACTGAAGATCCACATTGCAAATAAACATGAAGGAGTGAAATATCCCTGTGATCAGTGTGAGTATAAGGGCAACAAAAAATGGGATTTGAAGAAACATATTGAAAACAAGCATGAAGTATTTTTGAAATATCACTGCGACCTATGTCCATATGCGTCGACTCAAAAGGGTGTGCTAAAGAGACACATAGAAAGCAAGCATGAAATACTAAAATTTTCCTGTGAAGAGTGTGATTTTGCTGCCCCGACAGCAAGTAGTCTAAGAAGACACATTCAAAATAAACATGACGGAGTTAGGTATCCATGTTCAGTGTGCGAATTCTCTGCTACGGAAGTAAGTAGTTTAAAGAGACATATTCAGAATAAACACGAGGGATTAAGATATCCATGTGATACGTGTGGGTATGCTGCCACCCAATCAAGTTCTCTGATAAGACACAAAAAGAATAAACATAATATTTAAACTATATAATCTGAGAACAGTGTCATCGGGGTTTCTAAAGTTTGGGGTTTACTTATATAAAATAAACAGGTTCATTTACCCTAAAATGTAATTTCAAGTGAATAGTGTCATGACCGATTCACAAAGCAATGCCTGATCAGTAACGAAGGATATATTCATGATTTATCTTTTTCATTATTATTTCTTTGCAAAAGGGAATTGTGAATTTCTCGCGAAGATACAATGGACTAAATCTTGAGAACTAAAAACTGTTGAAGGTAGAAAAACGACAATATCTCTCACATTGTTAATCAGATAAAGGTTTAAAGGGTACCGTTAAAAATGGGGCATTTAAAATTAAGTTAACATGACAGTCCCTTCCAGATTTTATTTATTATTTATATTTATCTCTAAACCTTCTTAAAACAATTATTTATAAATCACAGAAGAGCTTTGTGAGAAGAGTTCTAAGCTATGAAAGCTCTCCTGCTGCAGTAGTTTTACATATATTTGTAATGTTTTGTTAATAACTGTTATAATCTCTTATTACTGCAGTAAATATATGATTTGATTTGATTTTGTCAAATGTAAAAACATTTATTGGAATTATCACAGACACACATTCATGAGCCAGCACCTATCTAAACAATATAGGTTGTTTTAAAAAATAGACCCTACGAAGGTGGGGTGAATAGCATCCACGAGCCCCGCAAACTTATCTCCGAAGCCTCCTGATTCCCAGAATGACCTCCTAGCCGATCATCGTCTCCTGCCTCAGGCTACGTCTGTCTCCACGTCCAGCAATCCAATATCAAATATGTGGCTTTTACATCCACTGAAAACCTTTTTTCGAAAAATATCAATATTCTAATAGAGTTTTTAATGGCACAGACAATTTGTATTAAAAAGTCTAACTATAAGGAGATTAGTATATTTTGTTTTTCTATATTTCACAAATTCCTAAGCGTCTGTAATGTGCATAACTATTGCAGTTTTATATAAAGATAGACAAATGGTATGTGATATCACAGGTGTTTCGAGAACAAATCTAACTATATGATCTCACGGGTGTTTCGAGTACAAATCTAACATATGAACTCAGTCTCACGGGTGTTTCGAGTACAAATCTAACTAAATGATTTTACGGGTGTTACGAGTACTTGGTGGGTTTACAATATTGCTCCCTTTTATAGAATTAAATCTGTGTTCAATTTTACATTTTAGTTTAAAGGAAGTGTTCGCGAAAAATGAAAGGGGTTATAAGGAGAAAATTGATTACAGGACTCATACTGAAGAACGTAGCGTCCATACAAATCCTGAAAGTTGCAATTTTCAGCTCGGATCGTAAAAAAAATTTAATTCCCAACAAACCATTCAGATATTGCAACCTGTAATCATCGATATTTTTCGACGTATTCATATATAGTTAATATTTCGAATATTTTTGATTTTTTTTTTAAGAATAATATTTAGCTTACAAGTTACGGCTGGCACTGGATCACTGATTATAGAGGACAGAAAACGAATTGTGTATGTTTATTTTAAATGCTGAGTTAAAGCCGTAAAATTGCAGAGTGTACACTAGCATAGTTAATATTTTGCAATATTTTTTACTTGTATTATATAAATATACTTTAAAGGACGATTATTGGAACGCTAGGTGTCTCTGCTCTCAATGCTTCTGGAGTTCCACGTGGAAGAGACTCCAACGAAGCCTAGCGAGAAAAAAATTCGCCGTTGAATATTGCAACTTTCTAAATTTGTATGGACGCTACGTTCTTCGATGTGAGTGGTTTTTTAACAATTCTCTTCTTATAAACGAAATAGATAGAATTAAGATTATAGCACGCACCGCAAACACGATCCCTTTAAGGGACAATTTGCTAAATACAATTTAGTTTCATTTTTGGTATGTCTTGTAGTTTTTTTATTCATGTACGAGTACTATATACTTACATCAAAATGGTGGGACCGATTTGTCCGCTTTTTTGTGTGAACTTATCTCATGAAAAGTGGAAAAAAAGTTTTGCTTCCCAAAAAGAAATCATTGTTAAGAACATTCACTATAATTCCAATTGACAGAACAGCACTAAGCTTGAAAGATTTATCAACTTTTAATAACTTAATGGACAATTCAATTCCGAAAAGGGAACTGAAAAGGGAACTGTAAAGGGAACTGAAAAGGGAACTGGAATGAGAACTGAAAAGGGTATTGAACTAAAGAGAGAAGTGAAAAGGGAACGAAAAAGAAACAGAAAAGGAACTGAAAAGGGGAAATGAAAACAGGAACTGAAAAGGGAACTAAAAAAGGGTATTGAACTGAAAAGAGAACTGAAAAGGAACTGAAAAGGGAACTGAAAAGGATCTAAAAAAGAAGGTAACTGAAAAGGGAACTATCAACTTGACATTTTCAAAATGTGCTCATTACAGTATTTGGGAACTGAAAAAGAAACTATCAACTTGACATACTCAAAATGTGCTCATTACAGTATTTACCATCAAGCTCTCTTCTTAAGATGTGGAATAACCTGCCTCTTGACTTAAAAAGAAGCAACTCTCTAAGTATATTTAAAAATAGACTACTAAATTCTCTTTTTGAAAATTACATGACAATGTGTTATAAACCGAATTGCTATTCATGTAAAACTAATTAGATATGTCTTAATATGGTTTGATATTTGTTGTGTACATGTCCGAAAATTACTTTAAATTCTAGTTATTCGAATTAATGTATAAACTATTTTGCAAAAGATAAATTCGCACCCTGATCTCTAATCGTTCTCCTTAAATCTATTTAATTGAAATGTTTTGTTATAATTATTAAAATTAGGTGGAAAAAATAATCAAAACAGCCAAGAGCTATTTTCCACCTAATTACTTTATACTTGTACTGTTAATATAATCATCAATTTGTAATTGTAAACTCGTTCTGTATACAGATACATGTATTTTAGCATTAAACTTTATCTTATCTTATCTTATCTAAGAGAACTGAAAAAGGAAACGAAAAAGGAACAGAAAAGGAACTGAAAAGGGAACTGAAAACAGGAACTGAAAAGGGAACTGAAAAGGAACTGAACAGGAACTGAAAAGGAACTGAAAAGGAACTGAAAAGAGAACTGAAAAAGGAACTGAAAACGGAACTGAAAACAGGAACTGAAAAGGAAACTGAAAAGGAACTGAAAAGGAACTGAACAGGAACTGAAAAGGAACTGAAAAGGAACTGAAAAGGAACTGAAAAGGAACTGAAAAGGAACTGAAAAGAGAACTGAAAAGGGAACTGAAAAGAGAACTGAAAAGGAACTGAAAAGGAACTGAAAAGGAAACTGAAAAGGAAACTGAAAAGGGAACTGAAAAGAAACCTTAAGAACCATTCAAAAACAATTTTTCCGTAAAAATTAGACCAGAACTGAAAATTGCGAATTTTCTAATTACAATTTTGCAAATTTTCTGCAATTCTGTGATTCAATCTTTTTAAAATTTTAGATTTCGATAGAAATAATTTATATACACATTTTTGCTTTCCTGAACTTTTGATTTTGAGAAAAAAGGTTCGCGGATTTTTTTTGGACCATTGGATATTGAATAATATTGAAAAAATACCATTCAGGAGAGTTGCACAAAAAAGGTACAATTTTGCACCAGGTGTCGCAAATCACACTTTTTTTGACTTTTTAATATATATGTACATATATATATATATATATACTAGCTGAAGTGCCCGATGTTGCCCGTGGAATTTGAAAAAAGTAGATTTTTGAAAAAAATAAATTTTCAGCCTGTTACCCCAAGGGTACCAATGGGTTCCTAAAAATTTGGTTCAGTCGTTTGCATGGCCAGCTATAGCTAACATATATTTATATATAAACACACATACAAATGTAAGAGCAAAGAGCTTTATTATATAGATAAAGTATGCCATGCTGGGCACTTTTGCTATATCTATTTCCATTGAATAAATATTAAAGTCGACATTTTCTCGAATATATATTTTAACAAAATGAATCAATTATCTTGAATACAAGTGAACAAATGTTAATATTGTTGTTTGTATTTTGGTAGCGTATACAGCCTTTACTTTGTGTTTACACTGTACTGCAGTTTTAAAGACATGGTACAGTTTACCTTGCTTTTACAGTACAGTTTTGTGTTAACCTATTTTGTGTGTATGTACAGTATTTTTCTTTGGTTGTACAGTTCATATTTTTGTTTACATTGAAGTTATTTTGATTGTACAGTAAGATATCATTGGGTTTTTTGTATGCACATCAAAATTAATTTTGCATGTACAGTTACTTTTGTGTGAAATGTTTAGATTGTACATAAAATGTGAAAACATGTGTTATGTACAAAAATTATATTCACTTACGATCTGTAAGGTACTGTACATATATATCCAAAAGTTTGTATTCCTGTTCCTTAACCTTGTAAATTCTTTTTAGATTATGTATTTCTGTATCAAGGCTATGTATTTTCTTTGTAGTTCAGGTATTTCTGTATTATGGTTCAGTATTCTGTATCTACTATCTAGGTCATGTATTTCTGTATCTACTCTATTTTTTTCTCTTACTATGTTTTTTCTGTATCTAGGATTTGAATTTCTATATTATGTTTCTGTATTCTCGTGTATCTTGTGAATCTAAACTATGTATTTGTTGTATTTTATAATTTTTTTTATAGTTACAATTGTATTTATCAAAGTTGAGCACTTAAGTCTTATCTGTATCACTGTATCTCCGTATCTATAATCTGTATCTCAGTTTCAATCTTTTGTATCTCTTTATCAACTATCTCTGTATCATTACTCTGTAGTGTATCAATTCCTAGTTTGATTATGACCAGCTTCAGAAGAGATTCAATGTTTGAGATTTTATCTTCTATCATCTTTATCTCTGATTTAACCTAAATGAATAGTAATTTATCTTTTATTGGATTTATCTCTGATTTAATCAAAATAATAGTAATTTATCTTTTATCGGCTTTATCTCTGATTTAACCAAATAAATAGAAATTTACTTTCTATCATCGTTATCTCTGATTTAACCTAAAAATAGTAATCTATCTAATATCGCCTTTATCTCTGTTTTAACCTAAATGAATAGTAATTTATCTCATATCATCTTTATCTCAGATTTAACCTAAATAATAGTATTTTATCTTACATCGTCTGATTTGTTTTTTTTAAATTGTAATTTTTCTTCCACAATTTGTATCTCTGATTTAACTTAAATAAGTAGTAATTCAAGTTCTTTTGTGTTTATCTCTGATTTAATCTAAATAAATAGTAATTTATCTTCTGTCATCTTTTTCTTTCATTTAACTTAAATAATAGTAATTTATGTCTAATTTAACAAAATAGTAATTTATCTGCTATCGTCTTTATCTCTATTTTAACCTAAATAAATAGTATCTATGATTTAATTTAATGCTGATATATTTACAAGTTTCTTTAAAACAAAAATTTTGTCATCAAGTGTGAAATAGTTCTGTGTCAACTTTACAATTGTTGTAGATATTTTCGTTTTTTATGGAATAGTCATATCATAATATTTATTATTCTTTACAAAAGTAAGAAAAATTTATCATGTCAATGTTACAGACAAAAGTCTCAACAAATATTTTGATATTTTTCAGAAATCATTCAGTTTCAACAGTGTCATAAGAGAAAATACTAATCCCTCCCCTACTGCCTAAATGAGATTGTCATTCACAAACTTTTTTCAAGTTTGAAAATCTTCAGAGGCCACCAGAGGGAAATCGTTTTCAGCGGAGGGAATGCACAATTTTGATTAAATAATAACTACTCCACTACTAGAAGGATGGTAATTAGCACGCAGGAATCTAATTACTCCACGAGAGGGATGGTAATTAAAAAGACACTAATTACTCCATCGGAGGAGCGGTAATTAATACTCAAGACACTAATTACTCCATAGTAGGGACGGTAATTAACACTCAGGAAACCAATTAATCCACCGCAATGATGGTAATTAACACGTAGGACACTTAATACTTCACTCAGGACATTAATTACTCCACCAGAGGGATAATAATTGACACTCAGGACACTAAATAAAGGGTTGACAATTAACACTCAAAACACTCATTACTCCACCTAATTAACACTCAGAACACAAATTACTCCACAGGAAGGATGGTAATTAACACTCAGGATAATCATTACTCCGTCTAATTAACACCCAAGAAACTAATTACTCCACCACAGGGACACTAATTACTCCATCCGAGAGAAGGTAATTAACACTCAGGAACCTAATTACTCCACTGGAGGGATGGTTATTAACACTCAGGACACTAATTAATCAACCTTATTAACACTCGGGAGAATAATTACTTCACTGATTGGGTGGCCATTAACACTCAGGATACTAATTACTCCACCAAAGGGATGGGAATTAACAATGTACTGTTCGATATCATCGAGAATAATTATTTAGGTTTGCTAGGAATTACCTCTAGTCTGTTCTGCACAATATCGTTGAGAATACAATTTTTATGTTTGCTGGTAGTTACCTCTAGTCTTCACTGCTCGATATTGTTGAGATACTTATTTATGTTTGCTGGGAATTACCTCTAGTCTGTACTGTGCGATATTGTTGAGAATACTTGTTTATGTTTGCTAAGAATTACCTCTGGTCTGTACTGTGCGATATTATTGAGAATACTTGTTTATGTTTGCTGGGAATTACCTCTGGTCTGTACTGTGCGAAATTGTTGAGAATACTTGTTTATGTATGCTGGGAATTACCTCTAGTCTGTACTGTGCGATATTGTTGAGAATACTTGTTTATGTTTGCTGGGAATTACCTCTGGTTTGTACTGTGCGATATTGTTGAGAATACTTGTTTATGTATGCTGGGAATTACCTCTAGTCTGTACTGTGCGATATTGTTGAGAATACTTGTTTATGTTTGCTGGGAATTACCTCTGGTTTGTACTGTGCGATATTGTTGAGAATACTTGTTTATGTTTGCTGGGAATTACCTCTAGTGTGTACTGTGCGATATTGTTGAGAATACTTGTTTATGTTTGCTGGGAATTACCTTTAGTCTGTACTGTGCAATATTGTTGAGAATACTTGTTTATGTTTTCTGGGAGTTACCTCTGGTATGTACTGTGCGATATTGTTGAGCATACTTGTTCATGTTTGCTGGAAGTTACCTCTGGTCTGTACTGCTCGATATTGTTGAGAATACTTGTTTATGTTTGCTGGGAATTACCTCTAGTCTGTACTGCTCGATATTGTTGAGAATACTTTATTATGTTTGCTGGGGATTACCTCTAGTCTGTACTGTGCGATATCGTTGAGAATACTTGTTTATGTTTGCTGGGAATTACCTCTAATCTGTGCTGCTCGATATCGTTGAGAATACTTGTTTAAGTTTGCTGGGAATTACCTCTAGTCTGTACTGCTCGATATCGTTGAGAATACTTGTTTATGTTTGATGGGAATTACCTCTAGTCTGTACTGTGCGATATGGTTGAGAATACTTGTTTATGTTTGCTGGGAATTACCTCTAGTCTGTACTGTACGATATTGTTGAGAATACTTGTTTATGTTTGCTGGGGATTACCTCTAGTCTGTACTGCTCGATATCGTTGAGAATACTTGTTTATGTTTGATGGGAATTACCTCTAGTCTGTACTTTGCGATATCGTTGAGAATACTTGTTTATGTTTGCTGGGAGTTACCTCTAGTCTTCACTGCTCGATATTGTTGAGAATACTTGTTTATGTTTGCTGGGAATTACCTCTAGTCTGTACTGTGCGATATTGTTGAGAATACTTGTTTATGTTTGCTGGGAATTACCTCTAGTCTTTACTGTACGATATTGTTGAGAATAATTGTTTATGTTTGCTGGGAATTACCTCTAGTCTGTACTGCTCGATATTGAGAATAATTGTTTATGTTTGCTGGGAATTACCTCTAGTCTGTACTGCTCGATATTGTTGAGAATAATTGTTTATGTTTGCTGGGAATTACCTCTAGTCTGTACTGCTCGATATCGTTGAGAATACTTGGACTTGGACTTGGCTCTGGTTTAGCTTCTAAGTCTTTTATTTCCTCATCCTTGAAAAAGGAGTGTTTGTAAAGTGTGACAGGGATTTAGGTTGGGACGTACGTATACTACGTAGTACGTATGCGGTATAAATGACGACATTTGGTAGACAAAAATGTCCAGAACTGTAGACATATGATGTCATCACAGATTGGTGTTTATTGCAATTCTTAAAACTTTTGAAAATTCACCAAAACTTGAAAAACACGAAAATCTGCGAAATTTCAAATTGTTATCATGTTATTATGTGCAAAGGGGCCAATGATATTAAAAGATAAAATAATTTGAGATAATTGCACATGTTGTTTTGGTATTAAACCTTCGGGATTCAATGATAAACCCTTGGACTACGATTATCCTAGAATCCCTCGGGAGTTTACATTTTGTTTGGTTCTAATTTTTCTGAGAGTGAATGATACACTTAAAATATTTTTTATAGAAATTTGCATTATTTTTGCAATTCTTCGTACCTGTTCTTTTATGATTGGGGGAACAGTGTTCTTTTTACTGTAGTAAAAGACGCATTTTTATTATTACTTTCTGATCTAAATGTTGGATTTATAAAAATGATAATACTTGTTTAACTGACAAACCGATTGATTGGTTAAAATCCAATTGATAAAATCGATTAACCCTATTTAGCCTAAAATCTGGTTTACTGCCGGGGGGGGGGTCAAATTGACCTTCCCCCTCTATTTTCTTATTGTGATGCAAATCTATAGCATTTGATACGTTTTTGGAAAGCTACTTCAATATCTGAAAGTAGGTCCAGATAAAGATTTAGTCTGGTATAGAAAAATTTAGGCAGTTTGCCTGAGGACTCAGGCAGTAGGTATAAAAGCTCAACTTTTAGCCTTTAGTGAGTGACATGGGTCAAATTGACCCCCCCCCCCAAGGCCAAATTGACCCCCCCTAGGCCAAATAGAGTTGAGAAATCGAAAAGTCGTTGTTTTTAAAAATTGAAGATTTATTGAAAAAAACTAATCAATGAAAAAAAGTTTAATAAATGAAATATCGATTTTATAATTGTCAAACCAATTAAATTACTTGAACACCTATTGTTGATTTAAAATTGATGAATTGTTCAATTGATTAAACTTGAGAAAATAAGTCAATTGATTAGAAAAATGTATATAATGATTGATCGATTCATGCCAAATGCATCTTTTCCTGAGAAAATTCCACTTGTATGGTCTGGGTGAGGAGACAGGGCTTAGTGCGGAGCTGGAGGGTGGGAGGGCGAGCAGGGTTGGAGTCCGAGCCCCCTCCGGGAGCAGGGGAACCTCACTTCCATCCTCCTCTCCTCGGACCTACAAAAATAAACTTTAATTTAAACTCATTCATTAATTTAATTTCGGCTCAATTTTATATTAATTTAAACTCAATTTTAAAAATAATCAAATCCCTTTAAAAATATCTCATTTTTAAAGTTAGACTTTAGACTTTTGATCTGATACTTTTTTGAAACTCATTAATAATTACATAATTCCCGGTCAAAATAGCTTTTAAACAAAAAATCTGTTTTCAATACTTTACTAAATTATTCTTAATTCAAAAAGAATAAAAAACTAAATTTTCAATATTCCAAAACAAATATTTTTTCCCTTAACATTTTCAGAAGTTCCTAGCAGAATCCTGTATTCCTTCAGCTTGAAACTTAAGAGAAAAGTTTTTTTATGAAAATATACTTTATATATTTTAAGTCCAGGATTTAAGATAACTTCACAAAAGGAGGAAGGGGAGGGGGTGCCATCATACAAATCAGTATTGTACTATAAATTGATAGTGTGATGTGATGTATTCTAAAACGTAATTTCAAGTAGTTTCCAGTTGTAGAATGTTGTGTCTAATTCACACCGGTACCCTTTATAAATCGTTTTCTGAATAAAATTGATATCGTCGTTTTTTTCTATCTTAAAAATTATTCACTTTAAATATTTGCATTATTTGCCGCTGCACCATAAATCCGCAAATTATGTCTGAAGAGAATTGAGAACCAAAAAAAAACTTTCAGCTTGAAAAAAGAAATAGCTTGATATGCTGGAAAAAAGAAATATCTTGACATACTCTCTTTAAATATAGGGTCACATGTCGACATACTACTCTTTAAATATAGGGTCACATGTCGACATGTTACTTTACATATATAGGCTCACATGTCGACATATACAAATATAGGGTCACATGCCGACATGTTACTCTACAAATATAGGTCACATGTCGACATGTTACTTTACAAGTATAGGGTCACATGTCGACATGTTACTCTACAAATATAGGGTCACATGCCGACATGTTACTCTACAAATAAAGGGTCACATGTCGACATGTTACTCTACAAATATAGGGTCACATGCCGACATGTTACTCTACAAATAAAGGGTCACATGTCGACATGTTACTCAAAATGAAGGATCAAATGCGGAATTACTAAAAGTTAAAACAACTTGATAAAAAAAAACATTTAAAACCAATCTTAAAAAAACCTTACCTTTGACTTAAACTTGTTCACAACTTTTTTAAGGAGCACAATCTAAAGTATCATCAGTGCATGAATTTGAAAATATATTCGTGTTCGTGCCAATATTTATTTCAATGTACTATTTGATGTCAAACCTCTGAAATCCCTATTTCTTTGCAACCCAAAGTCAGAGACCTTGGATATTTCAAACTCTAAGAATTCTGTTAGATCAAAGAACCCATATGAGATTCAAATATCAAAGAATTACACTCATCAGGTTGCAAAGATATAGGGTTTGTGGTAGGGATATTTTCACTTTTTAAAATTTTTTATCCCAGACAAAATCCTGAACAGTCCCTGGTCTAGTGTTCAATTGTAGAATTGAATTGTAATTTGAGAGATGATTAAATGTGAGTTTATACTTTTGTATAATTTAAAACCAGCTGGTGTTGGGATCCTGTAGATTATAATAAACTAGGGGGTGGGTTCTATTCCAGGAACGAACAAAAGTTTTGTTTAGAAACTTTGCTAACAGACGGAACGTATCGTTAGCGTTAAAACCGTTGCTTAAACCTAGAGCAGGCAAAATATGCGTTTTTGGAATTTAATAAAAAACCTCTCATTGGATTATTGCGAAAGATGATTAAATATAACGAACAGAAATTATGAGTCGTTGCAGCAAAGTCATAATTTCTAATCCCTATATCTTTGTAATCTAATGGTGTAATGGGTAATCTAAGGTCTACGATCCATTGAGTTGCAAAGATATAGGAATTTTAGAATCAAATTTTGGGGCAAGAACTCAATTCCTTTGCTAATATCTCTGTCAATTTTAAAGATGAAAAGTTATACAGTTATAGAAATTATTTTTATGCAGTACTGTTGAAGTTTCGACTTAGTTCCACAAATCATTTCGGAATTTTGAATTAAACACGAAAAGTAAAATAAATTAATATAATTAATTAATTTTTAATTTCATCAGGGAAACTGGAAAGCGAAAAGCTGCATATTTCTGATAAAAAAAATCATAAGAAAAAATTTTAAGGTTTGTCCAGTCTTAGAATAAATTATGTAGTTTGTAAACAAAATTCAAATTTTAAAAATAAGTTTTATTTAGAGATTTAGGTAATTTTGATATTGCGATACGTATACACTATTGTGAAAATTGCTCTTTTGATTTAAAAATTAAAAAATCTAAAAATTTAAATAATTAAAAGAAATCAGTGCATGCACATAAGCAATAAGCATGGATATGAAAGGTTGTGTGGGTATATGATGAATAAAAATCAGGAGGGATTTGAGTTTTTTAAATCCCTTTGCAATCTGATGGTAAAAACCTTCGATGTTTTAAAATATGATTTGATATAACACAATTTATAGTTTGAAAGATCAAATAGTTTGAAATTGAGTTGCAAAGATAAAGGAATAAGCTTTCAGTGTGTACTGTACTGCAATGATCTGCAGTACGGTGACTTAAGAAAAAGAGGGATATAGCCATAGAGAATAGAATATATAGAGAGGAATTAAAAGAATCTCTCGGTATGAATTTTTTCAGTCCCTTTAAGCCTGAAAGGGAGTTCAAAGTGTACAAATCATGTAAATGTTTACAAATTATATGCAGTAGAGTACATTAATACAGCATGTTCCCTAGACTAGTCATTTCAATTTCGAATTTTTTAAACTGTTAAATAAACTTTATAAAGAAGTAGGTGAATAAAAACATCATTTGATTTATAGTTATAACGGAAAATCTTCGTTTGTAAAGGGAAAGGCAAAGAGTCTATATGAAATGATAATTGGTCAAATAATTTTAGATTTTCTATAAAATGATTCCAGGGCCTAACAGGTTATATAGCATAAATATGTGAAGTACAGCTGCAGTATGGAAACAGTACAACAAAATGGCCGTTTTACAATTTTTTCCAGTAAATTCCTCTCTATATATTCTATTCTCTATGGATATAGCGAAGAATAGGACTAAAACAGAGTTAGTGGCAAAATTCAATTTAAAGTGTATTTTGTAATAAAGAAAATGATTATAAATGAATATAATTATTGATGAATCGATTGCCAGTGGCTTAGACTTTTATCTAATGTATGTTTAAGAGATTCAAATTCCTTAAGCCGCAAAAAAAATGATAAAGCAAATTCTGAATCTGTTTTAGTTTAAGAACTGTCTAGAGTCTTTTATTTCCATACCTTTATGTTTACAAAACAACGTGTGGAAAACTTTGATTTTGATTCATCCTATATAGCTTAACTTTAAAGGTACAATGAGGATATGAACCAAATAATGCATCTGTTGATATCCTAAACCTGCGAGGGGGTGAAGGGTCTTTCCCACTGTTGAACCTCACCGTAGATCTGCTCGAGCCTCTTCTCTGCAACCTGAGCCGCAACAAAATGTCATTGGTGATCGGGTTAAAATCTTAGACTATTGCACTGAGACACCTTTATCAAAGTAATGAATTATTTTGTCACAAATCCTTCAAAACTAACGCAAGGAAAAAGCCCACTTTTTTCTGCCTTTTGGAGTAATTTTATCCGGGGCTACAAAAACGTACAATGGCAGAAGTCTGGAAAAAATTCAAAGTCGGCTCGGTCCTAATAGTGATTACTAACTGTTTTTATAGCTGTGTAGGTTTCTAAGGACATGTATCAAATGTTAAAGTTTGAGAAATTTGCTGCGGTTGGAAAAGATTTTCTGTCTTAATGAGTTTAAAACTGAAATTAAACATTTTTAATTGTCAGCAAATTATCTTCCCTTTGATTACGAAACCTTAAAGCTGGGACTAAGGATTAAAAAAAAGAAACTTTCGTAAAAAAGAGCTACCCTGCACATCACTCCGTGTGTTTACATTCCTCTTAGAAGCTGCAGTACACTTTATATTACGGTAGTTATTGTTATATTCCTTTTATACTGCATGTAGACCCACAAAGGATGAGACGACTGTAACGAATTTATACTTTCTGATGCCGAATTAAAAAAATTTTAGTCGCGGCTGGCTTAAACTTAAGCCGCGGCTCAAATATAGTTGGTTCCACTTAAAATTGTATTTAATTTTTCAAGATTTAAGCCAGCGCTCAATTGAAACCGGTTTTTAGCAGATTTAAGCTGCGGCTCAAATTCATTAAATTCGGACACATGTTTTCTTATATTCATGATTCCCTACAACTGTTTATTTCTTAATACATTGTGCAAAAAAATCAATTTAATATTAGAGGAACTGTAAGCGTAATTTTTAATGATCCTCCATGCAAAGATGACAAAGCCCAATTCACAACGGTACCCTTGAAACCTTTATCTGACCAAACATGTTGAAGATAATTCCTTTATGTTTTCCTGGCGGAGAAATGCGCAAGTCACTTTTGCATGGAAACCACAATTAAAAATAATCAGTTAAAAATAAACAAAAACATTGATATCTTACTCATACTGATCAGACAAAGTGTTTAATGGTACCGTTGTGAATTGGGCATTGTCATCTATGAATGCGACGTCACTTGAAATTACAATTACAGCGTGCAGTCCCTTTGAGATGGTAAGACTTTAAGATCTTCCCGTCGTCTTTACAGTCTCAACCTTTGTAAATAATCCTGTACTTAATTGAACCATTTCTTAACTTAACAATTTTAGAGATTTTTTTTCCACCCGGATGTTTTCATTATTTTATCCAATTAAAAATACATTTCCGGCCACTAATGTATAACATGTTTTCCCATTATATATAATAACAAACTTTTTAAGTTGACATTTTTAATGGTGTAATATTAATCTTTTTCTTACTAAACAGTTGAGGCAGTATAAGCAATAGATAATATTCTGAGCCTATATATAAAGAATTTTTTGTACACTAAAAGTCAGAAAACTAACGATTGCTTCCATATGCCCTGATCACGTCAAACTAAAGTAAAATGCACGTGATATTGAAATCTTATTTGTTTTTGTCAAAACTTCTCTTATTGAAGAGCTATTGAGAAGAACAAAAATATTTTGAATTCATAATATTTAACCAAATAAATTTTCTTTTTTTTACGCTCTTGCGTAATATCAGAATTAATGGAGAAATGGAACCCCAAAGTCGTAACAGTAATTTCAATTGAACTTGAACTTTGCCTCCTGGTTTGTTTGCAGTGTAATATAATCTATTTTGTATACTATAAATAGTATAATCTCTGCTTGTGTGTCTGTTTTATATCATGGATCGTAAATCAAGAATACCTTTGAGGCTGATTTGCCTCAAATTTAGATATGGAAACTGCAGACTGTTCATAATTTTTGGATTAGAAATTTCAAGTTAAGTATGGTGGTGAATTTTACAGGGTAAACTTATTTTCCAGGCACAGTTGGGTTACCCAGCTAGGTCAATTATAAAAATCTATAATTCAAAAACATTTGCGATATATACATTTATCTCAAAGAAAGAAGAAGGATGAAGGTTACAAGAATAGAATAGAATAGAATAGGACGACAAGACACTCTTAAAATAGGAAGATCTCAAGGTTTAATTATTAGTTATGCCTTAGATATAGTTATCTAAAGGCTTATTCAACTATTTGAAAAAGAAAGAAACAAGTTTATAATTGAAGGGAATCGTGAATATTAGGAAACAGACAGTATAAATACCGTACAATCGTCTCTGAAGTCCTATCCTTTGTGGGTAACCCTGTATTAAAAAACTTACCTTAGCAAAGACGACCCGTTTGGAGAGATCAAATGTAAGAGCGAGGTTTCTTGAGAATGTGTGTGCGAAGGGTTTATAGAACTCCAGAACCTCCTTGAGCCGGTCAACTTGTATTGTGTGGATGTCACAGTAGGTCAAAGCTCGCACGTGGACAACTGATTTTCCTAGCTGAAATATTGTCAGTTAAAGTAAGTTTCAAGGGGATTTCATTTATGAACTGGCATGTCCGATTCACAATTGTACTATTCATCAAGAACGCATGAGATATTTATATTTTTCTCTTTAAAAATTAAATTTTTACAATTCCAGTTTTCAATGACTTTTCCTCAGAAATAATGGAGGAAATTCTTGAATAGGGGGTGGGGGGAAGTTTCTAAACAAGAAAATTAACAGAACCAAACATCAGATTTAAAGGAATGTTCATCTATTTAAAGATGTTACAAAATAAAAACATGTATTTTTTTATTTTTTATTTTTTTACAATAATGTTTGAAGCTAATCGCACGGCTGACATATATCCCTAGGTCGCTTCTCTCAGTGAAAATTGTCATTTTAATATTAAGTTCTCGAGATATATTTAAAGAATAAAGATTATATTCGAAGGTTCTATCTTGACCTTGCAATTTTAAAATCTTAAAACTCGTCAACATTTTTTTTCGTAATATTAAACTTACTGAAATCATTTCGAAATTTCAAATACATTTGTAAAATTTTTAATCTCGAACGAAAATTCCGTTAAATTCGAAATGCTGTCCATGTCATGAACAAAACTTTATAGATTCTTTTTAAATAAAGGTTAGAGTTTACTCCGAGCAGGTAAGTCGAAACAATATTTCATTTTTATTAAAAAAAGGTTTTTTGTTTTCCCATTATCATTTTAACCCTATCCCTGCTGGGGTACTTGAAAACTAGGATATGCTGGGGGGGGGTCAATTTGACCCCCCCTCTAAATCCCATGTTTTATGTCCAAATATGACAAATGATACATCATTAGAAAGCTCTTGTAGACTCAGGCAGTTAGTATTAAAGTCCAGTTTTAGGCCTAAAGGGAGGGCTTTGGGTATGTAAGAAAAGTCAGAAAATTTCAACAGCCTCAGACCAATACTTTTTGAGTTATGTAAAAAAAACTACAGGGGGGGTCAAATTGACCCCCCCCCCAGCAAGAATAGGGTTAAGATATTAATTTTTGTTGCATTTTTAATAATTTTTGGTCATTTTGAAGTTTACAGCATTAGTAAGGTAGTTAAAGTGAAAGAAAACTGTCTCTTTCTATATACATGAAGTAATAAACTTTGTTTGTCTGTCTTGGTCTCTGTCTGTCTGCTTGTTTGTCTGTCTGGGTCTCTGTCTGTCTGCTTGTTTGGATGTCTGATCGTATCTCTGGAACCTGAACCGATTTGCTTCAAATTTTTATCAAGAAACCAGTTAGAACCACGGAAGTGTTTTGAGCCCGGTTAAATTTCTTAATTGAGTTATTTTAACTTTTATAGGGAAAACAACAGGCAAAGCTGGGTTCCCAATCGAGTATGTTTATAAAGTAGTAATCTTTGTTTGGTTGTTAGATCATAACTCATGAACCTCTTGACCAATTTGCCTCAAATTTTGATTGGTAAACTCGAAAACCACAATAATGTTCTAGGCTTAGTTCAGAATCTAAAAATTTTTAATTCAAACTTAAGTTGAGTAGATTGGCCTTTATTTCTTTTTTCAACAAAATTCTTAATATCTGTGCAAGCATTTTTAAGTGCAAAAATAGCAGACCACATTTTGTAAACGACTGGACCTGGGTTATAATGCAATTTTGGATAAGAAATTCTGCCTCTGTAATTTAGTTTTTTTCAAGTAAAAAATAACGCCGCAACATATTCTAAAAAATGAAGACGATTTTCAAGCATTCTCTCAATTGCTGAGATATGCAGTCTTTCTAAGAATATATTTTACCTTTGATTCCCTCCAATGAGAATCCCCACAAACATCATTGCGTCCCAGGAAAGCCAGTATTTCTCCGTCCTGCTAGATCAAATATCATTATTCATGTCAATATAATATAATACAATAATATAATATATATTATAATTCATGAACACAATTATTGCAGTATTCCAGTTTATTCATATATCTAACATATGAAAACGCCGGTCTAGAGATTTTTAGTATGTGTTCTACCATTTTTGTATCAATTGACGGAGATATTGCAATTATTTCATTTTATTTAATAAATCAAAATTGTCTTAATATCTTCGTTAATTATTAAGACACAAGCAAGGTATTTATTTATATATACTACTTCATGAAAAGCTCGTAAGATATATCAAACCTCGTTTTTATACTTTCTTTGCCATGCATTTAATCAAAGACAATTTCATTTAAGTCGTATCTCAATTACCAATTGGTTTCAAGTCCAAAACCGAAATTATTCGCTGAATGTCTAGTGCGTGCGTGCCAATATTAATTGCACATATACAAATCTACTACTGCTAATTATTACAGTATGTAAAGAAAAATTTAGAACAAGTAAATCTCTATAATTTTTGCTATTATTTTACAGTTATCTATTTGGGTGCGAGTTCTTGCGCAGAACTCGATAAGGAGAATTACCTAATTTCTTCTTAATAATTAACGCAAAAACTTGTGCTTTATAGTTTTTAAAAATGCATGTCACTCGCTTCAATGAAGAGAATCTGACATGTCACTATCAAAAGGGCNTTACCAGGGGGTCATTAATCCTACGTCTTGAACACAATTAGCAGTAGAACACGCGTATATCTCGTTAACCTGCAATTTTTAATTTTCTGGAGGATTCATACAAAACCATTAAATATTATTTTTCTAATTAATTCGTCTAAATTGAACAAAATTTAACTAATTACCTTTTCTAATTACAATTCTTATTTTAATTGAGATTTTGAATATCTCAGTCACCAAAAAATAAGAATGTAAATTTTTAATGAGAAATCAGATAAAACCCTAAAGAAAATACAAGATAGAATAGATAGACCAAGGATATAAAGTATAGGATAGATTAACCAAGGATATAAAGGATAGGATAGATAAACCGAGGATATATAGGATAGGATAGATAAACCAAGGATATATAGGATAGGATAGATAAACCAAGGACATATAGGATAGATAAACCAAGGATTATAGGAAAGACAAACCAAGGATATAAAGGATAGATAAACCAAGGATTATAGGAAAGATAAACCGAGGATATAAAGTATTGATAAACCAAGGATATATAGGATAGGATAGATAAACCAAGGATTTACAGTACAGGATAGATAAACCAAGGATATATAGGATAGGATAGATAAACCAAGGATGTATAGGATAGATAAACCAAGGATTATAGAAAAGATAAACCAAGGATATAAAGGATAGGATAGATAAACCAAGGATTATAGGAAAGATAAACAGAGGATATAAAGTATTGATAAACCTAGGATATATAAGATAGGATAGATAAACCAAGGATATATAGGAAAGGATAGATAAACCAAGGATATATAGGATAGGATAGATAAACCGAGGATATAAAGTATTGATACACCAAGGATATATAGGAAAGGATAGATAAGCCAAGGATTTAAAGTATAGGATAGATAAACCAAGGATATATAGGATAGATAAACCAAGGATATATAGGATAGATAAACCAAGGATATATAGGAAAGATAAACCATAGGATAGGATAGATAAACAAGGATATATATGATAGATAAACCAAGGATATATAGGAAAGATAAACCAAGGACATATAGGATAGGATAGAGAAACCAAGGAACTAAAGGATAGGATATGATAAACCAAGGATATATAAAATGGGTGAACCAAGGCCTGATTAAAATGATAGAGTACCTGAATAACTTCTAAAGACCCACAAACCACAAAGCAAAGATCAGTAATAGATTCCCCCTTCCTAAATAATAAACTTGTAGACTCCCCATGATCAAATATTTCATCGCAATTGGCGAAAAATGCGCGGAAACTATACTTTTGAGACATCCATCCTGTTCATAGTTTTGAACAAAACGTTCGTGTATTTTTAATTATACCGAACAAAATTTTATTCATTTTAATTTGTTTACTGACCTAATGATGAAGTCCCCAGGAGCGCAGTGAGTCATTTTAAAGTTAGTAGCCAGGGATCTTAAACATCCATCACTGGCCAGACGAAAGGCAGGGTGTCCATTGAATACTTTCCTAATAAAATAAGTTTAACAATAATGTTCTAATCCATGTATCTTTGAAACCTAATGCACGATTTCACATTCCAAATTTAGATTTTTGCCAGTGGAATAATCAAAGTTTGAGATGTCAATGGTTTATACACCATGCATGCATCTAGCTGTAAATATTAAAGGATTCAATATTTGAGGCAAGTGTTCACAGTTCAATCCTTTTTTTCTGAATTTCATTAACAGCAATTTTAGAGATATAAATATACATATGGCATACTGCATTGCAAATTACACAATAAATTTTTTAAAGAATTAAAATAATTATCGATTTAAATTAAACCAAAACTCGAAAAACCACTTCAATTTTGACGAGCATTAAGTCAAAAATAGTAATAATTCATACACTAATTATTATTTATAATAACTTACAGGAAAGTTTAGTGAATATTACATTAACCAAGGCGCAAATAGATTATCTAGTACAATAGATGGCAACATAGAAGATGTACACTCTCAGTACAGCTGTATTCTTACGTCACAAGTGTCAACTCAGTTAATTTATATGTCCGACAAAAAAATTAATAAAAGTGATGATAAAGTGCTTTTTTTACAGTGAAATAAGTGCAATTTTGTTTTCTTTATTTTCTGTTTTTACACTTTTTAATTTAATCATGTCAACTAATGGTAGAAAATGTAACTTGTGACTTCATGAATAATTGGTCCATTACTCTGTTGTGCTTGATAATCTATTTGGTTAGGCGTACAATATTTGAGTGTGTTTGTGAACTTAGGTATACAGGTAATTAGGTATTCGGGTATCATGCCTAAATTTTGCCTACAAAGTATCAAGAGCGTAGCTGTAAATTACCAATATTTTCATTTATATCTTAGAAGATATGTTTGAAATGTTTTTATTAATAGAAAATAAATATTTCCTAATTTAGAATACAAAACTCAACATCGCATATTTTTGCTGGGTATTCTTTACTTTTTATGAAATAATGAATAACAAAATAAACAAATATCAATATGGAGTAAATGGAAATTTTGTATTCATTTTCGTGTTGCTTTTGTTTTCTAGAAAATCATCAAAATGTCTAAAATAGAACTTCTTTTATTGATAGAAAAGTTGATCAATTTTAGATCCTCATAATGTAGAATGACGTCAAATCTAAGTATTATTAGGAAAAAACACAAAAGGCATTTTGTAGAAAGACCATTTTATAGATAGAACATAAATAGAACATTCAAAATCAATGTTGTCTCGTAAATATCAGATATACTATTTTTTAATGTTTTCAAAACAATTACGTATTAAAGAGAATAGCCAAGATTTCAAAATTGGGGTCTTTGTACATATCTGACAACTCTAAATGGCAGACTACATTTGAAAACTCCCAATACCCCGAGAAAAATATAAATTGTTTTTGCTGAAATCTGTTTTTTATTTAGCAAAAAAAATGCTCGTATATAAAAGACACCTTGGACTATGAAATGTCTTTCTATGTAAATATTTCACCATATATACAGTGGGAACCAAGGTTATAATGCAAGGAAAGTTAATTGCAGTTGCGTATACTCTGCGCAAATATTGACACCAGTTCTCTCTGAGCGGAATTTGTAAACAAGATGCATCAGTGTTCGTTTATTATCCGAGGAGGTTAAAAGCATAAAATTCTAATAATTTTGATAATTAGCATAATAGTTTTATATGACTAGAATATTTCATTGATTTTTTTATGTGAAAGATGGATCCCAATGTCAGGCTTCTACATCCGTCTTGTGTTTACATTACCGCCCAGAGACAGTACACTGCAGTACAAAAGATGCGTACACCTCTGAAATAACTTTCCTTGCATTATAACCTTGGTGGGGCCCATAAAACTGTGAACTGGCAAGACGACTGTTAGACTCAATTTATGATTTTAAAATGTCGAATACACAAGAAACCTAGCAATTTTGTACAGTGTACACGACGCATTTTCAACATGAAATACACATAAGACGTCGTCTTCTCATTCCACAATTTGATGGGTCCTACTGTATGTACTGAAACTTTGACCTGTTTAGATGTACACAGATATCAGCTCTCATATCCTTGGGACAGATGGACAGAACCTTATCCTACAGGGGTAGATATATTTTCAACAATTTTAGGGTAAACAGAAAAATTGGCATTTTTTCCCCTTTTCGTAAACTCTTTATAAATTCATTTATTTAATTTAAATTTTTTCACCCGAAAGACTGGGGGAAGGGGGGAGAGAAGGATGAGATGATTTAAAAAGAAAATATACACCCCTGCTCGACACCCTTGGTGTTCGTCCATTTGGAGACAATATAGTCCGTGACCCGTTCCATCAAGTTCTGAGGAACCTCATTAAGCGTCATGAATTCTCTAAAATCAACAATTTATTATTTCTTCGTGATTCCCGCATTTCTCAAGTACGTGAAGTTGTATTATAAATGTATACATATGTTGTTTAATTTTTTGTATAATGAACTTATAACAAAATCATTTAGAATCGGGTACATCTTTATGTTTAAACAAAACTACAATTAAAAGCTTGAATCCCAAATATGAAAACCCAAAATATCAGAACGTTATGAGCATGGTAAGATAGACTTAACTGTGTTCGTATTCCAAAAATTAGGATACATGATAAGTATTTGAAATATATGAGATTTAAAGATTTAATTAAAAGTACTGAACCTGACGGCGTCGAGCATTTCATGGTACTTGGCTGTAGCCTGCGTCATATTGTGTATGATTGTAGTCACATGACCAAATATGGCGGCGTACAGTAAACTCGAGACTATCATCATACACAGGCAGAAAACCTAATTTTGAAAACTTTATAGAATTTCGCGGATTTTGATATCACGATATGCTTCACGGATCTAACACTGCAGTTATAACTAGTTAGAGATGGACATCGTTTTTTTGAGCAAACGAAATTTTTTTAGAACGAAAGAAATTTTCATGAAAAAGGTTGTTGTTTAGAAAGAAAATAACGAATATATTAAGGAGAAAAGAAATGTATCATTCAAAGAAATGAATAATTTATCCATTTTAAAAACAAACAAAAAACGAGCAAATTAAAATATATATATATAGATATATATATATGTTCACCACCCTATGAATTCTGATAAAGGGGGGTCCATTGTGTACATCTGAAGGGATTATGCATAAGATAAGCTTTGACTCTTAGGTTTCCTTTCTCGATGGACATTCCAATACAATTATGTTGGAACAGTTTCGAATATATAATTGCACCTTTCTCAATTACATTAGAATGGTAAAAATCTTGGCCGGGCCGGTACAAATTATGTTGTACAAGGTTGTCATCATAGATACCTTTTCATTATCTGTATCTGCCGCAACATTTCCAAATCCTATAGATGTCATGCAGGTCATCGTGAAGTACAGAGCTGTCACATACATAGAGAATATAGAGGGACCACCAGATATTGAAGGATATCTAGGTATCTAAACATAGAGAATATAGAGGGACCACCAGATATTGAAGGGTATCTAGGTATATAAACATAGAGAATATAGAGGGACCACCAGATATTAAAGGATATCTAGGTACCTAAACATAGAGAATTAAATCCAATTACTAGAATCGGGTCTAAACAGAGATCAAGTTTGGCATTGATAAGGCATTCAGTTGGCTTGATGGGACTTAGAAAGTTGAACTTCCCTTTTTTAGGATCAAGTTAGTTGGGAAACATGTAGACAAGCGATTTTAAAGTTTTGTAAAAAGTGAGTATTGTTCCAGGGACCCCTCTCACCAGGACTTCAAATGATTTGACGAAAAAAAAAATTGTATAAAGGTGAACTTATTCTTTGGAGAAGTTTAGAGAAATTGTGACATTTTGAATTGGTAAAAGTGAGAAATATTATTTATATTCTTGTTGTGAATACAGTCAACATTCAATAAACTGCAAACTTCAGGTCAGGTGTCTCAATAAACAATCATATTTTTGGTTTTATCAGACAATTTTGTTAGTTTTCAAATAAAACAAATATTTCGAAATTATGAATGCATGTTTAGAATATGTAAACAATTTTTAATTATTTGAAACAAAATTTGAGATATTTCTAAAAGTTATATAATCTTAATATGCTTTTGTAATCATTACAGTTAGATTAGGTAAATATTACTGCGTAGAGTTAAGACGCCTGTAAGGGACTGTTATTGTAATTATTACAGTTAGATTTGGTAAATATTGCTGCGTAGAGTTAAGACGCCTGTAAGGGACTGTTATTGTAATTATTACAGTTAGATTTGGTAAATATTGCTGCGTAGAGTTAAGACGACCTGTAAGGGACTGTTATTGTAATTTTCAAATAACTCTTCATTTAAGGAAGGCATACACTATGCATTCACAACGGTACCCTATAAACTTTAATCTTAAATATCAATAATATTCAAGATATCGTATTTTATAAAGCTTGAAAAGTGATTAATTCTTACAATTTCCTGCATTGTTTCCGAAGCATACATCCGCAAATCATTAGAATTCTTGCTGGAAAGCTTGTAAGGGAACCGATATGAAAGGAAAATGTTGGGTCACTGGAAATTATGCCACCAGCCCATAGAGAATAGAATTTATAGAGAGGAATTAAAAGAATCTCTCGGTATGAATTTTAGTCCCTTTCAGCCTGAAAGGGAGTTCAAAGTGTACAAATCATGTAAATGTTCACAAATTATATGCAGTAGAGTACATTAATACAGTATGTTTCCTAGACTATTCATTTCAATTTCGAAATTTTTAAAGCTGTTAAATAAACTTTATAATGAATTAGGTGAATAAAAGATCATTTGATTTATAGTTATAACGGAAAATCATCGTTTATAAAGTGGAAGGCATAGAGTCTATGTGAAATGATCATTGGTCAATTATGAAACCAGCCTATTTCATAATTTGGTTTTCTTTTAACAATAAATTTAGATTTTCTATAAAATGATATTCCAGGGCCCAACAGGTTATATAGCATAAATATGTGAAGTACACGTGCAGTATGGAAACAGTACAACAAAATGGCCGTTTTACACTTTTTGTCTAGTAAATTTCTCCCTATATATTCAATTCTCTATGCACCAGCCCCTTAAATTCCAATGTTTATCGGGACACCCTGTATGAATATTCTAAGCTCAAATATATTTATAAATTAGAGAATAAAATTTTCATTTCCCAGTTTGTGCTAAAGCTCAAATTTTCTTTTAATTTAAAATATTCTATAAAAATTGACGAAACTTTTTTTGCCTAAAAATGAAATATTTCATATTAATTTTTTTACCGTGAAGGTCAATTGCATTCTTCTTAAGCATGGCTATCATTTTTCATTTTATTTTAACACTTAAATATTTAATAAAAATATTCTTTTTCTCTACTGAATGATTTCATGCAAGATGTATTACAAAATAACTTTTTTAATTGAAATTATGAAAAAAGTTCTCACTTTTCATTAATTCTTCATTTTATTCTTTTCTAATCTATATCAAGCAATATATACAGAAATAAACCCTATGGTTCATTGGTTTGGTAAAAATCGTTGCTTTATTCATTCCGAAATTGATTTTATGCAAATTATATAAACATTATAGATGAGAAGTTTATTATAAAAGACTAACTTACTTTATTACTATTAGATAACTAGTTTATACAAAGGACTAACTTACTTCAGTACTATTAGATGAGTAGTCTATATAAAGGACTAACTTACTTCAGTACTATTAGATGAGTAGTCTATATAAAGGACTAATTTACTTCAGTACTATTGGATGAGTAGTCTATATAAAGAACTAACTTACTTCAGTACTATTGGATGAGTAGTCTATATAAAGGACTATCTTACTTCAGTACTATTAGATGAGTAGTCTATATAAAGGACTAACTTACTTCAGTATTATTACATGAGTAGTCTATATGAAGGACTAACTTACTTCAGTACTATTAGAAGAGTAGTCTGCTATGAATGGTTGACCAGTTTTGTTTCCTAAAGCTGACAACCAGCCGAAGAGTACACCATTAGTCAGGTCACTGTGGCCGATTATGTACCTAAAGCGTACAATTATTGTATCAATATACGAACTTATATGTTTATTGTACAAGCTACAGTGGGACCTGTAAACTAGTAGAATAGGAGGACGACATTCAAGTAATCTGATGTGTGTTTGATGTTGTTATAAAGTAAATAGTTTAACAAGTAGCTTCAAAATCAATTTATGAACTGGAAATGAGTTGGTGCACACTGCAAAAGTTTCATGTTCATTGTTGAGACAAAAGTCGTCTTCCTTTTCAACAGTTGCACAGAATTAACACTGCACTGCATGGAAATAACACTGCACTGCACAGAATTAAGTCAGTTTTCTTACATAAATGGTTCCCTAGATAAACTTTAAACCCTTTGCTTTCTTTGCCAAATATTTTTGTACACAAAAATACAAAAAGCGAGTGTTCGCGAAAATATAAACTATATATGAATGCATCGAATTAAAGGAATAGAGTCTTTGCCACAAATTCAGTTTTTGTAAAACCTATATCTTTGCAACCTTATGGTGTAAGCCTTTGATATTTCAAACTTACATTATTTGACCTAATAGCATTCATAGTTTGAAATATTAAAGATCTGCGACATTGGGTTGCAACGATATTGAAATTAGAAAATCAGAGTTTGTGGCAAAAACTCAATTCTTTTGACATTATTATCAATATTAATATCTGAATGATTAAATTTTAGATGTGTTTAAAATACTTACAATCTGAGTGGAGTATTACAACTCAGAGAATATATTTGAACGTACTATACGCTCGTTTTTAACCATTTTCTCCTTACAGACGCAACAGATAGAGTAAAATTAGCAGCGAACAATATCGAATTAAATTTGATATCATTCCATACACCCTTTTTATGTTTCGCGAACATTCCCATTAAACTCACCAAACACAAGCGAACCAATGAACTACGATCATATAAAAAGAAAGCATGAGAAGAAGAAGAGCAAAGCTTGACTCCAGGAACCTATGAAGAGCTCGAGCTACTCTTCCAAGACGGAACAGGCGCATCAACTGAAAAAAAATATATATTTTATGCAATTACAGAATTTTAGACATATCTCTGCAAACATTTAGTTTCTGACATACTAGAATTATTTACTCGACATCTTCGCCATCGTAACTTATAGTCGTCGGTTTAATCTTCGCCATCGTAACTTATAGTCGTCGGTTTAATCTTCGCCATCGTAACTTATAGTCGTCGGTTTAAATGTTTCCTGGGATCTTTTCAAAATTTAATTCTTCTTAAAATTTTTAAATAATTTTTTTATTTAAAACACATGTTAGAATTTATATTTAGTCATCCATGGTTGTGTCTGTTGTTTAAACAACACTATCTTGTAAAATCTATATTTTGTATATTTCTTTTATCTGAAACCGATATCTATAAAGTATAGGATTACAAATCAGGAAGTATATATACAAATGTTAAAAGACTAGTTTTGAATAGAACGTTGCAATCTTTATACTATAATCTTAAAGATATTGTAAAATACTGCGTTTCATTTCTTTCAAATGTTAATCATTTTTTTCGTTGATCTTTGGTAATACATTAATAATAAGACTTCAACAGGTAGGTTTAACAAACCTGAATGAAAATGATAACCTTACAATTCATTCAGTTTCATCTGAAAATGAAAATTTTCCCTAATGATTCCTCTTTTTTCACTTAGAAAAGGATAAATAAAATTAAACTTTTAGCAAAGATAGCATTCAAAGTCTCGGGACCTATTTAAATACGGTCACCGCAGACCAGAAGCATTGAAAGGAACAGCACTATTATTTCAGGTACAATTCTAAAAATTAAAGTAAAAAATTTGCATAATTTCGCGCAAATATTTTTTGCGAACTTTTTCGCATGAAAAGCAATAAATTTTGCAAACAATTGCGCATAAAGCGCAATACATATTGCGGGCTTTGCCGCAATTTTTTTGCGTAGTTAGCGCTAAATCGGAAGTATTGCGCAAAACGTAGATTTTTAGGCAAAATATAATAATCTAAGCAAATTGACCAAAATTGAGAGTTTCAGCCAAGTTTCAGCACAGAATCAAACAACCTTCTTTATTCTAAAATATACTTACAAACAAAATTATGAATTGGTTTCTTTTAGTAATAAAAACTTCAAATTAAGGGAAAAAATTAATAAAATAGACATTAGAAAATTGAAAATCGAAAATTGATGCATATTGTTTTTAGATGTCTGAATCTTAGTGTGGTGGCAACCTTTAATATTTTAAATGTTGACTATAGTCTTCTAGTCGAATGTTGACTATATACTTCTAGTCGAATGTTGACTATATACTTCTAGTGGAATATTGACTGTATACTTCTAGTCTAATGTTGACTATGTACTTCTAGTCGAATGTGGACTATATACTTCTTGTCGAATGTTGACTATATAATTCTAGCCGAATGTTGACTATATAATTCTAGCCGAATGTTGACTATATACTTCTAGTCGAATGTTGACTATATACTTCTAGTCGAATGTTGACTATATACTTCTAGTCGAATGTTGACTGTATACTTCTAGCCGAATGTTGACTATATACTTCTAGTCAAATGTTGACTTTGTACTTCTGAACGAATCTTGACTATATACTTCTTGTCGAATGTTGACTATATACTTCTAGTCGAATGTTGACTATATACTTCTTGTCGAATGTTGACTATATACTTCTAGTCGAATGTTGACTATATACTTCTAGTCGAATGTTGACTATATACTTCTAGTCGAATATTGACTGTATACTTCTAATGTTGACTATATACTTCTAGTCGAATGTTGACTATATACTTCTTGTCGAATGTTGACTATATACTTCTAGTCGAATGTTGACTATATACTTCTAGTCGAATCATTAATAATCCTTTTCTTCTATAGACATATACATTTTAAAGGCTGTTTCTAGCTTAAGCTTAAAAGTCGAGTAGTTGGGAAAATGCTGCTCGATTTTGTGTAAGAGCGTGGACATCTTGATTTGCAGTGTGCCATCATGCATCATCAGGTTGCAAAGTTGAGTTTTAGGCAAGTAATCAGTTCCCTTTTTAAGCATTGCAATTATATGCCAACATGCATAGATAACTAATGTATACAGTTTACACCTTTAATCAACCTTTTAATGAGAATATGCTCTGCAAAATGCGCAAAACAGAATAACACAAAAGCGGAATAGCACAATTTTGAGCAAAACGAAGTTTGCAATTTTTTTTGCGCAAAGATTTAGCGCAAAGAAAGTAAAAAAAATTTCGAAAATTGTGCGAAAGTTTTGCGAATGGAAAGCCTAGTTTTACTTATCAGATATATATTGTTTCTTGAATCAAGAGGAGATAATCCGAATCATTTTGTATTAAAAAATATGAAAAAAATGAGACTATACTCTCGTTGATTACAAAAATGATTTATTATATTTAAATTATTTTTATCAAATAGATTATCAAGTACAATAGGTGGCAACAGAGAAATGGATCAACGACAGTGACACACGACGTCACAAGTGTCAAATATAACAAGGAAAACGAAATTGTCTCACATATTAGTTGACATGTTTTCCAAGATTAAATAAAAACAGAAATGAAAGAATATATAAAATAGTACTTATTTTACTGTAAGATAAACACTTTATTCTAAAATTATCACTATTATTGATAATTTTGTCAGACACGAAAAATAAATTTGTGACGTAAGAATACAGCTGTACTGAGAGTGTACAAATTCTACGTTGTCATCTATTGTACTAGAATCTATTTGGTTTTTATGATGTTGAAGGTCGGGTAGCAGATGGTGCTTAAAGTTTTTAATTTGTCAGATTTCGGAAAATTTTGACAGATTTCAACCCATTACATTTCATAAAATTTAACATTTGTAAGCTTCCTTTAATGTAATAATACAGATTAAGAGAAAATCTCTAAATCAAATTTTCAATTTTATGATTTCATGGAAACATTTGAAAAAATTACGAAAAGACAGAATTTTTCTACTGTCCACGATATTTCCTTTATTTTTTAGAAAGTCCGATTTCAATTGTCATAAAACACTTGACCGATTTGCCTCAAAGTTTGAATGGGGAACTCGGTAGAACTGCGGGAATGTCCCTTGGCTTGGTTTAAAAAAATGAATAAGATGACTTTTACTGGGAAAGATTAGTTTCTAGTCAAAGCTGGGTTCCAAAGTTGATATACTATACACATAATTAAATAATAATAATAATATTAAAAATACTTGCCTTGAGAATGCTAAGAATGTCTGTATATGAAGAAGTGTATGCACTGAATGAATCTAGGATATCGTATGGGAGGCAAGCCATCACGTCTATCAAGAATCCAGATCTCAGGTAGTGTCTAAACAATTTAAATTCAGAATTAAACAATTTTAGGAATAGATCTAACACCATTTTATTAATTCTGAGTTTTGACATTATGTAATTTTGAATAAATTGTAAGTTAGAGATTTTAGAACAAAATATCTAACAAATATTCAACTTGATATAGGTTAGTGTTAAAAATCCATCTTAATTATTTCAAAAATGAATGAAAAAATTTTCTAAAAATTTTAGTATTTTCAAAATTTCATAGAATATTTTTTTTAACTAATTAGATCTGAATTTGTTAATATCTAATCTTATCACAACAGGGTGAATAGCAAATAAAGTTTATAATTTTTCTCCAGAAAAAGAAAACAATTAAATTATTAGATTTTCTCTCGGTGCAAAAAGTTTAATTTGTTTTTAAACGACATAATTTTGACGCTAATGAAAGTCCCTGTTTGTTTGATTAAATAATTTCATTTTAATGTAATAATGCCATTTTTTTAAATGAAAAGGAAAATAAGAATTTGATACACTAAAATTGTCATATTAATTTTGTTATAAAACGGCATAAATATGACTCTCCTTTTTTGATTAATTGATTTAATCATAACGTTTTATAATAAATTTTTTTTTTCATATGAAAAGGATACTAAAACATGATTATATACTCAAGCTATTATATTTTCTCTGAATGCGATGAGTTTAACTATCTAGATATTAAAATTAGTAAATAAGGCGCGTATGAAAAATCCCCCTTTTTAATGAATTGATTTCATATAAAATCCCTACCTCTCATAATTTTCTTTTGTTTAAATAATTTAAAGTTAGTTGAAAACTAAACCATTATTAGTATGTTTTTTTTAATCTTTCTTTATTGGCAATTTTTTAAAAATTAGATCGACCATTGAGATATTTTCGATAACGCTTATTTGAACAGGTAACTGTCAGAATTTATCATTATTTAAAGATAAAAAACAAAAATATTTCCCTGATTATAACTCAGCTATAGCGGTATATACAGGGTACCGTGTCTCAAAAAACATGGGAATTCAGTGACAAATTGGATATCGTCTTTGTTATGAATTAGCATTGTAATACCTAATTTCAAAAGCCATAATATTATTATGTCTGCTAGAGTTTATTTTATGAAAACTGTAAATGGCTGTAAAGATGTGTCTATAATGTCTCCGCAAGATGAACAGTGAAGACGGACAAGTTTACTCTGCAATTTTCTTGTTTTACAAAGTACAACCGTATGCAGCCAAAACATAAACAAACAAAATCTGAACATAGCAGACGAAAATCTTGCGGATTACAGCTTTCTCAGTACTCTACTAATCAAAGAATGATTTTAAATGACGATATCAGATTCGTCACTGAATTCCCATGTTTATTGTGACACCCTGTAGAATACCATTGTGAATCAAATGTGCCACTCTTTTAAAATGGAGGGAAATTACGTTTACTGTTCCTTTAATGAAAATATGTCTACTCACCTTCTTATCTTATTCTGATCTGTGACGACCTCCCCGCTGTTCCCCACAAAGGAGGTGTGGAAGTTGAAGATGATGTCGATGAAGAAGATTATGTCGACAACAGAGTCGAGCACGACCATCCGGACAGAACTGATGTCGACTGAACTCCTGCTTGATATTAGCCTGATCACACAAAATTAGAAAAGAGACTGATTATTTGCGTCAGACTCTTATTTTCTAATTTCCGTATATTTTCAACGTAAACTCTGAAATTTTTATATTTTATTCAGAGAAACTTTTAGTTTGAAATTTTCAATTTTTCCCTTTCTTCAATTTTCGATGTTTTTAAAGGACTTTTCATAAAAGGTCGGATAAATTTTCACATGCAAAACCCTGAGAGGACTCCAAAACCCTGGGAGCACTCCAAAACCCTGAGAGGGCTCCAAAACCCTGGAAGCAGTTCCAAAACCATGAAAGCATGATGATGATTCAATTTAGACCTTTTAAAATGTTCTACGGTGCACAGTTGTTTAGCAAGAGTGCAAATTCAACTAAGAAGTTGTTTCGCTACTTAGCGATTTCCCTAAAGACCTAATATATGTACCGTGTGGTATTTCTCAGGATTGGATCGTAAGACTCCCTTCTCTCAACGCTCTTCATAATAAAAAGGAAGATAGTAAGGTTCCGAACGTTTATTTCTCTGAGCCTTCAATCTAAACAAGTTTAATAAACCCACAGAAAAAGCTTTGAGTGAAAATCATACAAATATAACAAATAATCCACTCAGGCATTAAAAAACTGTGGCTAGGAACCAATAAACGAATACATAATCATCAATCATACTAGAATCAACCAATAAACATAGATATATATAAAATAATTACCACGGTGATCCCAGAATTCTGAACACGGAAAATACTTGCAAAACGAATAAACATATACTGAATATAAATATAACTACTACTCCGCTAGAAATCTTGCGTCTGCGCAGTCGGACTGTAAACAGTTCCTAAACTAGTTTTTTCACAATACATTCCGTACAGATCTTCAGGAGAAACTCAGAAATACGCAGGGGCGACAAACAGACTTTCTTCACGCAGCATGGCTCGCGTAACAGAAGTTTACGGTAGAATTTATGTTACATTTTATATTGTCGCAATTGAATACTTTTGTAAAAACCATAGATAAAGATAGATTGCGCATAAGACGACATTTTTCATCTTGAAAGATATAAATGTACAGAGATGTTTTAAAGAGATTCCTATTATATAGATTAACTAGGTCTGTTTTGAACATTGGCTGTTCTTATGTCATTGAGTACTTGTGCTTTACATGAGTTCTGTAAAAAGAAATTTAAGCTAGTTTAGTCCTTCTTCAGTTCTCGTCAATATGATATAAGGCTCAGTGAAATAATTTGATATTCTCAAAATAAAATTCACTCCTGAGTGGTTTAATAATTATGAAATCCACTAAAACACCAAACCACCCCGCTTATCATTGAAGTACACTTTGACCCCTAGAAGTATGAGTTCGCGGACTGTAAAATTCTTGGTGATTTTGCGTACATAAGCTATCTATGTTTATTTATTTATCTATGGTAAAAACTGATTCTCAAAATGGACATTCCAAGAGGATTTTAAAGATTGAATTTGCACTTTTGCTGAACAGTTATACTGACACCATGAAAAAATTTCTCTTCAATACTACACTACCAGCTCAACTACCATGTAGAGCCGGTCTCTCCCTTTAAGACACGGAAATGATAGGTTGATTTTTTATTAATAAATAAAATGATTCATTCGTAAAAAGTAAGTTAATTGTAACATTGTTTGGTCCGCAAACGTACACTAGCTTGTATATATCTTTTTCCCGCATTTCGTCCCATATTATGTTTGGCGTATTTAAAATATCTGACCTGTTCATGGCGAGATTATAAGGTACAATGATTACAGTATAAAACGTGAGAGCAAGTATAATCCAGTCCCACATAACCTAAATACATTATCAGTATCAGAGAATTTTTGAATTTTTAATCCTTTTTAGTCTGATGGATGTGTATCCCTTGTAAAAGTTAAAAAGGCGAGTCAGTTTTTTTTCAAGTACTAAAAATTGAATCACCTAAACTTACACTTTCCACCAAAATAACATAGGGGACCCAATAAAATTATAATTTTCATTTTTCCCTAACATTTAAAAATTAGGTTTTTTTTATTTTTCCGTAATATTTAAAAATCCTTTTCCTTCCTACCTTGAAATTACAGTAGTGGAGGAGAATATGGGGCGGAGTTTGTGGTGGTTCATGCTTGTATCCAGGTACTACTTCAGATATACCCTGTACATAAACATATCCTGTACCATATACATAGGTTTAGTTTATGTATCCAGGTACTACTTCAGATATACCCTGTACATAAATATATCCTGTACCATATACATAGGTTTAGTTTATGTATCCAGGAACGATATACCCTATATACCATTACCATGTACATAGGTTTCGTTAATGTATGCTGAAAATTTTAGAATGATATATCCCTAATCTTCCTTATCCTTAATTAATCTTGAGAGGAAAACTAGCATAATTTAATCTTGAGATTAAGAAAAAAGAGTGAATCAAGCATTAATCCCGATATCCACCATTCAAAAGTTCCCAGCTCAGGAGGTTACCTAGGAGGGGATAAATTACAAAACCTCCCCTTGCGGCAAAAAGAAATCAGGATACAAATGGAAGACGACTAAAATTACCTTTTGTAATCCTTCTCTTGATCCTGCAGGTTTAGGATCCACTGCTTGAACTCTGTTTGCGGCATTCTTGGACCTGATAATGTATGCACTAAAGTAAATACATTTATCTAAATAGCATAATCTTTAAAAACACACATTTTTTCAAATTTGTTTAGACGCAAAACATGTTAATTATAATTTCAGACAAAACTATTTAGGTGATTCTAATCTTAATTATGAGGTACACTATTTAGAAATAAATTCAAATGACTTATATGGTGTGGCATGGCTAATTAACAACAGTACCTTGAACAGATTTTCGAATTTATAATGAAAAATTTAACCATTTTTCGATTATTCACAATTTTTGCTTTCCTTAAATAATTAACATGATTGATCAGATAAAGGTCTAACAGGAAATATTGTGATTAGAGAATAGCTCATTTTTATTAGATGGTCATTCAAATTTCAAGACAGTTCCTGTAATACAATCACTCAATTAATTACCTTTAAGCCTTAGTAAATTATTCATTTCATATCAATTGCGTCATTAATTTCTGGCGGAGTGGGTTTTCATGTTTAATTATTTTTCTGGATCTACAAAATTCAATCCCCCTCTCTCTGATTTAGAATTTTCCAGGGCATTGATGACAACATGACACCCAATCCGCCTTAATTTCTGTGTATAGAGATTGGCCAGTTAGGCTTTTTTTCATTTCGTTTCGTTCGTTCATTGTTAGTGAACGATTCATTTCTTTCGTTTTTTAATTGTTCAAAAAATTGTATTTCATTCATTTACAAAATTTTCGTTCAATATCCATCTATTTAGTTCGTTCGCTAGTTCAGTATAAAAGCTATTGTTCGTTCAGTAAAACAAATAGTTTTCAAAATCTTTTTGTTAATTTCTGTGAACGATCTAAGTCGTTCGTCTATCGTTTGTTTTATTCTGAAGACACTGTTATTCACGAACAATTTCGTTGATTTAACAAAAACAATGCACATCTCTATTTTATACTAATTTGGTCTAAATACTGAAATGAATTAGGTAAAAAAATTGGGGGCAATAACTAGAAGAAAAGTTTTGAGGCAATCATTAAAGTTGTCTTTTTTTGACGACAAATATAAATGTTTTCTGTTCGTGGGTTCAAACTGAAAAAGACCGCTATGTATTTTAAATCATGCAAACAAAAACACGTTACCTAAATGTTTGGGAAAGAAATGTTTTAACATTTCATATTTCATAATTTTCATTAAATGTTTAATTTTGTTCAACTAATACGAAGCTATCTGAAGAGATTTTTGTTTGTTACATGATTTCCCAAAGAAAGTGTATTCAAGAAATGAGACCATAGTTAAGAATTGCAAACACTTTTAGGATTTTAAGGAACATCCTCTTTTATTTCCAAAAGTCTATAAATTACAAAGATTGTAAGTCTTGTAAGCTAATCAATATAGAGTTTTTTTTTGTCTTTCTTTGATATTTGGTAGAGAAATTAAACATCTGAACTATTTTTTTTAAATTATTTGGAATCTTGCCAAATTTTTAAATATCTCTGTGAATTTCAAAGTTAAAAAAGGTATACATTATTTTGAAGTTCCAAAACTAGCAAATTTATATTTAAATACTTCACGAAATAATGTCACGGGAAGTAAAGACGGTTTATGGAAGTTTGGGTTATACAAGTCGTCACTTAATTTCTCATGTTTACTGGAACACCATGTTCCAAAAATCCCTAACATTTCAGAGTGACGAACAAAATTACGAAAATGATAAGCGGAATTTAAAAATTAAAAATGTGCAAGATGTTCCTAAAACATTCCCATCGTATTTTCTAACACCATTTTCGTAATTCTGTTATTTCGATAATATAAACAAAATTATTTAAATTTGGTTTCGTTACTTAACCATTTGTATCTAAAAACCTTATCTATTGAAAAGCGTAAAAACAGAACGATAAACTATTGTATCTTTTCTAATATTACCAAGCTATCGGGATTCTTACGTAACTTCAAGTAAATATTTCACATACATTTTGGTTCTATTGATTCATCATACAATTTAATTGTTAATTTTTTACAATAATATTCGACATTATTAATTAATATGTTATTGTCTTTTATTGACATCACGTTTGAATTCCTGTAACTATCTTTTAAATATAGTTTTTAAGGTTTTTAAATTCTAGCTACAGCATGCACACATTCCTAAGTTTTCTAATTTTAATTATTTTTGTTCACAAGTGTTTTTTTTTTCATTTGCTAGACCGTTTTTTTTCCATTAAATATATTCAATCACAAAACCAAAATTAAAAAAAAATGAAAGTAAGATTTTTAGAGAATAAATCTTTTGCTGAATCAAGTAAATTTTACCCCGGTGACATCAATTAACAATTTATAAAATTAATATATTTAGTTTATCAATTTTATGATTATATGGAGCTCTTAAAAACTGTTCAGCATATTTCAAGGCTATTTATTATTATTTTTATAATTCTTTTGATGTCTCTTTATATTTGAACTTAACTGTTCGATAAAGCTTGTTAGTCAATGCATTATAATTTGTTATTAGAAAAATTTTGATATGTGATTTAAAGCGAAGGGAAAACCAATATAAAGCAGATCAAACGTCGTCTTTGATTGATCTTCAGAGCAGAAAGGAATTGAGTCTTTCCCTCAAACTCCAAATGGCGTAGATATTTCAAACTATATGAACTCTGTAGGATCAAAAAATTGAATTTTGAGATATTAAATGTTTAAACCCTCAGGCTGTAAAGATATAGGAATTTAAATATTTGAGTTTGTGTCAAAAACTCAATTCCTTTCACAAAGGTTTTGTGAGTTGTGGTTGAAATATTTCTGAACATTATCAGAGATTAAAACTTTGGTGTTGGGAATATTAGAATTCAGCATTGATCTCCATCTTACATATAGAGATTAAGTTAATCCCTCTTCGATATCCTGTAGTGGACATACCCTGCACGGATAACTTTAATTGAAAGAAGTTTTGACTTCAAATCTAAAGAAAAGAGCTATAATTCAGAAATTACGAAGCAAGGTTTCTGAATGCAAGGTTTAATAAATTTGGCTTTCTTTCCACTTTGATATTGGTTTTATTCTGGTTTATACTGGTTCTCACAATTATTGAAAACATACACAGGGTTACCCACTAAGGATTTGACGACTCTACGGAAATTATTCAGTCATTTTAAAACATTAATCGTAACCTGTAAACTTGTATCTTGTAAACTGTTAGCATTATTGGAAAACTTTAGTTTAAAGAGTTTCTAGTTTGCATTACACCTGATGTATTAGGGGTAAGTTTGTATATGAAAAATACCCCTTATCCTGATATGGAAATTGCAAAAAAAAATTTAGTTTGTAGATTGTACACAAAGTTAAGAAGACGTATAGAAAGGACTAAATTACGTGTATCAGGACATAAAAACTTTTTTTACGTTGCAAAGCAAATCAAATAAATCATATTAAAAAACTCAACACTTGTGAACAATTTGTTTAAAGGGAAGAAACCATTTATCTTAAACGTACAAAGACGATTAATCCGCAAGAAACCCTAGAGTACAAATTTATATTCAAACTAGAAAACAAATTGAACAGGAACCAGTTTTTAATGAAATTGAGAAGTCGTTAAACTATATAGAGACAGTTAAACCGCTAATTCAGTTTAAAGTTTTTATATTTGAACTATCCTAGTGACTAGGAGCCGAGTTCTGTTTTAGCCAATAGATTAATAAACCCATTATTTGCGGCGCTCTGATTGGTTGAAAATGTTGGCGGATTTGTCAGCATTTACTTTACATTAGGGTTGTTCAAAATCTTGAACTTTGAATCAGTGATTCAGGATTTGAGCCAACGAGCACTTGAAATGTAGCTTAATCGGTATGTAGTTTACCCGACCAGACCAGAGAGCGTTCTTTTCTTCTTAAAGAGCTACGTCTCGGCCCATTAAAAGAGCGCACCTCTTTCTTAAGCAAACCTCGTCTAAATGTTACGATTTCAACTCGTTTTTCGCCGCATCTCATATTTTGTCTGGGTATCAAATTCACATCCCCCCCATGTGACCCCCCACGTAGTTTCTCATGGTTTTGAATTGAGCAGCTTGGAGCAACAGCTTGACAGCTTTGACAGTGAAATTTGAACCCAGAAGAAAGCCCGTTTGTTTCAGAAGAATATGGGGGGAAAATGGAGGGGTCTGATATCGGGTTTCAACATATTTTAAAAAAATTCCTTTTTAAAATTTTGTAGCGTCGAAATCAACGCATTCGACGGGGTCTGCGTAAAATCTACGCTATCTGGTCTAGTCGGGTAGCAACCTCTCTTTAATTCATTAATTATGGTCCCTGTACACATAAAGAAAATAGTTCCTTGGTTTAAAAACAAGTATCTAACCTGATGTACCTCAATTGGCTGGGGGGCAAAATAAAATTGAACGCTAGAGATAATTGTCGAGTACATTTAGACCTTATTGTGCACTTTCAGAATGTGACGAAGTGAGTTACAAAAATTTGACAACGGAAAGAAGTGCAAAAGCCCTGAGTTCAAAGTTTTTTCTCAGAGGTTGAGTTCACGTTTACTTTTTGAAACTGTGTCTTTATTTTCATTTAAGGACAGTCTGAAATCACTTCTTTTCTCAAATATTTCAACCTTTTCTTAATTTGAATAAATTTTCAAATTATCGAACTTAAGCCTGGTTTTAAAGTAAAAGATAAGCTTAATCTCTGTGGAATAAACTTCATACTCTTCCCAGATGTGAATAAAGTAAGATCCAATTCAAATCTTGAGACTAAGAAATCCAGATGAGATTTTAACGTACGCAATAGCTGAAATGTTTTCATGTAACGTGATGAAGATAAATTTAAAATGGCTGCTTTAACTTTAATACCATTTTAATTTAGCTTTGCTTAAATAAAAAAGACCCTCCTAGGACTATACCCCCTTTCATTTAGTTAAGAACAAAATAATACTTCTGAAGTTAAAATCTCATTCTATGTTTAAAATTGATTTGAAATGAAAAGGTCCAGGGGACTTGTTGTTGTACTCCAGGATGAAGACGACATGTTCCCTACCTGGTTAAGGTCCAAGCTATCTTAGCAAACTTAGATAGTCCAGCAAACATGTTTGCTTCAGCTAGCGGTTCCTAAAAAACAAATATCAAAATGCGTAGAACTAAGGTAGGAGCGTAAAAACTACAAATAAGGTAAACAGAAGGCATCAGGCGTTTCGACACTTCAAAGTCGACTTATTATTGCAAATGGATGCACATATGGAGCGATCTGTGGGATTTACATTTAACTTGTTTCACAGCAGTCTTTATATGTGACAAGCTTTATCATTTCACCTTATTTATACAGACATTAGTCAAGAGTATGTTCATAATAATGTTCAAAATATAGTATTTTGTTCAAGCAGTTGTTCTTGGTTTGGATACTGACCTTGAATGCTGTGATATCCATGTATGTACACAAGATACTGACCTTGAATGCTGTGATATCCCTGTATGTACACAAGATACTGACCTTGAATGCTGTGATATCCCTGTATGTACACAAGATACTCACCTTGAATGCTGTGATATCCCTGTATGTGAACAAGATATTGACCTTGAATGCTGTGAAACCCCTGTATGTACACAAGATACTCACCTTGAATGCTGTGATATCCCTGTATGTACACAAGATACTGGCCTTGAATGCTGTGATATCCCTGTATGCACACAAGATACTCACCTTGAATGCTGTGATATCCCTGTATGTACACAAGAAAAGAACAACACTGTCCGTTTCATTTTTTACAGGAACTATTTCAACCTGAAAAAAAATAATTTAATTGTCAAAAATAAAATAAAATGTCTGCTAGAGTTTATTTGTTGAAACGGTAAATGGCTGTAAATTGTGTCTATAATGTCTCTGCAAGATAAACAGTGATAAACTCTGTTTGTATACTGTTATTTTCTTGTTTTTCTAAGTACAACTGTATCATGTCAAAACATAACCAAACAAATTGTAAACAAAGCAGACGAAAATCTTATGGAGTACATTTACAGCTTTCTCAGTATATAGGTATCACTATACTAAATCACAGAATTATTTAAAAAGAGGTTATCAGATTCGTCACTGAATTCCCATAATTTTTGGGACACTCTATATTAAAAAATTCACCGCCATATCCAAACTTTTGAACTTAGGATCAAAAGATATTTCAGTTTTAAGTGAATTTTGCCATTTTTTAATTTTAAGTTTTAAATATTTTATTATAATTTTGACTAATTAACTTGTATCATTATACCTCCAGCCAGATTCCCACAGCATTCTTCTTGTAGTAAAGGATCTCGTGGCAGGAGGTTTCCTGGACATTTTATTTAAATAAAAATTAAAAAAAGGGGGACAATACGCCACTTTTTAAAACCAAATTTTGTACAGGCTTTGTTTGGCCTTAATTAAAATTGAGATAGGATGTCAAAATTTTACATGCAGCCTCCAATTAATTGTGATCACGAAAAAAATTTGAGCTTGGAGTGGATTGATCTTAAAAAATTTAGAAAATCAGACCAAACTAAGCCTGAAAAGAAAGGGTTGAATTGCCCCCCCACTTCTTTACTCTTAATTTCAAAAATTTCTTTTTGATTTGAATCCTATAATGTTTATAATGTTTATTTTTAACTTTAATAATTTATTTTAATTAAATTTTACAATATTTTTAAATTTCAATATGATATCAGATGGAAACATTTTGAGACTTCTATATTTCTTGTTTTTCATTCTTTCTTCTTGATCTTCCATTCCTTGTCCATCCTTCAATCATACTTTGGCTAATTTTGAAAATAAAAATAAATGAA